TTCCCAGGCAGCCAGGGAAGGACTGCCTAACAAGAATGTCAAATAAGCAGATAGTAGCCCTATTGGCCAAGCTGCCACCGGGCGTAATCAACTAGTGAGTGAGTGAGTGTACCGGGATAGCAGTGTGGCTAGGGAATTTGCCGAGGCCATTAACCCCCCCCCTTCGGCGATCATGCGGCTATGACCCTCTATTGCTCGCATCACAGGAGGAGCACGCAATACAACATTCCTCAGTTCGAGCGCATTAATTGTCAGCATCTGATGGCCGTGACAAGAGTGCTGTGGGAGGCTTGGCATGTCGAAAACCGTTTTGAGATGACAACGACAACAAAGTCTCAAGGTTGTACTTCGAGCACCTGCTCGGGAGTTGGTAGACCCCTGTTGCGATAGCGGCATGAAGTACGATGTATCTATCTCTATGCCCGCATGCACTGGAGCCCCTACACGTATAGCGTCGAAACAACGACGACCACTACTGAAGCAATAGCCCAGGGAATTTGAAGATACGCTTCGGTGCGTTCATTCTTTCGTACAGCATACTGCACAGTGCCTGGAGGCGGGTGCACAATCATTGCCCCCGGCTCCGAATCCCCTACTGGTGCGAGCTGGGCTCGTGATTTGGAACTCGTATCGACGTGCCCTTGCACTGTATCTGACACGCGGGAACGCAAACGCCCGATGCTTCTCAACCCGGGGTATCGCGGATAGGTCCGAAACGGCGAGTCGCTAGCCCGCAACAGTCGGCCCACTTGCGGGAACCCGAACCCAGGTGTCACTCGCAGCGGATCCTGGGCGGGAGATCGAAACAGCGCCCAAATAGTCCGGCGGCTAAGACCATTACATACGGCCACGAGAAGGTTACGGAACGCAAACGCTACCTCGGGCAAGAGCGCCTCGGGCCTGGAACACACCGCTCTGCGGGTACGACTGACCTTGTCCACCACTGCTGTGTCTCCGCCCAGCACAGACCCAGGAACCACCTTCTCATCAATACCTTGTGAACCGTGGAGGCCCATGTTAAGCGGGCAACTTGTCTTGAGTCAAGCCACCGTCAATGCCACCGAGTGGCAACAGCCTTGTCGCTATAGTCGTGCAAGTATAGCGTGTCGTTCATGCCGAGACAGAGAGTTATCTTCCGGCCGCGCGAGCGCGCCTGCGAAGTTGCTGTCTTGCTGGCATCACGAGCCAGCCGGCCAACTACGTACAATATGGTCTTAGCGCTAGGTACTCCATCAACGGCGTACAGTATTTGCGTTTCGGCGGCGGCCTGGGCTGGCCAGGCAATGCCTGTCCTGCACGCGGGCAGCCGAGACATGGTTCACGCTTCCACCTGTGCGTCCAAGAGCAGCTGGGGGTCAGGCTCCATCTCGTGTCGCCTCCACGCGGCCTGAAACACCTCCGAATGCACGTTCCGCGGGGTGCCGCCGCTGTCCCACCACGAAAAAAAAACCAAGACCTCTCACCAGTGCCCTGTTCTCGCGGTGGTACAAGCGGCCCATAATCTTTCTCATGGCATCTCATGCGAAAGAACCTTCGACATTGCTGCCGCTCCCCCGCCGCTCCACGCGTTCGTGGCTGAACTTTGCAAATGACAGCGGTCGGGCATCTCATCTCGAGGCTTCAGGCCCGGCACTGTCCCGGCAGGTCCAGTCATTTTTCTCTTCTCATCGGATGGTCTAATCTTCATCGTCCATGAGCTCTGCCAGCTCAGCCTCCTCTTCCGCTGTCAGCAGACCACCTCCACTGTCGTCGTTGGACTTCTCTTCGCTGCTCGGTTTCGGGGGCTCCTGCATCTCTTTGACCACGGCGTCCAGTTCAGCCTTTGCGAGAGGCCATGTGCGAATGGTGCGGTCGATGCTGACGCTGCAGATATTCTGCGGCCGCCCATGGGAATCCCGCAGCAATACCAAGTCCGTGACTTCCTCAAAATGTCCATCGAGAGTGCAATACAGCTTTCCTGTAGCTCTGTCCCAGACCTTGACGTTTTCGTCACGTCCTGCCGTCACAACCCACTGCTCCGTCACCAGCACGGCACGGACGTAGTCGCCATGCAAGAAGGTGTCCTCGGCCAGAAAGTTCCGAGACCTTGCGAGACACTTGGCTGTGCCATCGGCGCTTGCCGTCCACAGGTCCATGTCGCCGCCCTCGTCGTTCGTCTCAAATAAAAGCTTGTACACGCTCGTGTCGTGCTCCTCGATGGTGAGGCGCTCCGTGTCGGGCCGATCATGAAACGACTCAGGCATCTGTTCGTAGCCATCGGCGGAAACCTTCCATCGCCGGATGTGTGGATCGCTGCTCGCACAGACAAGGACGAGCTGTTCGGGCGTGCTCAAGACGGGGTCCGTCGCAAGATGCTGCACGGCGAGCATTGTTGTCGCCGGGTCTTGGATCGTGTGTATCCGACGACCCGTGTCGACATCCCAAACCATGATTTTCTTGTCCGCACCGCCGCTTATGAGGAGATCCCTACCCGAGACGCGGGCGGTAATGACGCTCTTGACAAAGTCTGAATGGCCACTGTACTTGCGCCTAGGCTGCGTCGACTCGATATCCCAGGACCATATGTCTTTGTCCCATGATCCAGCAAAGATGGTTTTGCTCTGGGCGCCCCCTACGGCTAGACATGTGACCGGCGCACGAGGCCCACGGTATGTGCTTGTTACTTCCGAAGACTATGCTGCCGGGTCAGGGGGGATTCTAGAGCGTTGCTTCGTAGGAGTCTGCATCAGGTACATACTTCAAGGTTCACCCGACGAACGTAACCTGCGGACTCGGCAATGAATATAGACGTAAGGGGCGAGGCGGGATCCGACACGGCCGCCAGGATCTTGGACTTCATTTCCACGGGGTTGCCATGCTTGTTGCCCGCCTTGGCCGCCTTTCTCTCGCGCTGTGCCTGTGACGCACTGAAGAGGAATGTTGGTCAGAACTGCCGATGCCTACCCCTGAAGTTGTGGACTCACTCACTCGGTCTCGAAGAAGTGGTCCCTGTCGGTAGACTGCATCGTGGCGGAGTTGCAACGATGGATTGTCTGTAGCTGTTCAACAGCTCCTTACGGTGCAAGTTCGTGCCCTTAATAAGGCTGAGTCTGAGAGCAGGCACTGGGGCAAGTCTGAGGTGCGGCTGGTGGCTGATGATGTTGGCGTTTAGGAGAAAACGGTAGTGGGGGGATGGGTTGGTGGCCGCGGGGCAGCGTCAGGGCAGACGCTGAGACGAGGTTGGCGCTCAGTCGCGGGGTTCACCGTGCTTACCTGAGCCAGCTTAATTAATTTAGCGACGCGTCCAGACGCGTCTCCCAGCGCATCGCAGGGCACATCCTCCACAGTTCACACACGAGGATCGACGGCCAGCTCGCTGGAACCACGACGACGCACTTGACGACTTTTTTTTTCTTATCACAAGTTGAAACGACAGAATTGCCATGGACTCGACGATGGCCGCGCGGCCACGGCCACGGCCGGCTCACACACAGGGAACGACGCGCTGCGCCTACACGACCGACGGCTCGCGCCTCGTCACCGTCGGCTCCAACAACACGATCCGCCTGTACAAGACGGGCTCCGATGGTGAGCCCATCAACATCGACGACTGCCAGGAGCAAAATGTCGCCATGGCTGCCGGCGATGAGTTCTTCGTCGTCGGCTCCGAGGACGGCACCGTGAGCCTCTACTCACTCGCCACGGCCAATTTTGAGCGTTTCCTGCTGCGGACCTCGCTGCCCATCCGAGACGTCGCGCTGTCCGCCGACGGCAGGTGGTGCGCCGTGGCAAGCGACGAGCTGAGCGTCAAGATAGTCAACACGAGCGACATCACGCAGGTGAAGACGCTGCGCGAGCACAACCGCGCCGCCAGACACGTCAGCTTCGATCCCAAGGGCGCCCTCGCGACCGTATCTTGCACCGACGGCATCATCTACGTCTACTCTCTGACCGCGGACGAGCCCGAGCTGATACGCAAGGTGGACGGCGTCATCGGTGCCATAGACGCCGAGTCCGAGGTGTCCACCAGAGCCATATGGCATCCTGACGGGAGGGCCTTTGCCGTGCCCACGCCGACCAAGGACATTCAGGTCATCTCCAAGAACGACTGGGAGAAGCAGCGGCGCTTCGCTGACGGCCACCTGGCCGACGTCACATCCATCGCATGGTCCCCCAATGGCGCCATGCTGGCCACGGCGGGCAAGGACGGCAAGGTTCTCGTCTGGGAAACCAAATCTCAGAGCGTTATTCAGCGATACGACTACTCCAACGTCCTCGACTTGGCGTGGCATCCCACGAGCAACATTTTCTCGTTCACAACCTCGGACGGAGAGGTTTACATATACCCCGACTTCCTGTCCGACCAGTTCTCACCCATGCTCAAGCTATCCAAGCAGCCGGCGCCATTCATCCATGACCCGCTGTCTGAAATCTCTGGCAACAGAAGGCCCGTTCCGCAGAATGGTTCAAAAGACCCAGGATTGCCATCTCGACCGCGACGTGAGTCACTGGGGAGCCTTGACTCCTTCCTGGGTGAGCAAGGCTATGAGGATGAGGACGATTTCGTCGTTGATGACGACGGTGCCGGGTACACGACGGGTGCCAAGCGTGGCCGTGAGGAAGACGAAGAGCTCTTTGGGGAGCACTCGAGCAAGCGCATGCATCTCATGAAACCGCGACATCATGAAGCGTTCCAGCCTGGGTCGACACCGTGGCGTGGAAACCGCAAGTACCTATGTCTGAACCTGATCGGCTTCGTCTGGACCGTCGACCAAGACGCTCACCACACCGTCACCGTCGAGTTCTATGACCACGAATTTCAGCGCGATTTCCATTTCACAGACACCTTCCTCTACGATAAGGCATGCCTCAACGAGCACGGCACACTGTTCTCCAACCCGCCAAAGGACGACAGCCCGGCCTACCTGTTCTACCGTCCTCACGAGAGCTGGACTCAGCGTTCCGACTGGAGGACAGAACTTCCCAAGGGCGAGGCTGTGACGGCAATGTCTCTGAGCGAGTCCTTTGTGACTGTCACCACGAGCGCCAACTACGTACGAGTCTTCACACTGTTCGGCATGCCGTATCGGGTGTACCGCCCAAAGAGCGCGCCCATGGTGACGTGCGCCAGCTTCAGGGACTACGTCCTCACAGTCGGCAACGGGCCCGTCGGCGCGGATGGCATTACACGCCTCTTGTACAGCATTGAGAATGTCAAGCGCGACGAGATTTGCCAAAACGAGGACACGGTGGCGCTTCCAGAGGGGGCGACGCTCAAGAGCGTCTTCTTCTCTGACCAAGGAGTAAGTGTATCGTGGGAACACGGCGCATGGAAGCGGCGGTGACTGACATCTAAACGCAGGATCCCTGCATATATGACTCGACAGGCACATTACTGACGCTACTTCATTGGCGGCAGCCATCTCGGGCAGTATGGGTGCCATTGCTGGACACAAAGCTGTTGCCACGTCTCGCGTCAGGGCGAAAGCTCGAGACGTACTTCCCCATAGCTGTTGCTGACGGCAAATTTCACTGCATCATCCTCAAGGGTGGAGACCAGTACCCCTACTTCCCGCGGCCGCTGCTCTCCGAGTTTGAGTTCTCCGTCCCGCTGGGATCTCTGCCAAAGCAAAAGACGCGCAAGGAAGGCGAGGACGCAGACGGAGACGACGACCGCATGAGAGACGACGGCGACGAGAGCGGCGACGAGGACGAGGGTGAGAAGGAGAGGAAGCGGCTCGAGCAGGAGTTCATGCTCAAGGACGTACTGGCCGCGCAAGTGCGGGACCGCGTCGAGGCCACGGCGGGCAGCCACAGCCAACGGTCGCTGCTCTCGCGCGTCGAGCTCGAGATCGACAAGACGCTGCTGCAGCTACTGGCGGTGGAGTGTCGCGAGGGCGAGGACAGGGGCATGCGGGCGCTCGAGATGGTGGGACTGATGCGCGACAGGACGGGCCGCATGATGGAGGCGGCCGGCAAGGTGGCCGAGCGGTACGGGCGATCGGTGCTGGGCGACAAGATTCGCGAGCTGGGCGAGAAGAGGGTCGCCGGGATGGACGACGACGACTTCTAGGCTCCCCATCCCCCTCCTTCCAGTGTCCCCGGATATGTACGGACGGACTAGGGTCGCGTTCCGGAGTAAGAATGGTTTTGGGGTGGCACAACATGAGGCGGGGAGGGTTGGCGATGTAGTATGTACATACATGCCTGGCTGTGACGTGAGCAGCAGTTCTCATCTGGAATATGCGACGATTGTTACGTTTGTCCCTTTCGGAGGCACACCCTCGTGTCGAGTGTAGTTTCACTCTCCGGGGTGACCTGAAGTTTTCGTTCCGGGATCAGCGCGACGGGCACGAGGTGTCGACTTCAAACTCTTTCCCCGCATGCCGTGGGCGAGTATTTCAAGGTCGGTCGGATCAAAAGTGCAGCAGTAGCCATGGGCCTGACACGCAACGGTGTAGCAGACATACCGACGACCACTGTGTGCCTCATTTCGGGGTCCAATCACTGACGGAGGGTAGCATATCGACCGCGATTTGGCGGCCCTCTCGGCCCGCCGGAGAGCAGGAGGGGAAGGGAAGGGAGGCAGGGCCGCGTCAAGGGAGAGAGAGGAAGTGAGATGAAGGGGGGTTTTATCATGATCTGACGAGCGGATCTCCGAAGCCGAGCCAGTCCTCGACGGTTAATCTCGTACGAACAACGCCGGACTACGTATGAAGGAAAAGCCAACATTTGCTACTATCCAAGAGAGAGCCCCAGGGTCGCGGATCTGTACCAGATAAGGTACCTAGCTTCCTGTTGCGGACATGTCGATTGCGGGGAGGAGGTGCCTGCGGCCAGACGAAAGCTGTGCCAGGACCTGATGTCTCAAGATCGTCGGCTCGCCCCGACACCTATTGCGGATATACTTTGATGTTCAGGTTACCGTGCCTAGTACTGAGTACCCAGGATAAGGTGGCATCAATCATTCTGCCGCTGGTGCCGTGTAGTGGAAGTGGCAAGAAGAAGAACGGATTGACCGTGGTCCGGTGCTCATGGCCCGCACGACCGGACCACTCAACGGCCTTCGGGAGCACCGTTTCCATCTTCCCTTGCAGACGTACCGCAGGTACCGGCAAGCTTACGATGGCATTTCCTGGGGAAGGTGCATGGTGCTGCAACGGGCGTCGAGTAACAAAGCCGATGCACCCTTGTGGCCAGCCAGTTGCGCAGATAATGCACTCACATGTAAGCGCTCGCGCGCGTGCGCGCGCACACACGCCCACGCCCACGACATCGTATAATAGCGTCACCCGGGTGGCGGCACCCCGCGCCCGGAACGGCAAGCCGCCGGCGCGCGGAGGACTGCCGCGTTTGGCAGCAGAGGCTGAACTAACCCCAGCCATGGAGCATGGAAACGCTTTGCTTTGCTCGTACGACCTCGCAAGCCCAGGTGTTGATAGTAATCACCGCCAGGTGGCTTGCGAGCTTGGGCTTGGGCAAAAGGTTCTGGCCCCCGGGCGCGTGTGTAGGAAACAGGAACGCTGACGATTGAGGTCGCCGACGACGACGGATAGGGATGGTCGTGGCTGCGTGTGGCATGCGAGTGGCTTGCCGAGTCGTCCCCGAGCCTCCGTCTGGCTGGCCTGACGGGCGAACGAGGCTGTTGCCGCGAGACGTCAGGCCGGCAAGGCGACTTATTTGAAATACTTACTCGACGCTCGACACGAAGGGATGTGCCGCCTCACCGGTAAGCTACATACGTACAGGGGATAGATTCGGAGCAGATCGTCTGTGGTGTGCCGGGTTGAGTTGGTATTCCTGTATTATGTACACATCCCTCGCGGCAGAGAGATACAGTATCAGACAGGAGTCTGTCTACGGATGGCGGAATGGAACCCCATTGATGCAACGCCGCCGACAATATGTATGTGCGTGTGCGGCCGACGCGTAATGGTGAGACACGGGCTCGACGTTGTGCTTCCAAAGCTCCGAGAAGGGGCCCAGAAGCCTCGCAACATGCTGGGCCGTGCTCGTCGTTGGAGCAAGCGAAGACATGTGCTCCGTGGCCGCTGACTGGCACGGCGCCACAGGCCGGGGAGGGTGCGCCCAAACGGTCAACTCAGCCGACCAGGCACCCTTGATCGTGTGTGAGTGTGGCAGGCGAGCAGGCGCGTCAGACCGAATCGCCAACTGCGGTTCGCCTGGCTGATGATCCAATCTTCAATGGCGGCGCATCATCGGTGCGCAGGTCAGCGCCTGGCAACTTTTGCGACTCAGACAGTGGACGGGGGTGGTCACGGAGAAGAACAGTAGCGTGAGACGGTAGCTGCGCTGGTGCGGTGACATCCACCCTTGTGCAGCGCAAGTCAGGAGCATGCGCCGTGGGAGGAGACGAAGAAAAAGCAAAAACGAAGCACAGGGCCAGACGAGTTGAAGGCCGCGGTGGAGCCGTTTAGGGGTCGAGAGACATGGACGTCTTTTCGCCTCGCAGGGGGCGCCCCAGCGCCATCGCCTTCATCTCCATGCCGTGAAAGACGTTTCGATCTACGGAGAGATTAGTTACGGAACGGACACTGTACGTAGGTACAGTACTGTACAGTCCTGAGTACGGTTCGGTTCGCGAGGCGGCGCTGCCTGTCGGTGCCGGACGGAGGATTGGATCTGCTCGTGCTGTCCAGATCTGCTGTCGGGGAGTGGACGGCGCCCGGTTGGTTCGCTGCCGGGCGGATGTCCGTGCATCCTCCTCCATTCACGGTTCCCGGATTGAGGACAGGGCGCAGAGCCAAAATGTGACGGAGGAGGGGCCTCCCGGTTCCACAAAGTGAGGTGTGGTCTGGGCCAGACGAGGTGGGATGGCAGCACAGGGGCCCGGGGCCTGCATTTTTGTCGGGCGAGACTCCCGTCATCTGTGCTTTTGGACACAGTATGTCGAGGATGTTACAACCTGGAAGTGCCAGAAGGGAAGCTCCGGCGCCGGCGGATGAGCCGTCCAGGGCTCCGGGCGGCCAGGCTTCCACGCAAGGATCACCTGGAAGGGACTTCCGAGAAGCAGCGACGGGACGGTTTGCTCAATGGGGCGCGCTGCCAGGTTCAGGCCTTCCGGGCGATGGGCGGGCAGGGCCCCGTCTGGCGCCGCCGGGCCGGCGCTCCCAGCAGCCCGTCACCCTATCACCTGCCAGAGCAGGGGCCCCCGCCTTGGGCTAAGCACTTGCGCCGTTTCCGCGAGTCTGCATCTGCATCTGCGTCTGCGTCGGGGGCTGCTCTGCTGGCGGGCAAGGCCTACGACCAAATCTCCGCGGCTGCGGTTGCGACTGTCCCTGAGGCCAGGTTTCCGTCGTTCGTCCGCGTAGCTGGGCATCGCTGGCTTTGGATCAGACGGGGGTTGTTCCAGGTTCTGGGGTTTCGCGCCACGGCCACCGTCGAAGCGCACCTGCAGGGCACAAGGCTGCGTCCGCCGGGCACGCGCTACGGACCTTGCACCTCTTCCTGCTACGTGGGTATTATGGGCTCATCAATGGCGGCATGCGCGCCCGGCGACCATTGCGTCTGGTGAGCGGGCAGAGGTTGACGCGTAAGAGTTCACTCACTCTTGTCTCGTCGGTGCGGGATATTGCACAGCACCATAGGTACTGTACTGTACTATACACTGATATGATACAGTACTTTTACTTGTCGGCAAAGCACAACGCACGCTGTTAAAGTTTTTCTGTGCTTCGGGTGCGCTTTCCCCGCTCATGGCCGTTCGAAGCACGGCCAGCCAAGCGAGCAAGACCGTGTCATTCAGACCATGGCCACTGAGGTCAGTTTCCTTCCTTAGCACGGCGCCGTCAGTCGGTGAGACCTTCCAATTGGAAGGTTCCCAAACCCCAATTTAGTCTGAATCTGCACCGTTGCTCCTGCCCGCCTCCGCACCTGCACTGGCACCAGCTCCCGTTCCAGCTCCCAGCTCCAACTGCCACCGTGGAAACGTACGTACCACCACCAACCTCTCGCAGGTAGCTCCTGCTCTCGTCAGTGGCCAGCCGTCCAGCTCCCGGCCACATGCAGAGCAGCTCCTTCCCCCCGGCTCCACTGCTCAACGCAGCCCAGAGACCTCGCGGGCCCCATAATAATAAGGATAATAAGTCAAGGAAGGCGTGTGTGTGTGCTCCAGGAACTGCTCGCCGCCAACCAGCGCTCCTTCCTCCTCCGCTTGGTGCCTGCGCTGTGCTTGCGCCGGGCTCGTGCTGGTCCTTCCAGTGCTCGTAGTGGTGCTGCAGCTGGAGCTTATCTTGACGAAACTAGGACGGGAAAGTAGCAATCTGCTGCTCCTCCATTCGTCGCTCCTCCACCATCCCATTCCCGCCATCCCCTCTCTTTCTCTCTGCTGCTTCGGCTCGGTGCAGCAACCACTCATCCACTGTGCTGTCCCCGTCGTCTCCGCCCTCCACACACACTCTCCCGCTCTCTGCCCGTCGTCTCTGCGCGACGACAGCTCCAACCCTCCTTTTGGGTGCGCCGCCCGCCCAGCTCGTCCAGCCCAGCCCAGCCCAGCCCGGCCCATACCTTCCCGTCCACCACCCCCCGTCCTCAATCTCTCCGCTTCCGCCCACACATTCAATCCAGCAATCGGTGCCTACGCAGCTGCGTCCGTTGCCTCCCCGGGAATTTGCCAGCGCTCTCGCTGTCCTCGGCAGAAAAACGGGGTCCACGCCTCGACGCACTCGCAACACCATCTTCATCCTAATTTCGCCCCGAATACAACGACACTTTCCCCCCGACCTCCATCGTCGAACATCGTCATCGCCCCAGCCACCTGCACCCGTTGTGCTGGCAGTGCTACCTTACCGACCTTCCCAGCGCCTGGGCTCCGCTCGTTGCTGACACAGCACCTCCACGCGCGCACCTCCTCCCGGACTCGGCCGACTTGCGCGGGCAACACCAGCTCTTCTAGAAGCCGAACCCCCAGCGAACCTTCCGCGAACCACATGCGAGCGCCCACGACCTGACGCTGCGCTGCGCTCCAGTCTCGGCGTCCGTCTGGACATCCTCTTGCCATCGCCATTGTCTCCTTCATCTGCGACGCCTCGGCACGGTTCCCCGTCAGCCCGCCTGCCTTTTGCGCGCCCCCGCCCACCTCGTCGCCTCCGAACCGGCAGCTGCGCACAGTGGACATGAGGTGAGCCCTCGCTCGTCGCACCACCGCGATCGCCGCGCCGGCGCATCCAACCTCCCATCTCGTCACAATCCCAGCGTCGCCAGAACACTGACGTGATTGGCAACCCGCAGCGCACCCGGCTGCGACGCCTAAGCTTCCTACACTACCCCGAACCCTCCGCTGCGCATTCGGCACGCAGAGTCAATGGGTGCCCGCGTCGTACCCGTCTCCGCGCCAGCCGCCAACATGTCCTCGTCCGGCCACGGGGGTGATGCCATGGACATCACCTCCCCATCCAGCAAGACTTCTCCCACGAACAACGAAACCAACGGCAAGCCCCCGGCACAGGCGCAAGCCAGCAACTCGTCGCCCCCCGAACAAGCTCCGTCCAGCTCCTCCAGCATGCCAGCTCCTCCGCCTGCCGCTGCTGCCGTGCACCAGCCAAAGATCGTCCAGACCGCCTTCATCCATAAGCTCTATAAGTGAGAAAGGCCCCGTCGCTCTTGCGTTGAGATATTTGGCATTGCTGACATGGGCTCCGATCAGTATGCTTGAGGATAATAGCATTCAGCACTTGATATCATGGTCTGCCAATGCCGAGAGCTTCGTAATGTCCCCTTCGGCCGACTTTTCCAAGGTCTTATCGTACGCTGTCCCAACCCTGCGACAACTCGAGTCATCCTCTCACCTATCTTTGACAGACAATACTTCAAACACACCAATATCTCATCCTTTGTTCGCCAACTGAACATGTATGGATTTCACAAGGGTGAGTAGTTGGAATCGCGAACCGTGGCCTGTCCCACCTAACCGTCATTTGTAGAACGCGACGTATTTCACACCGGAAATCCAGATACAACGCTGTGGGAGTTCAAGCATGGGAACGGAAACTTCAAGCGGGGTGACCTGATGGGTCTGCGCGAGATCAAGCGCCGAGCCAGTCGACACGCGCTCGTGCACCGGGAAAGCAACTATCCCAAGCAGTCTTCCTCTCAGCCCGGCACGCCAGCCGAGCCAGCTCCCCCACCAGCCGAAGGGTCGGAGGCGAGGCTGGCCCACCTCGAGCATTCCCTCTATGACCTGAGCAATCGCCTTCAGCGCAGCGAAGAGAACGCGCACTATATGCATGTCAAGAATCAAGCTGCGATGGACACTATCACGCGGCTGCTCCACTTCAACCAGGAGCTTTCACGAGCAGTCCTCTCACTCGTGCCAGCTGAGAGCTCTGCACACCGTGATGGTAAGCTACGAGCCATGCTCATGATGTGCAGCGACTAACGCGTGATGCAGTTGTTGCATTGCAAGGCGAGATGCAGAGACAGTCCGACGTAATGCGCACATTTGACGAGTCGCATGAAACGCCATATCCTAGTAGACAGCAGTACTTCGGCACAGTCGAAAACGCGCCTGTGTCGCCGAGGCAATTGCCGCAGGATGATGCCAGGCGGCAGGGTGGTCTCACGGTGCCACAACCTCGAGGCCAGCCAATGTACCGGCCAACGGTGCCGTCCAACCTGTCTATCGGCGCGCGACGCTATGGCTCCATTGGCGGCGGGAGCACAACACAGTCGTCGCCCCTGCGCAACGCTGCGCCTCCGCCGCCCCCGGCACCGCACCCTCTTTCCAATGTGGAACCACATCCCGCCAGCCTCGGGCGACGGCATACCGCTGCCGACATCCGCGCACATGGCTGGCAACCCGGTCCCTCTCCGTTCTCAGCATCGAACCCACCGTCAGCCCCTTGGCCATCATCCCCAAGTCGCGTGCCTCAAGAGGATCAAAGGTTACGCGAGTCCTTGTCCACATACTCACTGCAGGCGGCGTCGCATTCTCACTCGCATTCTCGTCCAACCACGCCACCGCCGGCACCACACGTCACAAATGGCGGAGGCAACAACGGAGCAGATACCTTCGGCACGTGGTCATGGGGGGCGGCCGTCAACAGAGACGGCAAAGGGTTAGGACTGAAGGATTCATCGGCACCCCCGACTCGGAGGGGGAGCATGGCCCATATTTTGAACCCTAGCGACACGGCTGAACGATCTGACGAGGATGAGGATCCCCGAGGAGACGACGATCGGAAACGAAAACGGATGCAATAAGGCTGTACTGTGAAAACGGCACTGAGTGAGGGAGGCGCACGTGAGGCAGATATCTGGGAGGTGGTTTTGACTATATAACGATGATCTAGGCGTCGACAATGGGTGTCATGGCTTGAAGCGGCTGCAAATTTTTGGATACTCCATTCGCGAGACATGCCTTGGCGTTGTCTCGGCACGAGAATGCGTTGAGACGGATATATTTACAGGCACATACATGCCCACATAAGGGCCAAGGTCGGCTGGAGTCAGACGACGAAAAGGCCGCTCTTGAGTGACTTGGCTACTGCCTTTGGGGAGAGATGGGGGAACCTGGGTCGGTAGATGTTCTGCAGAGAAGAGTCACAGGAGGCGATCTGTCGGTTGGGGCGCCTGGATGCGCTCGATATCGCCTCTCGCTTAATGTGCCGGCCGGGTCCGGGTACGGGGCGGTTCAGGTTGCAAGACGCAAAATTGAATCGTGTTGAAGGTCGTCAAGTGCAGTCCCGTTGCTCTGCTTTGGTAAGGGGGGGGCATTTGACCGTATCTGCGGGGTACGATGTGATCAATGTCGAGAGCGTCGTTTTGCATTCGGATCTCTGATTCATGACTCCAACTGCCCACCCTTGTTTTTGCCCTTGCCCTTGTTCTTCTTCTTTTTGTTCTTGCGCCCTTGGGCCATTGGCGTGTCAGCGACCATTCTCTCGCCGGGATCTGCATTGGAGCCGCCAGAGCCCTGCTGCTCCTCCTCCTTGGCGGGCTGTCGCTGCGGTTCATCCCCAATGTCGTCCTGGTATTCCCCTTTCTCGCCGTCCAGCACCGCTGAAGTCTCCTCGCCGGGCTGGGCTTCTCTCCGCGGACGTTTCCGCTTGCCGAGCGCGGTCCGCCCCTCGTCCTCGTCGCTCTCGCTCTCAGCGCGCGCCGCGCGCCGCTGGCCCCCGGCGGCGGCGCCCTGCCTGCCCTGCAGCCTGCCCCTGAGCAGGCGATCCGCCTTGCTATTGCCAGGGACTACCGGGCCGGCGGCCTTCTTGTCAGGGACGTAGCCGGCGCCGGCGTTGGGGTTGGCGCCCGCGACGAGGCGGCCGTTGTCGTCGTCGTCGTCGTCATCATTGACGGCGGGGTTGATGCGCCGCTGCGACGTCGCTTGTGGCGCGGTGCCCGCCGCCGTGGAGGAGGCGGAGGAGGAGGGCTTGGGCTTGTGCGTGTTGAGGGATGATCGCAGGGTGGACTGCTTGGCGAGGAGGAGGTTGAGGCGGTTGGAGAGGACGGCGTGGTCGGGCGCGACGGGGAGGGGCGCCGGCGGGGGTGGTTTTGACGGGGCCATTAGGGATGGTTGGGAGGGCGATGCGCTGACGAAGAAGGAGGGCTGGGCGGCGGAGGTGTATGTGCGTCGAGGTCAGCGGGCTGAAGGTCGCGGAGCCGTTGCGATCGAGTTGGCGAAGGGGCCAAAGACGGCGGACAGGTGCGCTGAAGCTGGCAGGACGGGCGACCTTAGCTCCGACGCAGCGACCTCGATGGATTCGTTCTCGTCGCGGTGCTCCTCAATAGAGACGGCACTCAGTCATGTAACCCTACCGTAAGTTGCGCGCAAAGTCCCTAAGCCGTGACGAGTGTTGTCTGAGCTGCGCATACGGAGCGCCGGCAGAAGAGTATGCAGACGAGAGGATGCTGGCAGGGACGTGAACTTTTTTTTTGGTGTTGCGCCGATGCGGAGGCATGAAGTCGGCGGCGTAGACCCAAAAAAACGTGGGGGTGGATCTGGTCGGCGTGCCGGGCGCGGCTTGGCTTGGCTGCCGGACGGCCTGAGCTACGCCAACATTTACGGTGCATGGCACTGGCGGGAGAAGACGACGCACGGCCATGCTGCGTGACTGACCAAGGTAACTTATGTACAGATAATGTACTATACCTACGTAGTCGAGGCGAGCTCCTTCGTGTCCATTCAGGCGCAAAAGCAACACCACATCGACGTCTAGCTTGATAGCCCCGTGCCTTGGCAAGTACATTACCACGGAGTTGGCGCATCTCATGGTGGAGTGGGTTGTGAAGGGTAGGCGTTGTGCCTCTGCCCGCGAAAATGGTTTGACTGCTTTTTCGATGCTTTGTATTAAATGTACTTATGTATCCGTACTGGGCCGATATTAATAGCTAGAGTCGGCCCTCACTCTAGGCCCATGCTGTACCGGATATGTCCTTGCCGGTTCGTTAGGCATGCCTCGCCTTTTACCTCCCCTGCTCTATGTAATGTGTGGTATCGTGTCGTCATTATTCCCAAGCGCGTTCCCAGGGAGTCAATTTACCCTCAGCCATGATCGTGCCCCCCATTTCCCGTCGGCCGCAAGTTCAGCACATACGGCAGCGCGTCCGGGTCCTCTCTCGTGGCGAGGCGAATGACGGAGCCGGAGTCGCTGCTCGACGCCTTGGATCGCAAACTAGGCGAGCTCGGACTGTGGTTGAGCGAATAGGGCCGCCTCGTCTGCGCGAAGCTGTTGCCGCTCGACTTGCGCGACAGCGAGCGCAGGCCCGCCGTCCGCCTGCTCCCCGGCGTGTTCGGCGCCGTGCGGAAGCTCCACGCGTACGTCGACGTGTTGGCCCCGCCCGACTTGGGCGCAGATCCTCGGCTGCTCACGGTTTGTGCGTGAGAGACGCTGCTTCTCGGCGAGGGCGGTGTCGGGTCCATGGGCGCGTCGTTGTCGATGTCACTCTCTGACGGCCTCGGGCCCCATTCATCATCCTCATATTCGTCGCCACCGGCGCTGCTACTGAGCGAGCCTAGGGCGTCAAGGTCAAGCGGCTGCATGGCACGCAGCAGCTCGGCAAAGAGGTGCATGATCTCGCGGAATCGTGTGTTTGAGATAGGTCTGTTTGAGAAGCGCGCGTATTCAAACTGGGAGAGAAAGTCGGCAGCCACCTGATCCATGTCGACCACGCCAAGGCCGGCCAGGTGTTCCATGTAGTCTCGCAGGCTCATGTACGGCTGCCGCTGCAGGAGGATCGTGGCCTCAGGGTCCAGCATGGGCGGGTCGGTCTGGGACTCTGGATCCGTCGGCGCCATGGTCAGGGCCTTGGCTTCGATCAGATTGGGCAACTCGGACAGCACAGTGCTATACTGCAAGTCTGGCAGGTCGGGTGAGTTGGGGGACGCCCAGCCGTAGTGCTCGATCTCGCCCCAAACGGCGCGGCGGCGCGGCGGTAGCGGAATGCCCGTCTCGCCGGAGGCCCCCTTGCCTCCAGCAGAACCATTTGCCTCCCCTCCCCAGGCGTCGGTGCTCTCACGGTATGTCGGATCGTGCATGTGTCCGTCGTCATCGCGCTCCTGGACCCGAGGGCGCGCACCGTAGGCGACCGTGGCGCTGCGGTTGAGGCCCGCCGCAATCATCTTGTACACAGCATCCTTGACATCGCCCTTGTCTATAGGGACCCAGCCCTTGGGGATCGCAGCGAGGGCGAGCTTGTTGATGTAGAGTCGCAAGATGTAAACGAAGATGACGACGGTGATGGTCACGACGTATGAGATGGTGACGATCAGCACGTTGTATCGCTGGTTGTTATCGATGGACCGCTCGATGGCGTCGGCGGGGGTTATGAGCAGCAGGCCGAGCAGCACGACATAGAGGAACAGGTAGATCGACCCGTAGACGAGGCGCGAGAGGAGACCTCGGGACTGCATCGTTGTCGCTTGGGGATGGCCGCTCTGCTCAGCGGTCGCAGTCTCGATTGTTCGTGCAGTTCGCCGCTCGCACTTGGGCCGTCATGACGGATAGGGAGGCATACTGTTGCGCGCTCTCGAGCGGCGTGGCCGGGGAATGGGAGAGATGGAGAGATGAAGTTTAAAAAGGGACTGGGGCGGAAAGCAAGCCAGATTGACGTGACGCATAACTAGGGTGGAGCCTCGGTAGGCGCAGTACCTCCAACAAATGCGGACGTCACAGGCTACAGCTGAGCTTGGCGCGCAAACTCCCTCTCTGTGTAGTATTACGAGACACAAGCACGTGCAATCGCCCCCTTTCTCGTGCCATTGCGATAATTATTAAACCTTACAACATCGAGGCATTCTATTCTCTTTTGGTCCCATCCTTGGTATCGTGATACATTACGTTGTACAATATGGAGGCGGCCACGCATGACGTCGCGCAGCTACCGTACTTGCTCCATCTCCGGCCGCGTCTGCTCCCTTCTCTGCGGTCTCCTTGCCTCTGGCTTCTTCTTTTCGTCAGGAGCTTTGCTGCTGCTGACCGCCTCCTTAGCCTTGGGCTCGACGACTGCCCTCGGCGGGGCGGCGGCCTCCTTGGCAAGCCGCACGTCACCAAGCGAGAGCCTCAGGTCGCTGCTGTAAGGCTCAAACTTGGTCACCACCTGGTCCAGCCCTGTCCGCAGCGCGTCCAGCACCTGGTCGACCTCGGGCGTCTCCTTGACACCCGCAGTATCCGTCCAGTGCGCGGGGAACTGCGCCTTCAGCACCTCCAGCTTCCGGATTACAGACGTCAGCGTGCGCACTATGCTCGCCACGTCACGGTGGACGTTGCCGAACTGGTCCTCCCCCAGGCTGTGTACGGCAAGTTGGCACAAGGCCTGAGACGCGTGCACGTATAGCGTCGGCTCTGCAAACGGCGAGCCAAGCGCCGCTGCCGCGAAGCGAGTGCGGAAGCTATGGCTCAACAGCGCACCGACGCCATCGAGCTTCATCAGGCGCGTCGTCCACTGATCCAGCTCGCCACGCAAGTGCTCTGGTGACAGCGCTTCTTGTTGCTCCTTGGTCAGCACACGGTCCTTGGCCGTCTTCCACGTCTTCTTGGCCAGAGGGCTGAGTTCAGACACGGGTGACGTCCCGGGGGCCCGCGCAATCTGATCAATAGCTTTCTCCACCAGTCCCGAGGGTTGGCTTCTCTTGTTGAATATGGGATCCTCTCGTAGAGGGGCCGAGGATCGCTGTTTCGGCGCCACAGCCAATGCTTCGCCAGCAGACACGGCGGCCGGCGCCTTTCCGTACTCGTCGATGCGCGTCTCGATGCTCTTGAGCAGGCCCATGCAGATTGCATACACTTGCGCCCACATTGGTCCGTCCTTGCGGTCAATGTCACAGTAGATGGCTTGCCTGCGGGTTTCGAAATCTTGCGCAATAAGCGCCAACTCCCACATGGCAAACGACTATTTCTCCGTTAGCTCGCTGTCTTGGGCAAGGGTAATACGCATGGTGAGGCTTCACTTGCCTGGATGGATAGCTTTTTGCTCTTCAACCCGTTGAGCAAGCTCCCGTTGGGATCCTTGGACTCGGACGTCAGGGGCTTGCCGTTCTTCACGGGCTCCTTGACCATGAAGATTGAAAAAGCGGTGTTCCCCACAGCCCACAGAAAGTTGAGGAGAGTGCCTGCGTACACACAGCGCGCGAGGAGATAGAGATCGATGGGCCACGACGGCGGAAGCATGTTCGTCCTGGGCAAATTGTAGAAGGGGCGGAGCAGCGACAAGGTCCAGCTCCAGGCGAACGACCGCAGCAGGGCATGATAGAGGCACAGCGCGGCGGCCACAGAGAAGGCAGCCCTTCTAAAAGAGCGGCCGAGGACAGCGGGGAGCTGCAGAAGCACAGTCTGGAAGGACGTGGGCAGGACGCCCAGCTTCTTGCCCGATTCTCCCGGCTTAGGCTTGGTCGGCAGGGTCAAGTCGAGGCGGTCGAGGTCGTATCGGTAGTGGGCAATCGTCTGCACCAGCGCGCAGGCGCCGAGATAGCAGGCCAGGAACAGCGGGCGCTCGTTGAGCCGGGCTCGGTCGCCAGTAAAGTAGGTGATCCAGCGCAGGTTGGCCGAGTCGGACATGGAGAAGAGGAAGACGGGGCAGAAGAGGGAGCTCGAGACGCCGTACCAGAGACCCGTCTCGTACGTCTGCAAGCTCAGCAGCGCGGAACCGAGCGTCTGCAGGCCGGACTCGGTCGTCCTGAGGCCGACATGGTAGTGGGCGATGCGAAGGACTAGGATCGCCAGCCCGCACGCGAAGATGATGGACGTTCGGATGCCGGCAGGGCCGATGGGAAACCAGGACCAGAAGTCTGCAAAAGCGAAGAAGCCATGGTCAGCAGGCGATCTAGGGTTCGCATCTTCGGGTGAGGATGGGGAGCTCACAAGAGCTCCAGCTGGTGAGTAGCAGGGCCTCAATGTACGACACAACCAGGAGGAGCGTGGCCGTCGAGGAGAAGCGCCTGTGCAAAGCCGGCTGCAGGGTGTCCTTGTAGGAGGCCCGTCGAGCTGGAGGGCCGGCCATGTCCACGGGCGCCTCGTGATGCTGGGCTGGCTGGCGGGTGGAGGGAGAAGCGGTTCGAGGCTCGGCGATTGGCAGGTGCAGGACTCTGGCAGTAAATAAAAATCACCAGCGCAGCAACCGGCACGGCGGGTTTGGGGTGGACGCGACGGGGCGTCGCCGCTTTTGCGATTGCAAGGGTCGGCAGCAGCTGTCTCTGTCTGGCGTGTGATCACGTGGCAATAGTAGACGGAACCCGACCTCTTCCAAGTCTCCAAAGGTTGGCCCTGTGACGACGCCCCGCTGATGATTGGTGGGCGCAGAGGGGTTCCGTCACTGCTCAATGCGCTGTGGGGGTTGGGAACGGTGGTGCCTGCGACGGCAACCACGGGTCAGTTACAGGCGGCGCCATCGGCGTCAGCGGTTGCGCCAACCTTGCGTCGTTCCATCTCATGCATCCTCCCCAACCGCTCGCCCGCTCGCCGCATACGACATCCTCCTTCGTGCGCGGCTCCTCGACCCTCGCGCCTCGACAACCCTGAGGCACGTATCCATCAGACCTCCTCCCAGAACCACCCAGACCGCGGACAGCGACCCGCCGCCATGTCGTACGACCAGCTCTCCAGCCTCGAGTCGGGCAGCCGCCGCGGCGGCTACACCGACGACCCGGCCTTTCAGGACCTCCAGTACGAACTCAAGGGCAAGCTGCAGTCGCTGCTGAGCGGCAACCGCAAGCTCGCCAACGACGTCAACGTCCTGGGCACCAAGAAGGACACGCCGCGCCTGCGCGAGCGCGTGCACAGCAGCATGGAGAAGTCGCGCGAGCTGTGCCGCGAGATCGGCGAGGGCGTCAAGCGCCTGCAGTCGTGGGACGAGCTATCTGTAAGAACACGGCCCAGCCCTGAGAGCAAATGCCATTCGCGCAGTATTGCAGGCTGCAATAGAGCGAAGCAGGTTGCTAACCCTCCTCACAGAAGCAGCAAAAGTACGAACAGACAAAGGTCTCGAGCGACTTCCAGGCCGCCCTGCAAGAGTTCCAAGGCCTCCAACGCAAGGCTCTGGAGAAAGAAAAGGCGTCCGTCTCGGCTGCGCGCGCCGCGCACGATGCAGAGGCGGGTCATGCCGGTGGTCAGGGCGCGCCGCTTGAGCAGCTGCAGCAGCAGCAGCAGTTGTCGCAGATGGCCCCGCAGGACGAGGTCGACTTCCAGGAGAGCCTTATCATCGAGCGGGAAGAGGAGATTCGCAACATCGAGCAAGGCGTCGGCGACTTGAACGTGCTGTTCCGGCAGGTGGCGCAGATCGTCGACGAGCAAGACGTGGGTATCCGCACCATCGCCGACAACGTCGAGAACGTGCAGGACAACACCCGCCAGGCCGACATCGAGACCCGGCAAGCCGCTCGGTATCAAAAGGCAGCACGCAACAAGAGCTGCTGCCTGCTCCTCATCCTCGCCGTCATTCTCACGATTGTCATTTTGGCCATTGTTCTTGGTTGAGCGCGGAGCGCCGCTCCCGCCATAGCCTCTTTGTCTATTTTCATTACAACAAACCGCGTGGGCGTTTGCAGGAGTTCTACATGTATACAGCATGATGAGTATGTACACGAGGGTCGGGCCCTCCGTTGAGACGACTAATCCGCATTTCGCAATGCAAGCCTGTTCACTTTATTGATACACCTTTCGCCTTGATGCCCCGTAGATACGGCAGCGCCGGCGCTGCTTTCGGTCCTAGTTTGAGCTTGGGTGTCCTCTTCGGTACGAGCCTTTGTATGATGGACTCGTTGACGTCGTTCAGGCCGAACGTCGTAGCCCAGTAGAGGAAGATGGCGCTGGGCAGGTCCGCGAATACTATCGGGAAGAGTGGAACAAGTAAAAGAGTCCTGCCAATGGCGGTCTGTATTCTCGAGATAGGCGCGATCCGGGCACCGGATCGGTCCACTGTGAGCAGCGCGCGGAGCTGCTCCTTAGACAGGCGTCCCCATGAGGTGCGCGCCAGCAGGGCCGAGCATAGCAGCGGGAGTACGTAGTAGGGGTCCATGGCAGTCAGGTCAGCGAACCAGAGGCAGCCGCCTTGGGCAAGAGACTGGTCAAACAGGCCGGTCGAGTCAGAGAGGGCCGCGGAGACGCGCTCGACGTTGGCGAGGCCCATCTGGTGGCTGATCCAGCCCATCGGCGCACCGCACAGCCTACGCAAGGCCTCGGAGACGACGATGAATGGCACCATGCTGAGGAAGGGCGCGAGCGTCTTCCACCGCTGGACACCCCAGACCTTGTAGATGCGGCGGCGCGAACGCTCTGTCAGGCCCGCAACGCGGAGCCTCCACGTGCGCTCGGCGGCCTCGATACTGTCGCCTGCGCGGGCTGTGGGCGCAGGCACGGTGGCGGCGTGGCGCGAGGCCCAGGCGGAGACAAGGGGGTTGAGCTCGGCGCGACGGACGACGAGGCGGCGCGTGTAGTGCTGGATGGGCAGGCGGAACGACAGATTGACGCCGACGGCAACGAGTGGGATGGCCAGGTACCAGGGGAGGCCGGCGGCGTGGTGCAGCGCGCTGACGCCGTCGGCGGTCCAGATGACGGCGTCGCCGAGGGCGCTGAGGTGGACATGCCTCCGGCTGCCGGCGATACTCGTCGTCCTCGTTGGCGTTGAGGAGGAGCGGCAGAGCGGGCGTGCAGGTGGTGATGACAGGGCGACTCGTCTGGCGGCTGTTGCAAGCCCGGCGCCGGCGGGCATCGCTGCGCGGAGTGGTGGGGGCATTGTGGTGTGCACGCGCCTCCCTTGGAGGATAATGGGAGAGTTGGGCGCCGATTGATGGTGTGCGTCGGTGGGATGGGGTCAACGTATGAGATGTGAATGAGCGAGAGGTCGTCGACCAGGTGAAGTCAAGTTTTGGGAGTGAGTAGCTAGTGTGGGTCCAACCGTGGATGACCGACAGGCAAGCCAATGCATACATCGGTAGGTGATGAGGCAGCATGGCATTCCTCACTGAGGTGAGGCAAACAATGCAAGGTATATGTATGTTTGTGAGAAAGTAATTAGCCACATGTTTGAGTGTTTAACAATGTCTGGTTGGCAGCGTAACGGAACACTGGTCTTTGGGGACCGCGGAGAGCCTCATGGGACCGTTGAAACAAACGATCGGAGCTGTGTCTTTGCTGTCGCGGCCACCATTCGCAAAAAGCAACGCCTTCGTACTTTCCTGAGAAGATTTGACTATTTACTTATAGCTTGACATCAGTTTTCTTTCGAAACCTGTCTATATACTTGAGGGTATCAATGCGGGAATTGAAGGTCGATATAGGGTATACTTGGCGGTAACAGCGACCATACGTGACTGTCCCATACATAACTCTCCCGCCTCGAAGCACTAGCAAAGGTGCAAAAAGGCTCATCTTCCTCATGTAGAGCCCGGTGGCGCCGCTGGGTGCTTCCACGCCATCCAGGCAATCCAAACCTGAACGCACGCAAGTATGATGCTGACGATTCCCACGAGGATGCCGATGAGGAGCGCAAGCAGCGCCACGAACAGGGCGTTCCCCTCCGAGCTCTGGCGCTGAAACCAGCGCTCCAGCATGTTTCGCGGCGGCCGGCTCGTCAACATATGATGCAGGTGGGCGAGTCGTTCACCCCAGAAGACGTACTCGAAGTCTTCCGGCGGCTCGAGGAAGAGCTTGTATCCCTCGTACAGGGCGCAATGGGGGTCGAATCCCCGTTTGGCGATGAGCTCGTCCAGGATGGCCGCCGAGCTCGGATCTACTGAAGGAAACAGTATGCCCTGTAGCGAATGCACAGTTTCGACGAGGAGCTGAGGCGGGAGAGCGCCGCTGGCAGGAAGAACAAAGTGATGAGTTAGCCGCCCTTGCCAGGATCCGCTTCAGCGGCCATTGTTGGGGAATTGGGCGAGTACAGGTATGATGGCAGGAGAGACCGACTTACCGCTTGAGACTCTCCTTCAGTCCAATTGATAGCGGCTTCGTTTCGTGCTGGAATCGTTCCAGGTTTGCCTTGAGGAAAGCGACGTGATGGAACAGGTAGAGGCAATTGCGCCTCGGATCAAACAGCAAGTGCTCCGCCAGGTTGTTCGTGCGACGAAAACGCACGCCCAGCCGCTTCTGGAGTTTCCATGCTTTCATCGACGCCCTCTGTTCGATTGCCTGCCTAACACTCCCAGACGAGGATTCGAGGCCAAGGGGGAAAGACCGTTCCACGAAAGCCTGAAAGGACTCATTCGGCAGCCAAGAGGTTGGACGATAACCGCCTAGCACGAAGTCAGTCGAATGCCAGTCCTTGGCACCGGCGTCGACCATGACCATGGCTTGGACAGCCAAGTTGATCACATTTTGAGTGGTCGAGGATGAGCCACCATGGTCATCTTGAAGACATTCAGTTATCTCCGCCTTCGTCGCCTGCGTGCGTTCCTTGAGGATGTTGGAGACTCGGAGCACGGCCTCGTGCGTCTGCGGCCGAGGCTTCATGTTGTATGACATGCCCTCATGTTGGTCGATTGTGACGACGAGGTCGTCCTCGTTCTGCGCCAAATCATCGTATACTTCAAAAAAAGAATAGAAGTCGCCGTCCTTGCCTAGAAAATGCTGAGCGATTGCGGCTCTATCCACTCGAGTGGTCGGTCTCATGCTTGACGTGAAGACTTGATTGAAGGGTACTGTGGTCAACAATAATAAGCCCCCCGAAATGCTTCGTTGAAACTTTCGAGCAGGCCACGACTTTGCAGTCGATCGAAGAAAACCTAGCTGAGATTGATAGCCTGGCTGAACCCTGCCATCATAGGCAGTCAGCTCCTCTCTGCATTCAGCGGGCGAATCTGCCTTGCTTCAAAGGTCACCTACTTTGTCCAATGGCATTTGGGGTCCGCGTTGTGCAGATGCTTCGCCACACCGGTCGCGTACATGTGCAGATTATGTTTTTAGGCCTTGGGAAGAGGGCTTCCTTGCACGCGCCCGCCAACGGTTGCGCTGTCCCCTCACCGGCCGTGCCTTCATTCTGTGCCTCTTTGCAACGGCTCCGAAATCCCGATCTGATCCACCGTGATTTACAACTACACATGGCCGCCGATTGTTTCTTCGATGACTACCATGCATCGAAGTTCAAATGAGATGGACACCCTCACGATATCGCTGCCAGTGGAAACGGCGGTCGCACGCGACACCATCGGTCGCGGTCGCAGTGCGGATGCCACGAGGCGCGCAACAATGACCTCTCAAGATGCTGCAACATATACACTGGAGCCTCCGACATGGAACTTTGGGGACATGGAGGGTGAATTACCACAGAAAGGCAAACTCCGGCTACAGTCAGGCAATCGTCAGAAGCCTTCGACAGCCGAATCAGCCTCCGTGCAGCCGCCGCTGGCAGTGAGACCAGAGCAGTCCACGATCCCAGCACAGCAACATCACCAAGCAGCTACCTCGGCCATGGTAGTCGAGGAGTTGGCCAAGCGATACATCCCTATTCCGGGCAGCCGACAAAGGAAATGAATTTACCCCTACGCCCCCGTGGCTTCGCCGGCATGGTCACCCCAAGCGTACCAGGAGCGAGCTGCGTTCGTTATCGGAGAGCTGAAGAAAGCCGTCGAAGAAGACTATGAGATACGGGACGAAGGGCGATTTATCGGCTACGACCCGAGAATGGTGGGCACATCTCTAGAAACGGCTACGCCGTCCATCATCGTCAAGTGCAAGAAGACTATCTTGAAACGGCTCAGGGACCGGTTCAAAGACCGTGCCGCGGACAGGCTATACTGTCAAGTTGACTCCATAAGGTTTCGACTGTTCAAGGGATGCGAAACGCCGTTTCCACCTTTCAAGCTCGTCTTCATTGCGGCGAGTCCACTCGAGCGGTGGGCGGCTGACGAGGACCTCGCGGTCTTCCTTTCTTCGGACGAGACTTTGTGCGGAGCTCTGCTGCAATGCGAGGGTCGTATTGCGACGGCGGGCCTCATGCTTGAACTTGAGGGGGGAATGGACGCACTTCTCACGGTTGATCACCTGTGGAATCGTGAACGAGCCCAAAAGCCTGACCAGCAGAGTTTCCTTGGCTCGATGGACGGCGCCTCTACGTACACCACGGGCCGGAGAGAATCTGCGTTGGACGAGACCGAGATAGTTCGTCTGAGCCAGCTTTGGATCGATGAGGATGACTGTGAGGATGAGGATGAGGATGACGAAGTATCAGTTCACACCCCCGAAACCTGCACTGGCGAGACACCGCTTTTAGAGCTGCCCATCATCGCACCTCCACCGAACACCCAACCCGAGAATCGAGGCACTACCGAGAATGCGCCCGTAAAAGGCTGGCGCTTGAATGGCCATGTCGCGCTTCGCCCTTCCAGCCCATATCTGGACTGGGGACTGATGCACCTTGACCCAGACATCATGAAGAGCAGACGTGGCAACATGATTTATCCTAAGGGAAAGTCGGCACCTCCCGTGGAGCTTCGGGATATTGCTCACGTCCCGCGCTCTCACGCCACGCCCGTTTATATGGTCTCAGGCGTCAGGGGCACCAGAGCTGGTCGATTGCTCGACGGCTTCAGCTTCCTCGGCTCCAGCCCCGGACAGGACATCTGTAAGGTATGGACTGTGATTCTTGACGCACCCGGAGGTAAGATCTCTCTCCTACGCCTTCGTGACCGCGCCTCCGTCGAGGTGGTTGTCGCCCCAGCCCGCTAATTTGACTTGACTTGGGCGAAAGACCTTGTCCCCGGCGAATGCGGCTCGATTGTGGTCGATCAAGAGACCTCGGAGGTGTACGGACACGTCGTCGGGTCGGATAGCCTCGGCCAGACATATATTATCCCATTGGTGCACACAATCGAACAAATCAAAGCATCTTTCAACTGCTCACACGTGAGGCTGCCGACGATACAGACTCGACATGCAACAAATAGGCCGTCAACAGATCAAGTCATGGCGCTCAATCTGGACCGAGGCGCAGCTGAAAATCCCAGCAACGACGCGATGGCATCCGACGGGCATAGGCCCCGTCCCTTTCGCGGCCCGACCGAGTTCGCAAGGATAAGCGAGGCAGTGAGAGAGCTCAGTCCGCTGTCCGACGACAGCGTCTTGGCCACTTCGCCACAGCCCGCGGCCAGGGAGCCTTTACTGGCCAATGTCGGGAAGCGGACGCACCACGGGTCGCCGTCTGGCCATTCGTCCTCAGGTCTGTCATCTCACCCTATCTACGGTAATTCTCAGTTTAGCCCGCGGCACATCACATGCAGAACAGCATTATCTCTTCGCATCCGCAAGCTGACCTATCTGATGCAGCGCCAGACCAAAACCAGACGACGATGAATGACCTGGTACACGTGAAAACCGAACTCGCGAGAGCCAAGATTGAGCGCGACCGCTACGAGCACCTCTACAAACAGGCTACGCTTGAATTGTCCCAGACCCAGGCCGCCTACGAAAACATCTCGGCCGAGGCGAGCAAGCACCGTGACGACGCCTACAAGGCGCGCGGGCGCACTCTGAAGCTCGAAGACGGCATGGAGCGTTTGAAGTATGAAACCGAAGCATGGCCCGCTCACTACGCAGTGCTCGAGAAGCGCTTCTCCGACTTGGCTTCGCAATACAACATTCTGAAAGCAACCGGAAGGATGACTTCATCACCCTTGTCTCTCGACTTGCCTGAATTGCCCATTAGTTTGCAGGCGTCGCCTCGCTACCGTGAAAGCAAGAGGCTGGCAACGATTATGTCCACCCCCGGCGAGTCCTCAGAAGCGAAGGCGCCGTCATTACAAAGCAAGGTGTCGTTTGCGTCGAAACCTCGGCCCGGCGACGCGCCGGTGAGCTCGATGATGTACGACGATTGTAGATTGAACCTTCACGACGACGATGATTTTGATGGCGCGATGACCACCAAATTTTACCTCTGACGCGGGAGTTCCCAGCTTTTGCTTTGGCCAGTGGGCATGAGTCGCTCGAATGACTTGTCATCCGTCTTGACTCTGGAACATCGCGGTACGGCGGGTATACTTGATGGTCTATGACTCAGTACCGCGGGGCAGGGCCGGGGGCTCCTGGAATCGGGTGGGATATTGCAGGTATACTGGGCGTCTATTTGTCTTGATCCTGGACTTGGAAACCTTTGGAGAGCAGGTGATTGCCTGGTGATTGTATAACATATATCGATGCACAGACATAGCTGTCTCCAGTCCCCTCTCCCTTGGCTGAAGCACAGCCATTGGCCGTGATTCAGGCCCATGTCCTCGAGTCTGCTACAAAAGCCCAGTCCCAGTGTGAAGCCGCCCTAGAGAGTCTCCTTTCTCAAAACATGTCCACGTCGGTCCCATCATCCCAGTCGGGCCAGTCAATCAGCGCACCGTCGATGGCGTACACGTCCCTCTCCCAGTCAGCCGCCGCAGTCTCCTCCAGCACGCCCCGAATAAACGACGACGTCTGGGTCTCGAAGCCCGGCGGAGCCTTGGCTTGAGCCTCCCATCCTTGCTGCAAGGCTCTCTCTTCGCCCGCGTTGGCTCGATTGTCCACAGGGCTCATGACCCTCGCCACAGCTTCATCGGCTGCGGATGATACGGGATGTCGTCCAAACGCGTCCTGGATAACGAAGCGCTCGACCTCTGGCTGCGAAGCGGCGGCCTCATCCACCTGCAGCAAGTTCCAATCCAGACCAGTCTCACGCGCCGCCGCCCGGTCCTCCACCAGTTTCTCACGGTGCGCCGCCGCCTTGGCCGCCAGCTCGTTCAGGCGCCGCCACTGCGCGTCCCTCCTCGCCCCCTCAGGAAGGCCTTCGAACAGTCCCCGCGCCAGATCCCACGCCCGCTCCGAGGCCGGCGTCCACGGTAGCTGGCATAGCTGGATGAAGATAGAACCTACGGCTCGCCACGGGAAGCGGCCCCGGAGCTGCCACCGCCACTTATGCCAGGCTGGGTTTGTCTCGAGTTCTCGCGTGGCGTCGATGACGGCCACAGACGAGGTGAAAAACTGGCTCCGTGTACTTGCGGCGGCTCCTGCGTCCGCGGGGCCCCTGAGAAGATGCTGTCTGTAAATCTCCATTTCTACCTTGGCGAAGAATAGGCCCGTGATGGTCTGCAGAAACGACACGAATGCATCGTCCGAGCGGGGAGTAAACGGATACAAGCCCGCGATTCTTGCCCTCGAGTCATGAGCCATTTGTAGCTGTAGGGCTAGTGTATCGTCGGGTCGGCTGCGGAGGGTGCTGCGAAGCTGCCAGATTTCACAGCGGATGACGGCCAGCGCCGTTGGTGATGGGCGTAGCTCTCCCCCGGCAAAGGCAGTACCGGAGGTGTAGGGGATCTTTTGATCATCGATGTTGCTCGGAGTTCGAGTGGTGAATGCAGCTTCCGAAATACCAATCCCGGGCACGCCCAGATCCACGCCCCGGGACTCGATGAAGCAAATGTGCCACCAGAGTCGCCGATTCGTTTCCATCTCGACCACCGAGACCTTGTTCGGCTGCTCTCCATCCAGATCATCCTTGTGCAATCCCATAGAGGTGGCGATTCGCATAAGAACTCCCGTCAAGTTGGAGGCCAGCTGCGCGGAGTCGATATACGGAAGGATGGACAGATAGATGGCGAGAGCCTGAATGACTTGCACGTCCCTCGTCGTTGCGAACCGCGCGCGCCCGAGGGTCCTCTCCGCGCCTAGCCGGAAGCGAGATATCATCTCGCCTCGCGAGACTCGGAAGGCGTCTGATACTTCATCTCCGTCCAAAGAGACGATGGCGGCGAGGCAGATGGAGAACAAGAGAGCCTCAACGCCCGGGCCGAGAGAGTCGAGTTTGCCCTTGGTCTGGCTGATGACGGACTCCACGGTCGGGACGTGGAGTACCTTGATGAAGGGATCGACATTCTGCACGAACGTGTTCCACAGAAATGGCACTTGTGAGGGTAAGGGGTACAGGTCCTCCTCGGCTGTAGAAGCGCATGGGTTGCCGAGCAGGTATCCGTGACAATGGTCCTGGGTAGATCCATCGTCCACGGAACTCGCCTGCCGCACTGCTGGCTGGGGCTCGTCCGATACGTCTTGGATGGCTTCGAATATGTGTTCCACCTGCTCAAGTTAGTGGTTGAGCCGTGCCAGTGCATTGAATCGATGTTCTGCCCACTCACCTCGTCACAGAAGATGGACCAGAAGCCCCTATCCACGCGCGGTCTCCCGCCCTGATCGACCACCAGCCTGCCAAAGTCCTCATACATTTCTTCGTTTCCAGTCAGAGGCGTCTTGCCCGCCGATGCCGATGACCCGGAAGACAGTGCCCCCAGTTGTAGCTGCCTCGTCGGCGGCAGGCTCCCGTCCTCGAGCTGGCCGCTCAGCTCCGTCACAAGGTCCTCCAGGCGTCGCAGGCGACCGAGAAGCTCCACCTGTCGGTTAGAAGACGACGTTATGGCTGAAAAGGCACCGGTAGGGTCCCGGCTGCGGCGCGGGAGGCGGCCGGTGACGGGGAAGTGGCACTCGATGCCGTTGCGGACGCAGTTGGCGCACGGGTCGCGGCGGTCACACTTGACCTTGCGGCGGCGGCAGGTGACGCAGCTCCATATCTTGAGGCCTTCCTGGTCTCGGGAGGTGGCGGCGGGCCCTTGTTGAAGCGACTCCATATGGCCTCAACGCCGCGAGTTGGCGGTCGCTGTGCGATTTGGGCAACGGCCGATGCGCTGGATGGGTGCACGTCCAAGCTGACTCGCGAATCACGTTGTCTTCTGGTCGACTTTCTGCACTGTAAAGTAGCCGTTGGAGAGGCACCAAGAAAATGTGATAGTGTCGCGCTAGATTGGGCATTGGGACTCTGCGAGTGAGACGGACGTTGGCGACGATGAGCTGCGCCGGAGTGGGGCGCGACTCGGACACGGAGTTCGGCCCTGGATCTGGCCTGTCGGCCCACATCCGACCGAGCCCGTGGCCCCGACTCACCACCGTCCGCCGTCCGAGTGATGCTGACCAACGCGCGCGCAACGGCCTCGGACAAAGACATCGAGATCGTGAGAGGCGAGACAGCGCTAGAAAGCAACTATTTAGCTTTGCTTTTCTGCTTACTCTGCACGGTATAAGACGGGCCGGGATCGCATACCGTCTCGGCGCACATCTAATGCTGCACACTTGGCCGCTTACCTGGCAGTCGCAAAGCATGGCACAAACAGTCGTCATTCTCGGCGCGGGTTGGGCCGGCTTGCCCCTCGCCCACAAGCTGCTCAAGTACACGGCGCCCAAGACTGCCCTCAAGGTCATCCTCATCACGCCCAACAGTAACTTCTTCTGGAACGTTGCCGCTACACGCGGCCTCATTCCCGGCGAGATTCCCGACGAGCAGCTTTTCCGACCCATTGCGCCAGGCTTCGACAGGTATCCGGCAGGGGCCTTTGAGCTCGTGCTCGGTCGCGCGGAGGGTATCGACGAGTCGGCCAACACTGTCAAGATCGTTACCAACGCCGGGGAGGCACAGGACATCTCATACACACAGCTTGTCATCGCTACAGGTTCAAGGATCAGCAGCGGTTTGCCGCTCAAGCCTATCGGCAACGATCAGGTTACACTTGACGCGTGGCACGCCCTGCAGAGGCGCGTGGGCGATGCCAAGTCCGTCGTCGTCGCCGGCGCTGGGCCGACCGGGGTTGAAGTCGCCGGCGAGCTGGCCGCCAAGTACGGGTCGGCAAAACCCATCACTCTCGTTGTCAGCGGAAGCAAGCCTTTGGACGGCGGCAGCGACGGCCTCAGTCCTTCGCTCATCGCCACCGTCGACAGCGATCTGCAGGAACTCGGCGTCAGGCTTGTGCGCAATGCGCGCGTCGACAAGGACGAGGCGGACCCCAACGACAAGGAACGCCGAATATTAACTCTGTCGGACGGCTCGGCACTCAGGACAGACTGCTACCTGCCGCTTCACGGCGTACGGGTCAATACGTCGTTTGTCCCACCACACCTGCTCGACGAGCGCGGCAACGTCAAGCAGGACCAGAGCCTGCGTGTCACCGGCACGCGCAACGTGTGGGCGCTCGGCGACGTGGGCGACACCGATGCCAAGCAGCTCACGGTAACGGACGCCCAAGTCATCCACGTGGCGGCGGCCCTGGACGCAACGCTGACGGGATCCGGGCCGGCGGCGACATACTCGCCACAGGGCAAGACCATGCTCTTCTTGGCGCTGGGCAGAAAGTTTGCAACGGGCCAGATTGGCGGGTGGAGGCTCTGGCGATTCCTGGTTGCCTGGGTCAAAGGCAGGAAGCTGTTTGTGGACACTGCCGAGGCGTACGTCGGGGGGACGCGGCTGAGGCACGCGGCCATGTAGAGGCGCGCTTGACCACCACGGGGAATTGAGAGGGCTTGAGCTGAAGTCGGACACGTGGGCGGGAAAGCTGTGATGGAGATTTGTTCGGATCCCACTCCTAGCGCTGTTGGTCTGCCTGATCCATGGATGGCTGTCATGGTTCACCGCCGCGGCACCCGCAGCGTCAAATGTCGATGCCGGTTGGATACCAAGATCGACCAATCTCCACGCACGAAGAGCTATAATAAGTAGAAGAGGTAGTACGGGGACACCCAACAGGTAAATTCATGCAGAGTCGGCCACATGGCCTGACTCTCATGTGGCCGCATAGAGGTGGTTGCAGTTGGACACAAGTGCAAGTGCGTGCAGGCACCTGCTGCAGTGGAGATGCGCACCGTAACACACCGAGCCCAGGCAATACGTACCCCAGTGCATCACGCCACGTGACGCGCCCTGGGACGGTGGAGCCCAGCTGGCCAGGTGCCTCAAGCCACAAGGTGCACTGCACTAGACCCTCAGCCGGCTGGTCCCCTGTCCGATGGTCCCCCTCCCCCGTTTTAGCACAGCTCACCTCAGGCTCGACAGCAACCTTCAAAGGCCAGAGCTGTCCCGTCAGCTCCACCACGAGCCCGCGACCACGACGCAGCTCCTCCAACTCGCAACCTTATTCCTCCTTTCGCCGCCCTTGCAGCCCGTTGCTGCCGGTCATCGTTTGCTCGTTTCTCCTCCTGGCCGCAATGACACAGCTCTCGGGTCCGCTGGGTGCCTGATATGAGGCACTGGAAGTAGTTCCTTCGTACTTCGTACCGCATCAGCGCCAGAGAGCATCGCGCCGTCGTCATATTTCCCGCCATGGCCGCCGACACCTGCACCGCGCCTGACGGCACCAAGCCGTTCTCCTTTGGTCTCGAGCCCCGCACCCTCGCCTTCGTCGTCGTCCTCATCTCCTCGACGCCCTTCCTCCTCGTCTTCGTCCTCCCCCGAATCCTTGCCCGCGTCGGCCGGGCCCTCGGCTGGACCCTCCGCAAGCGCACGGATGGCCGGCGAGCTCTCCTCCTGTCGCTCATGCAAGACGATGATAGCAAGTTCCGCGAGCGGAGCGAAGGCCAAGCAGACAAGAAGCAAGCTCAAGACGCCAGTGCCGGGGCGCTCAGTGGGGTCGACATACAGCAGCAAGACTGGGACGGCATCGTCGGCTTCTTCCACCCGTTTTGGTACGTTATCGGATAGCTTCAGGCCTGCCACACCAGGTCATTCGCTGACGAATCATAGCAATGCTGGAGGAGGCGGCGAGCGCGTTCTCTGGGCTGCCATCCGTGCGACACAGACCCGGTGGCCCAAGGCCAAGTGTGTCGTCTATACCGGCGATCACGACGTGAACAAAGATGCGATATTGCACCGCGTCGAGGTGAGCCGGATCCTGTACCGGCTATAGTGTCTTAACTTGACAATCTAACCGACATCCTCAGAGTCGATTTAACATCCATCTCCACCCCCCAACCATTACATTTCTCTACCTGTCCAAGAGGCATTGGGTTTTGGCGTCGACATGGCCTCATTTCACCCTCCTCGGCCAGTCGTTGGGCTCCATGGTCCTCGCCTGGGACGCCTTTTCGCTGCTCGTCCCCGACATCTTCATCGACACCATGGGGTACGCTTTCGCTCTCGGCCTCTCCAAGTTTCTGTTCCCGAGTGTGCCGACCGGCGCCTACGTCCACTACCCGACAATCTCCACCGATATGCTCGCCTCCCTGGACCCTACGTCTGCCGTCGGCTCTCAGGGCGTCAACGCCGGCAAGGGCACGGGCACCCGCGGCATGGCCAAGAGGACCTACTGGGAGCTTTTCGCCAAGATATACTCATGGGTCGGCTCTTCCATCGATGTCGTCATGACCAACTCGACATGGACCCAGGCACACGTCAAGAGCTTGTGGGGCCCATGGCGTGAGGAGAAGGAATCAACGCACCCAATTGCTGTCGTCTACCCTCCGTGCGCCGTCAGCGAACTCGAAAACGAGGTCGAGGTGTCGGAAGCGAGCGAAAAGAAGCGCGAGCCTGTGCTTGTCTACATTGCGCAATTTCGCCCGGAGAAGAACCACCAGCTCATCCTGCAGTCCTTTGCCGAGTTCCTCAGGACCAAGACCACGGCCGCGCAGTCGGCCCGCCTGGTCCTCATCGGCAGCGTGCGGGACGACCAAGACTCCAAGAAGGTGTATCAGCTACGCTTGCTGGTCAACGAGCTTGGCATTAAGGATCGCGTCGAGTTTCATCTGGATGCATCGTGGCCCGAGATTCTGGAATGGTTGCGCCGGGCGTCAGTAGGCGTCAACGGCATGTGGAATGAGCATTTTGGCATCGGCGTGGTCGAGTACCAAGCGGCAGGGCTCATTTCCGTGGTGCACAATAGCGGCGGACCCAAGTTGGACATTGTCGTTGACGTGGACGGGGAGCCAACGGGTAAGCGCAACGCCTCCAGCTTTGCGAGAAGCTCCATAACTGACACTGTATAGGCTACCACGCCACGTCTGCGGAAGAGTTCGCGGCGGGCTACGAAAAGGCCCTCTCCCATCCGAACCCCCTGCAGGTGCGCCAACGAGCCCGCACCTCAGCTAAGAGGTTCACCGAAGAGGAGTTTGCCAAGAAGTGGCTGGCTGAGATGGATCGGCTGGTGGCTCTACGGTCGAGCAGATAGGTGGGCGGCGGCGCGGCACGTCGGCATAGATGTAGACCCAGGAGATACCCCATCTTTCCTTTAGCGGGATCGTGTTTATAGACAAGTTGATGGCTCGGCATGCCAGGACAGTGCAGATAGAAGGCCTGGCAGGGTACACGGGGAACTAATGCAAACGCTCTTGTTCGATTCTCACGCCCAGCCATGCGCGTGAGTGTACGTCTCTACTACATGTAATGTATGTGGCCCCCCTGTCTGCGCATGAGGGTCGTCTAAATTGTGAAGCCGGCGCTGTTGCGCTGCCTCGGCTCGCTCGCCGCCTCAAAGACCCCGTCATCCAGCATCATTATGCCCTGCACAGCGCTGAGCCCCTCGGCCACGCGGGTCAGGTTATGGCCCCTGGACGCCAGGGAGGCAGCGGTCCCGTTGTCGAACTTGTACTCGAGCAGGACGGTGTTGGGCATGAGCTGGTCGTGCATGCGGGGCTCGGCGAGGGCCTCGCGCATGGACATGGCGTGCTCGAAGACGTGCCACAGGGCGGCGGCGGTGGCGGTGATGATGCGCGAGCCGCCCGCAGCCCCGACGGTGGCGATGAGGGCGCCGTCGCGGCGCGGGTCCGAGGCGATGACGGGCGTGACCGACGAGAGCGGCCGCTTGCCAGGGCGGATGTAGTTGGCCTCGGAGGGCTGGAAGCCGAACTCGTTGGGCACACCGGGGATGGAGAAGTCGTTCATCTCGTTGTTGCTGTGAGACAGAGGAGGCTGCGGTCAGTGACGTAGCGCAGGCTAGGGGTTGTGGAAGTCTTACAGGATGACGCCCGAGGTCGGATCCATGATCTGTGCTCCAAAGAGGAGGTTGATAGTAGTCGTCAGCGACGTGGCCATGCCCGACGCATCGGCCGTGACAATGTGCGACGTGCCGTGGCCGTCGGGCGCGTACGTGTCAGACGGATCGTACGCCTCCACTGGCTGCGTGTGGTCGTCGGAGATGTTGGCGCGGATGCGTCGAGCGTTGACCTCGCTGAGCATGCGGTCCTCGAAGGCGCGCACGCCGTTTACATAGTCCGGGTCGCCGAGCTCGACGCGCGAGCCGTACGCGAAGCGCATGGCCTCGGCGAAGCGGTGCGCGGTGAGGTTGACGTTGTCGCGGTCGGACAGGTCGAACTGCTCCATCGTCTTGAGGATGTTGAGGCACACGGCGCCGCTTGCGGGCGCGCCCACCGTGTGCAGGTCCACGCCGCGGTAGCGCACCGACTTGACGGGACGGGACAGGACCTTGTAGGACGAGAAGTCTTCGAGCGTCATGCTGCCGTTTGTCTGCTGGATGTACTTGACCATGGCCTCGGCTGGGGTTGCCAGTCAGCACTCAGAGTTGCGAATCGCGGGCGTTGAAGGGCTTCCTTACCAATCTCGCCCGTGTAGAAGGCATCCCCTCCCTGTTCCGCAATCTTTTCGAGAGTGCTGGCTTGGAGTCAGTCAACGGCATGATAGATTGGGTCTTGCTGTCACGCACTCGGCATATCGCTTTCGGGTCATGATGTCGCCAACACCCAGCAACGTTCCTGGAATATTGTCAGCAACCGTGACAATGCTAAAGGGCTCTAAGTCGACTCTCACCGTTGGGGGCAAAGTCCTGCGCAAAGCTGGGGTCCTGGGACAGGTAGTTGAACTCTCTCCCGGCGACGCCTCTCTCCATGTAGCTGACCGTGTCGCTCGACACTGCATCGGTTAGCAAGCGCTGAGCAAAGTAGATGAGACAAAGTTTGAGAGACATGCGGCTGACGAACCTTTGAAGCCGTTTCTTGCGACATGGATGGCGCCTCGCATGACGATCTTCCAGGGGAGTACCTGCAGCTCGTGGTCAGCCTCAAGCTGCCATGTGAGACACACACAAAACTTACACCATATTTCTTATGGATATACTCGAGGCCGCGGACCTCGCTGGGCACGCCGACGGCCAAACCGCCGACGATGCTCCCGTTCACGTTGCCCTGGTACATGTCTTGATGGGCCGCGGCAGGGGCAGTCTCGCGGAAGTCCACGGCTTCGTAGTTGCCGTGGGCATCGCGGATTATGGCAAAACCGCCGCCACCGATGCCTGAGTGATACATGCCGATGACGCCGACGCAGAACGTCGTGCCAACTAGCGCGTCGGCGGCATTGCCCTACAGAAGGAGGTCAGGAAGAGCAACCACTGGGTCTGAAGGGGAGCGGCGGGGCGGCATGAACGTACGCCTCTGGCGATCAAGTCTCTTCCTATGGCGCTGCACTCGGCAGCCTCGCTGGCCACGGCACCGAGGGATCCATGCGAATCCGGGCCGAGCACGATCTCGGGGATAGCGCGAGCGGTGACTGCGACATGATGGAGTGAGATTGCCAGGAGCAGCCTCAGGAGATGAGGCCAGCTGCTAGAGAGTCCTACGATTCATGATGAGTGATTGACATACACGGCATACGTGATCGACTTACTCATATCGTCGGGGCCGGCATGGACGGCTCACGGTCTGTCGTGTGTCGGGCCGTCGGCGACGGTTCGGAGGCTCGGCTTCGGGGTGAGGGTATCACTATCAACACGACGAAAGGGCAGATAAGAACAAAGATCGGCCCGTACACGCAAGACAGAACGAAAAACAAACACTGACACAACCGGTGCGGCCGCGTGCGCCTGATCAATAATTCACGATGCGCCCGGCGAGTATCGTGAGAATCAAGAAGTTGGTTGAATGAGTGAGCGACGGCGGCGCGGCAATGCCGGCCGTTTACATAAACACACGGCCGTGGACGTCGACGGCCCCAAATTCAATGTGGAGCTGCGCAATCGGCGGACACGATGGCCTGGTGACATTTTAGCTCCCGCCCTCTGGACATGCCGTGGCACTGCAGGTAACCTCACCTCGTGCTGGACTGTTATCGTGACTCGCGGGCGCTCGCTGGGGGTGTTTGGCCCGGCGGGCTGGTTGGCAGGCACAGGGCATGTGACCCCTGCCCAGGGCTGCCCAGCTGGTTCCTTTCAGCGGGGCCCCAGGTACCTGCCCCTCTAGGGGCCTTCAGGCACGCACTGGGAGGTCACGATTGGACCCGGACCGGACCCAACAGGACGGATGGTTTCACAAGGCGAGCGGCCACGCGAGCCAGCGCGTGTCTCAGCGTCCGCCTGCTGAAGAGGTACCCAGCATGCAGTGTGTTTTGAACGGGCTGACCGGGCAAGCCTAAATAGGCAACCCGGAACAATTCAATGCAGTGCGCCTGCCGTAGCGTGGCACTACGACAGCTTTCCGTTTGTGCGCGTGGTGATGCTCTCGGACTGCACCGACATGGCGGGCGGGGAGACGGCGCTGAGGACGGCGTTGGGCGAGGTACTCAAGGTCCGCGGGCCGGCATATGGTGAGCGAAGCAGCTGCTGCTCGGGCTGACACCTGGAGGAGCGGACGACGCGGCTGCGCTTGCCCGCGACAGGCCGTCCCGCGCTCCAGCAGCCAATCACGGCAAAGGCGTTTTCGGTGACCCCAGTCAGCATCGCCATTGGACAGCTCCAGCCCGTCTCGTTCCCAGATGGGGCAAAAAATATCAGTGAAAGCTTCATTCATCACCAACGTCAACTCATCCACACTGTTGCGACTTTCACCTTCCATTTCCCCTTGTCTCTTCCAAGCTGGACGCTGTGTCAGCCGACAGATGAGAATCGTCTGGAGAGTCTCGTCACAATTCATCTCACGACCATCTGGCTTTCTCATTCCACGACCCTCACATTTGCTCCAGCGCCGTCTGGCCCTTGCTACGATGGCATCGGCCCAGCCCGCACCCTCTGCGGCCGTCGAAGCCTCTGCGCCTGCCCAGGCCAATGGCAATGGCAATGGCAATGCCAACGGCACAGACAACAAGAGGCCTCACAAGCGGCCGAATCCTGGCAACGGTGGCCACGGCAAGGCCAAGGATTGGAAGCACAAGAAGACGAAGCGGGAAAAGAACATCACCGAGGGCTCGTCCGAGGATGTCTTGCGCCACGACATCCAGGCCCTCTTGGAATCCCGGAAATCTTCAGAGCCCACGTCCAATGATGACAACACCGGCGAAACAACCGATGAGCTTCTCCCCGAGGAAGGCACCGAGGCGGACGTCGAAGTTCTGGAGCTGTCCTCTACAGGTGACGGCCTAGCCATGCGCCCCGGCTCCAATCAAGTCTACGTCGTGCCCTTCGCCATCCCCGGAGACACTGTCCGCGTCAAGGTCTTTCGCCACATCCGCCGCGAGAACCAGACCGTAGCAGACTTCCTCTCCGTCGTCAAGCCCTCCCCGCTGCGCGACGACTCCCGCATCCAGTGCAAGTACTTTGCCTCGTGCGGCGGCTGCCAGTTCCAGATGCTCGAGTACCCGGAGCAGCTCCGCCTCAAGCGCCGCATCGTGGAAAAGGCCTACCGCAACTTCTCCAACCTCCCCGCCGAGCTCGTGCCCACCATCCAGCACACCATCGGCAGCCCCCTGCAGTACGGCTACCGCACCAAGCTGACGCCGCACTTTGACGGCCCGCCCGGCTTCCGCCCCAGCAAGCGCGCCAAGAACCCCAAGATTCCCTTCGAGTCTTGCCCGGACATTGGCTTCATGCAAAAGGGCAAGCGAAAGGTCCTGGACATCGAAGACTGCCCTATCGGCACCGACGCCGTGCGCCAGGGCATGACCCGTGAGCGCGAGCGCATGCAGCAAGAATTCAAAAAGTACGAGCGCGGCGCAACCATCCTGCTCCGCGAAAACACCCGCCGGTATCCGAGCGGCGGCGACGAGGTGGCGCCCGAGCAGGGCCAGCTCCCTCCCTACACGGTCCGCACGGAAGGCGAGGGTTTCGTCGACGTCAAATCCTGCGAGACAGACTCCAAGGCCACCACAACAGAGTATATTGGCGACCACATCTTCACCAACCCCGCTGGCTCTTTCTTCCAGAACAACAACTCTATCCTCCCCAAGTTCACCTCATATATCAAGGAGCGCATCCTGCCCCCCGCTTCCTCATCATCATCTTCCACCGCCGCTGCCGCCTCGCCCATCAAGTACCTCATCGACGCATACTCCGGCTCCGGGCTCTTCACCATCACCCTCGCCTCCGTCTTCCAGCACTCGACCGGCATCGACATCGCCGCCGACTCCATCGCCTCGGCCCGCAACAACGCCTCCCTCAACGGCCTCGGCGAGGACCGCTGCAAGTTCATCGCTGCCGACGCCGGCCAGCTCTTCAAGAATGTCGCCTACCCGCGCGACGAGACCGTCGTCGTCCTCGACCCACCGCGCAAGGGCTGCGACGCCGACTTCCTCGCTCAGCTGCGCAGGTTCGGCCCCAAGCGCGTCCTGTACGTGAGCTGCAACGTCCACACCCAGGCCAGGGACGTGGGAGTCCTCGTCCGCGGCGAGGGCGACGGCGCGAGGTACGATATTGAAAGCCTCGTCGGCTTTGACTTTTTCCCGCAGACGGGCCACGTCGAGGGCGTCGCCATCCTGAATAGGCACGACGGCGACGCAGAGCCGGCGCAAGAAGAGGCCGTGGAGCAAACAGATTCATGATTCATGTAGTACATACCACATCAGGATATCAACGCAAGTTAAATACAGATACCCAGCCGCACGGACCGTGCATATGCGTGTTCCCCGACCCTCAAGCTCTTCAGTGACGCCGCCGTTGAGCCGCCTCTCTGCGACATCTCTTGCGCCTCTTTGACAGCCCCCAAAACGTATGTTGCTTTCCGCTGCCTTAGGCCTCGTGCTCCAGCACGGCCTTCAAAGCCTCCACGGTCGCTTGTACCACTTCCGGTCGCCTGCTCTGCTTGAGGCACTCCTTGAGCGCCTCCACGCCGCCCTCCTCCCTGATCTTCGCCCGGGCCAACTTGCCCGTTTCGTCGGGTGCCAGGGCCATGTTGTGAATGGTGACGATCCCGCGGTGCCGCAGCCCCTCGTCTTGGTCGTTGCACATGGTGAGGATCACCTTGATGCCGCGCTCCCGATGCACGATGCCACGGACGACGGTCTCATAGCCTGTCAGAGACGCCAGCGCTCCCCCAGCTGCGCTACGGGTGCCGTCATCGTCGGCGTCCGCGAGAGCCAACAGGACATGCAGGCGGTTCCGAGCTTTGGCGCTATCGTCGGCATACATGGCGGCGCCTTCAGGGTCTTGCACCAGGTTGCAAACCAGCTCGACGGCTGCTTTGGACACGAGATGGTTTGATGCCAAAAGTTGCTCTTCGACATGAGACCATGCCGTCCGAATAATTGTGCGGCGCGTGTCATCATCCTCCAAAGACGCAAGGTTCGTCAATGCCATGAGCGCTTCAAACGTGGGCAGCAGGTCTCTGGTTTCTGCGGCAGGGTCCGGAGGAACGATGGACACCAGCGGCCGGATCGCGGCATTGATGGGATTCGATCGATTACCGCCGAAAACCAAAGCAGGATTGGTGCTGATGAGGATCCGCGCCAAAGCCTGCGCGGCCATGCGACGGGCGGCGTCCTCGGTGTCTCGTATGGTGACCCATGCAACCAGGAGCAGCTTCACCGCGCCCTGCTGAGCCAGGGGACCCCGTAAAGTTCTCGTTACCGCCATGGAATGGATGATGGACACGATGAGCCCCATCGAGGCCGGCGAGCCATTCTTGCTGTGAGTGACCAGGACAGGCACGAGTCCGACGTCGAACACTGCTTGACATCGCTTTCCCACGTGCTCCTCATCATCCAGGGGGTCTGGTCCAGCCAACTTGCCCGCCGCGTTGGCGTAGGCCTTCAGTTGGCTCATTTTCTTCTCCTCCTCTGAGAGTGCCGGACGGTAGCGCGTCAGGTTGACAAAGATGCTCAGAGCCCCGTACGTCGTCGGCGAACGAGGCGGTGCCTCCGTCAGAGTCTTTACGAGCTTCTTGAGAAGAGGCTGGTCTCCGATGATGTGCTCCTTTACCTTGGGTTGGAGAGAGGCGTACGCGAGTCCCTCGATGGAGTGCTGTCTGCCGTGGTCCTCATCCCGCAGGATCATCTTAGTGAACAAGCAGGCCAGGTCCTCGATGCTTGTGACTGCAGGCTCTATGCGTGGCTTGTTGGGGTCATTGGCCGCCTTGGACGGCACTGCCTTGAGTGTGCGTTAGCAGCCGCAATAAGAAGACGGTACAGCTCCACAAGCAATGCTGGGGTGAAAGAGGATAACCTACTCGCAGCTTGGCGAGGATAACTGCAGCCAAATGCTGTACCTGCTCCGAGTGTCTCCGCATCGATATGGAGCCACCTTCACCTTGGACCTTTGGTTCGCCCTTGGAGGCCTTGGTTGCCCCCGTCGGGTCTTGGTCGACCACCTCCTCCAGCCACTCAACACAGTACTTTTCGACGGCCTCGCGGCAGAGAGGGTTCATGCAAGCGGCGTTGAGCATCTCCAAACACGCCGTCTCGACCTTGCGGCTCTTCCACTCGCGCCGCATGAGCGGACCAAGGGAGCTGAGGAATCCCTCGCTTAGAAACAGCTGAGCTGTGAGATCGGGGACTATGGGAAAGGAAGCTGAGGCGACGCAGAAAGCCACAATGTAGTCGTCGTATGTGCCCCGTTTGATGCGGTCAAAGAAAAAGGCCGAAAGCTTCTTGGAGCCGTCGTCGCCAGCAGCCTTGAGATATGCCGACGTGGTTAAGGTGGCGTGACCGCGCACAATGTCCGGCTGCCTCATGTCAAGATAACAGAGCACGGTGTCGACGCAGTCGCCGTCGATGACGCTGCATATGGACTTGTGACTCTTGTCCTTTTGCTGTGCGATGGCGTCGTCGTTGAGCAGCTTGGTAAGTTGGTCGAGCTCCCTGCACGTCTCCTCGTCCTCCTGGCCGCCTTCCATAAGGCGCGCAAAGACGAGCAGCGTCTGGTCTTCGACGGACGCCGGCGGGCCCGCGCTCTGCGACGTCTCGTCCACTGACGCCGCCATTGCGAGGATGGAGGCTTTAGGGACGGACGTGAATTATGGACGGGCTGAGGCGGTGGGCTGCTGTGCGTGCTTCTGCTGACGTTGTTGATGCTGCCGCGTGCGTGGATGCATGTGTCCGTAGCAGTCGCACGGCAGATGACGCAACTTGGTGGTTGAAGGAGCGACGATGAGTATCAGCGATTGGTGGTTTCACACTGAGATAAGGCAGGCGGCTGGCGGTACGCTATGCGGAGGCATTCGATGCAGCTTCTCCAACAGCTGCTTGGGGCGTAACACACGGGTTCGGGGGATGGATTGGACTCGGATTCATGCTGCCAGCGCGGAGCAAAGAGGCTTTCCGGCTTGCCCCTCCTTCCGTCACTGGAGATGCAGCTGCCCCTCCACTGGGTTCCTTCCGTTTAGCGAGCAAGGGCCCCGCTGAAGTGACTGCCGTCTGGTCGGGTCGGACGCCACTTTTAGAGTTCCAAATCCCTTGCGCGTAGCGCGACGGCTTTTTAGCAGGTGCCACGGCACCGCGCCGCCGGCGAGGTACCTATCTCCAGCGGTGCCATGCCCGGACTCTGCCCCAGAGGCTGCTGTAGCACGGCACTGGTCACGTGTACAGGCGTCTCGACCAGCGCGCCATGGCTCAAATCGCAGTGACGGAATGGAACACTGCCGATCGGCGAGCTTCTTGATGCAGCACGAGCATAAACTACAACACTCGTGAAGTCTCAACTTCACGATCCCATGCCCGGCCGCAACGACATCCTCCACCACGCAGCTCCCTGCACCGTCCCCCCAGACAGGGCCAGCCACGAGCATTCATAGCATCGGCCCTCCACCACAAATCGTTACAAAGTTGATATAAAAAGCATCGCGACCACGCTCTTCCCGACCTCGTAGCTGCCGCTCGTCGGCTCCCGCCTGCTCCTGCATCCGTCGTCGTCGTCGTCGTTCCCCTCCCACCCGACGCCCGCCATGGATGCCGTCGACGTCTCCGAGCACTACGAGGTCACAACCACCGACGACACCCCCTCGCTCCTCTCCATCGTCCTCGACACCAACCCGCGCGCCTGGGCCGCCCTCGAGGACCGCCTCCCCCTCGCCCGCGCCATCGCCAACGTCCTCGTCTTTGTCAACGCACACCTCGCCTTCAGCAACGTCAACCAGATCGCCGTCATCGCCGCCCACGTCAACCGCGCCGTGTGGCTCTACCCTGCGCCTCCGCCGCGCGCTGCCCCCGTGAAGGATGCATCCGGCGATGTTTCCATGGACGACGCGCCACTGGCTGCCGTGCCCCCATCGTCCGCCAACAAGTACCCTCAGTTCGCGCAGATCGAGTCGACGGTCATGTCCTCGGTGCAGAAGCTCATGAGCGAGACCACCGAGGCGGACCTCGCCGAGACAACCACGCAGCTCTCCGGCGCCCTCACGCTCGCACTCTGTCATATCAACAAGGCGGCCCAAGCACTCAGCACAGCAACTGGTGGTATTGGCGGCGATGCCCAGGCCGCCACGAACGCCGCTCCGCCCATGAAGGGCCGCATAGTCGTCATATCCGTCTCCGATTCCGAACCCGCCCAGTACATCCCCACGATGAATGCCGTCTTCGCGGCCGCACACGCCCAGGTCGCCATCGACACACTCGCCCTTGCCGGCGACCCGACGTTTCTCCAGCAGGCCTGCTTTAATACAGACGGCACGTTTCTCGCTGCGTCAAACCCGCAAGGTCTCCTCACCTATCTCATGTTCGGCCTCGTTGCCGATACCGAGGCTCGCAAGTCTCTCATCACGCCTACACATGATAAGATCGACTTCCGTGCTGCGTGCTTCTGCCACGGCAAAGTGGTCGACATTGGCTTCGTCTGTTCCATCTGCCTCAGCATATTCTGCGAGCTGCCCGAGAATGCCGAATGCCTGACGTGCGGGACCAAGCTCGCCCTCGGTAAGTATGGATCGAAGCCGGCGGTGGTGCCGCGAAAGAAGAAGAAGAAGAAGCGAATCGTCAACGGCGGTGGCCGCGAGGAGACGGGCAGCGCTACAGGTACGCCACGGCCCTAGGCGCGGCCGGCGGTCGCGCGATGTTTTCCTCCCTGCGTTGAGGAATCAGCTGCATAGCATCCTCCGTGTGCCACAACTGGGTGGCTGGCGTTCAGGATACAGAGGGAGGCAGCCCCTGGGTGAAGCATCTTTTGAACGAGACATAGATCACGTCTCGGTTATGAGCGGCATTAAGCCATGTATACTATAACGATACCACGTCTGCCGATGCACCGAAGAGATGGGAGTGTTGCGGCCCTGGCAGCTATCACCATCGCCATTACTACAAATCCATCCACCCCTTTCAGTCGACGATGGAGCACGTACGATCAATGAGAGAATCATCGTAGGATTTGCAGGTATCGTGGTCTCCCACCTCCTGAGCTCAAAATGTAGAAGAAAACAGGCCGCTCTCCATCCAACCTCTGATAGGGCAAGGGCCAACGGTACGTCCGGAACCAACAACCTACGGCCATTCCTCGTCTATGCATGGAGCTGCCTGCAACGAGCAGTCACCCGATTCGAATCTTGCGACCACCCTTGGCAATCTTAGCACCCTCTGAAAGCCGAGACATGGTGCAGCGAGGTTCCTTCTCAACGCCGCCCATGGATGCCAATGCGAATGAGTCGGTATTGTGCGCAAAGTATAGGTAGTAACCCGTGGCGCACTTCTTGACAACCATGACTCCGATGGCGCCGGCCGAGTGGCAGTTCTTTACGCCGGGGTGGTCCATAAAGTCGTCCGCAATGAATGATTCCATGATCTCGTCGTCATCGTCCACATTCACGTCGTATCCTTGAGGGCCGCGGCGGGTACCTTGATAGATCCTCTCGGCGCACCTCTGAGAAGCCATGGTCGTCGCCATGTGCTCTCCAGTGCCGCTTGTCACGGCTGCGACAGTACGTCCCTCAGCGTCGTCTTCAGCGTAAGGCACAACAGCTGTACCAATGCCTACCAGGGCGGCTGGTCCCAGGCGCCCCCGGTGTTTCATGCCAATTCCACCGGACGATGATCCCGCGGCAATATGACCACGCTCGTCGATTGCAATAGCACCAATAGTGTCAGTAACGCGGTCCTCTGGCTCAGCAATCGAGTGTCGGGCACGTTTCGGGGACTGGGCCTTGTGGTCTACGGCCGGCGTTATCGCTTTGAAAGGTCTCTTAAGATCATAAGCGTCGGTGTTGTCATCTGTCCAGGGCTGGCCTGCCACTTCTGAATCAGAGAGCAGTGGCGATTCTCGGGTGTCTCTCTGAGACGCCCTAAATGTTGAATCCTCGGGCATACAACCATCGGTCGGCCCATCTTTCCGGCCTGACATGGCAATATCTGGCCGCGGTCCCTTTGCTTCCGCTCGCGCAGGCCGGATCGTTTTGTTGTCGTCGCGTGGAGACAGCTGAGCAGTAGCCGAGGTGGGAGTCAGTCGAGGGCCACTGGCGCGAGGCGGAGAGCGAGCGACAGCGGCAAACGACAGTCCCGTGGTGTGGGCAGGTGGTGAGAGCATTTCAGGAGCCTGCGCACTCGGTGATTCTACAAGGGGCGTGCCAGCGTATGGTGAGTCAATTTGACCTTCGTTCCACGTTCCGGCCATGATGGCCGCCGTGTGCTCCCTGGGAAAGGCTTGTTGGGGTTCTGCCGGCGCCGCCGTGTCGTATTGGCAGGGAACACATGCCGTCGTACCAGAGTCGGGAGGTGAGGCCAGCTGTGGTTGTTCCTCGGTTGGGCCTTCGGCTCGCATCAAGTCATCTTGCCAGCGGAAGAAGCGGTCGCGTGAGTTTTTGGACACCAGATACTCGTTTGCAAAGGTCAGCATGCCGTGCTCTTCGGCAAAGACCCTCGCCCCTTCTCCAACGAGAGCATTAGGAGGCACTCGGCGGAGGCTCAAGGGCCTGTTGCTCGTGTCCAGGATGAGCTTGGCTAGCGAAATCGGATTTCGAATATCTGCAGATCGAGGCTCGTTAGCTTGTCCCATTCTTGCTATCGATGCTGGGATGCGACGTACTCGGGACCGCTCCACAAGCGCCACTGCGTCCGAGATGGTCGACAATGGTGGCATCGCACTCGACAGTGCCGTCGATGGAAAGGTTGGAACCGTAACCTGCGTTTGTGATCTCCTTGTCCTCGAGTATTCGCAAGGCGGCTTCAACGGCTTCCGTGGCACTGCATCCGGCTTTGAGAAATTTCATGCCCATCTTAACGGCGCTAGGGGACCCGCGTCAGCTCATGATGGGATGGTAGCTACTACCATGGGGACGGCATACGAAACACAGGCTTCGAGATGGACATGCTCGTTTTGGTGACTGTGGAAGCCTGCTCCGGCGTGAATAAAGATAGCGGGAACGTGCTTTTGCTTCTGGCCAAGGCGAAGCACGCGGTCGATAGCACCGTCAGTGCCGTATTTGCTGGAGCCCATTATGGAGGAGGCGGTCTCATGTTTGCGGCGAGTGCTCATGCTTCTTTAGCTGGAAGTCATGGGCTGGGGTGGGAAGGTGATGAAAAGCGCTAACGATTTCAAGAGAGCGATAATAGAAAACAATACTGGCGGCCGAGAACAATGCTGTGGAGTGATGCGGTAGGGGACGTGTGTCCCAAGACCCGAGCGGCGGGTAGGAGAAACGAGGTTTAGGATGAGGTCACGCACGGCAAACCTCGGAGGCTGGTGTTCGCTAAGGCCTTTTCTGCCGCTGCGTTGGAGACACCGCCCTGAAGTGCGTTTGGACGTCGGAGAGAAGTCCCAACGGAGCGGGCAGAGGGGAGGCGATTGCCTGGCTTTGTGCAGGCGCAGCAGTGGCGTGAAGGGCAGGAGCTTCCCAATGTGAATGAGCCCCCAGGATCTTCCTGTCTTCCTTCGCGGAAGGCGCGTGTTTTAGCCCCAGGACGCTGTCCGAAGCCTGTGGTGGGGTTGTTTGTTGGTAGCGGTGTGGTTAGTTGGTCAGGGACACGCACGCTTTGGGCTTTTGAGACAATAAGGCTGTATGGGTTGTGAACTGGTGATGCTGTATGCGATGAATCGATTTCTCAAGCATGCTGCCTTTACGCTTGTGGCGCCGCGCACAACGCATCATGCTAAGGCGCCAAGTGCAGAGCTCGCCCCGTCCCACTCAGCTAAACGCGAAAGCGTTTGGAACCATGAGGTAACAGTAGGTCGATACCGAAATGATGCGAAACGACGGAGGTCGCGTCAGGTCGTGCTTCGGAGAGTCCCAGCTGGCTTTAGGGTAGGCAAGTTTTGGAATGAGGTCGGCAGGAACATCTTGGGCGCCGAGAGCAGAGCTCAAGCAGCGAGGGGTGCTCTCCAGCTGTCGCGGCTGTGGAGCCTGTCTTGGCCGTTACCTGCGGCGGCCGGGGCGAGGGGCGCTGACGAAGCCCCCCGCTACGAGGCGCAAACAGCCACTGTCACTGTGTATCCGCGGCGTCCCTCAGCCTGCTGATGGGTCAGGTCCCCACTGCAGCTCGGAACTGACAATTGAGCAGCCTGGAATCGTCCTCGTACACGCGCCTTGCCTCACCAGGCACCACCCCACTTCTCACCTCACCCCCCAAGGTGACGACAGGCCCGGTCCATCTGCCTCATCCACGACATCCGCCAGCCTCGACGCAACGGCTCCCTCTGTCTCGCGACTCGCCCGCCCGTCACCCCAAACAGCTTGCGCGCGCGCCGCCAGACGCAGCTCTCTTCCCCGCCATGGCGAACCAAACGCCCGCCGTTGTCATGGACAAGTAAGCTCGCTCGCCTCCCCCTCCCCGCACAAGGACACGCACGCACGCGACGACGACAACAGCCGTGGACAGATTGCTAATGATGAGACGCAACGCAGCGGCACGGGTTTCTCCAAGCTCGGTATGCTAAAAGTCGACTGGACCTTCCCCGAGCGCCCCCATTGACCCGATCCCCGCAGGTTTCGCTGGAAATGACTCCCCGTCCTTCGTCTTCCCGACCGCCATCGCGACCAAGAGCGGCGCTGGCGGAGGCGGCGGCTCCGGCTCCGGCCGCCCGTCCGTCGCCAACAAGCCGTCCTTCCTCACCGGCGGCGCTGGGCCTAGCAGCAGCCACCTGAGCTCCAAGCGAGGCACAGAGGACCTCGACTTTTACATTGGCGATGCTGCCCTGAGCGCCGCGTCGGGACCTGGTCTGTGGCCCTGCCAACCTCCCCGACGAAGCTCCAGCTGACCCCTCACAGGATATGGCCTTCATTATCCTATCCGCCACGGCCAAATAGAGAACTGGGTATGCGCTCGATCCTTATACTATGCGCCGGGTTTGTGCTAACCATTTCTAGGACCACATGGAACGGTTCTGGTCTAATTCCATCTTCAAGTACCTCCGAGTAGAACCTGAAGACCACTACTTTCTCTTGACTGAGCCGGCAAGTGTCCCCCCTTTGATCGTTTGAGTGGGCGCGTCGGACACCCGCTGACACAAAACAGCCCCTGAACCCGCCCGAGAACCGCGAAAACACGGCCGAAATCTTCTTCGAGTCCTTCAACTGCGCGGGCATGTACATTGCCGTTCAGGCTGTGCTCGCCCTTGCCGCGTCCTGGACTTCCTCCAAAGTGACGGACCGGTCGTTGACGGGAACGGTCATCGACTCCGGTGACGGTGTCACCCACGTCATCCCCGTCGCGGAGGGATACGTCATCGGCTCCTCGATCAAGTCGATCCCCATCGCAGGCCGCGACATCACGTACTTTGTCCAGTCTCTGCTGCGAGACCGAGGCGAGCCCGACTCGTCGCTCAAGACGGCGCAGGAGATCAAGGAGGAGTACTGCTATGTCTGCCCAGACATCGTCAAGGAGTTCAGCAAGTACGACCGCGACCGCGAGCGTTTCGCCAAGCATGTCGTTACGCACCCGGGCGGCCGCCAGGTCACCGTCGACGTCGGCTACGAGCGCTTCCTCGCCCCCGAGATCTTCTTCAACCCCGAGATCTACAGCTCCGACTTCCTGACGCCCCTCCCGACCGTCGTCGACGGCGTCATTCAGCAGTCTCCCATCGACGTGCGCCGCGGCCTGTACAAGAACATTGTCCTCTCGGGTGGAAGCACGCTGTATAAGGACTTTGGCCGACGGTTACAGCGCGACATCAAGCAGCTGGTGGACGCCCGCATCAAGGCAAGCGAGGTCCGCAGTGGGGGCGCCCGCAGCGGCGGTCTCGAGGTCCAGGTCATCACGCACAAGCGGCAACGGCACGGTCCATGGTTCGGCGGAAGTCTGCTCGGCCAGACGCCCGAGTTCCGCTCGTACTGCCACACCAAGGCCGAGGTGAGTCAATGTGTTTTATCTTTTGGAGGCCGACGATAGCGAGCTAACCCTTCTGCAGTACCAAGAGTACGGACCCAGTATCGTGCGGAGATTTGCTCTCCTGGGCGGGCCCGGCGGCTCGTAAATGATTGACAGGAAAATGACGCGCTCGTCGAGCCACGCGGCAATATCGAACGAAACCTTGACAGACGGCGGCAGTTAACTGGCAGGCGATGAGGCCTTTTTTCGGCCCGGATGGTGTTGACGTGCAGGTGGAAAAGTGGCCGAGTAGGGACAGGGGCAGGGGCGCCTTTGATAAGTTAGAGACGAAGAATAGCCAATGCAACTACAATCAAGATTTGAAGATTTGCATGCCATCGCAGCAAGTCGTTCGCGAGATGGCAACATTCTGTCGGAGGTCAATGGATTGGACAACTGATTGGAAAGCCGAGTTTCATGTTTATTTTCCCATGATAGGGCAGGCTATAAACCACCCCTTCTCGACACCTCACGCCACCGCCATGTCTCACTCACACCACGTAGACAACCTCCGATCTCCCAAGCAAACTGCGCCAAACTTAACGTGCGTATACAGAAGTTATCAAAAAGTCCTCTTGCTTTATTTAAAACCCCCTTGCTTTATCAAAAAGCGCCTTGCTTCATCAATAGAAAGTCTATTTGCTGGTGTCGACGACGTAGCGGCCGACGACCTTGCCCTCGGCCATGAGCTTATAGATGTCCTGCAGCTTGCTCAAGCCGATGGTCTTGTAGGGCACCTTGATGAGGCCCTTGCGGTAGAACTCAATGGCCTCAGCCGTGTCGATGCGGTTGCCGACGTAGCTGCCCTTGATGTTGATCATACGGATGACGGTGTCGAAGACTGGGGCGCGGAACATGGCATTGGCCGGCAGGCCGATGCAGACGACGACGCCGCGTGACCGGACGTACTCGGTGGCCTGCTGGAAGGGTTTCTCCTGAACGGCAACGAGGAGAGCAGCATGGGGGCCCAGACCGTCGGCAGTCGCGGCCCTGACGTCGGCGACGAGGTCCTTGGTGGTTTGGAAGTCGACGTAGGCACTGGCACCGAGGCTCATGCAGAGATCGCGCTTCTCATTGCCTCCGTCGATGGCGATGGGATCGAGACCCATGGCCTTGGCATACTGGATGGCAATGCTGCCCAGGCCGCCACCAGCGCCGACGATGGCCACAGACTGGCCAGGCTTGGCGCCGGACTCCTTCAGGCCCTTGTACACCGTAATACCGGCGCACAGAATGGGTGCAATGGCCTCGAGGCTGCACTCCTTGGGGATGTGAGCGACGTGCGCCGCCTTGGCGATGGCGTACTGCTGGAACGAGCCATCGACGGTGTATCCAGAGAGCAGGGGCTTGTTGCAGAGAGGCTCGTCCGATTGGTTGCAGTAAGTGCAGTTGAGGCACGAGCCGTTGAGCCACTTGATGCCGACAGGCTCGCCGAGCTGGACCTCACTGACAAGCTCACCGCGGGCCACCACAATACCGGCACCCTCGTGGCCACCAACAAGGGGCAGCTTAGTGTCGAGGGGCCAGTCGCCCATCATAGCGTGGAGATCGGTGTGGCAGACGCCAGAGTACTTGACGTTGACGAGAACCTCATCAGGTCCGGGCTTCTGGACGGGGATCTTCTTGTACACGACGGCTGCGACAGTCAGACTTGCTGTTTCAAGGGTGAGAGGGAGGTATACGTACGGCCGCCAGTCTTCTCCACCACCTGCGCCCATTGCTCCGTGGGAATCTGAGCGGAAGCCATGATTGCGATGTGATGCGTCGGTCAATGCTTCTGGGTGTACTCGTTGGGTCTTCCCGAAGGACGTCTAAACAGAATGTTGATGAACAAAAACTCCAGGAACGCGACGCATCATAGACGCAGGCGAGAGCGCCGGATTTATACTCATCATCCCCAATGTTGAGAGTCAAACGCCATGCCCGCTTGTCGCCTGAGCTGCCAAAAGTGGCGCCCCGACGGATGGGACTCGTTACCCGATCAATGGGACTCGTAACCCGATGGAGGGGACTCGAGGGAGGGGGGAACGCCCTGCCAGCCCAATCGTGACGCCGAGAAGCGTGCGACGCCGGAAGACCGAAGGCGAAAAGGTGGACGGGCAACTTGACTGATCGGGTGCTTCTCATTGTCACACCACCCGGCCGGATGCATACTGTGGGGCCACTGAGCTCCGCCGGGCCTTCGGAGCCTCGGGGCGAGAGTCTCGCTATCTTGCCAGCCACGTCCCGGTTCGACAGCCCACACCGAGCCCCCTCCTCGTCATGGCGGGTATAAGCTTCCGCCGGTCCATGCCAGCGCAGTGTAGACCTGAACTCAGAAAGGCAACATGGCGGCGCCGCGTGGTGTGGTCTGTCGAAAGGTGGTGACGCTAGGTGCAAGGGAAGATCCCGCTGCGCTAGCGCCGACAGATGATCATCGGCGCGAATCAACCGGCAGCCTAGCTCGAACGAGTGAGGGCCCTCAAATGTCGTCGCCGTGCGTCCGAAATGCGAGACGCTCGTCTTTTGACAGCGGTTCCCTGTCGAATTCGGCGCCACGGCGAGGACGCAATGTACGTTCGCTCGTACGGATAGTCGACGCGGAGGAACGCAACCTGCAACTCGTGCGGGGCAGAGCCTCGAACGAAGGGTCAACCTGGTCAATCGGCGAGGGTGCGCCACGGGCCTGCTCCAAATGCCAAGGAAGACTGGCACGACTGGTACGATCGTGCCATCTGCTCTGTCGACGGAAGCAGACGGTGCAGTCCCAAGCCCCTACCCACCAACCCCTACCCCTCCCGCTCCCTGGCCACTCTCTGCGGCGTCATGCTTGCACGCGCGCGTGCCTATGTACTCGTATCCCACCACGGTCCCCTTTCGCCGGGCGGCAGGCATACATCTCGCTCGAAGGGAGCTCAAGCTCCGAGTACTGTGTACGACAGGGGGCGATAGATGGTGTCACCGCTAGCGCGATCTGGGGTATAACGTCGACACCGGCATGTGGGCAGCGAACTGGCTTTCTGTGCCCTGCGTGCGTAAATATTAGCCGCTCTGCCATTGCACCCTTGGCCATGTGAACGCCTCTGCGGGGATGAGAAATCATCCACGTACCCGATCATGCGCGGGGTATGTTGAAGTGAAGCGGTATGAATCGATGGCGGTGGCCGCCAGATCCTGGGGTCTGGGCGAAACAATAGCTCCAATCGCCCTAGAGGCGGAGGACTCCAGAGCAGGAGAACTTGGCGCAAACATGGAGCAAGCCCCAAGCGACTCGACGTGTGTACACCGTGTCCATTCGGTATGTGGCAACACCAACCGGATGCTCCTTCCCTGTCGCAATGGCAACCAATAATGAGAAGAGCGGGTGGTCGCAGAGTCGAGATTCGAGAGCCGATCGGAAAGAACGTGGCCAGTCTGAGACGCACTTGCCCGGCTTTCACATGGAATCCGATTTCATCGCACTAGTGGCAGCAGGGGAAGCTCGGCGCAACGAGGCACAGGCGTAAGAACAAAGGTAGTGGTGGTATTTCAAAGGCTTTTACGCTCAGTCACAGTCCGCAGAAAGAACAGCATCTCTCCCGAGACACGATCCGAAGTTCCAACCGTTCGCCCATCCATGCATCATGCATCCATCAACAAGTCAACCGTGGCGCGCCCGACCCTCGGCCGGAACCTCACGCAGCAGCGGGCACGGCCACCGGCTTGTCGACGCCGTCGGCCTTGGCCGAGTTGATCTTCTTGCCCGTCTTGGCAATCTTCTCGAGGACCGTCTCGTAGGGTAGGCCGGTGACGACCTTGGCGCTCTGGTTCTCGAGGGAGACTTCGTAGCTCTCAACTCCTGCGCCGGGGGGGTTCCGTTGTCAGCGCATGGTTCCTGGGAGGAGGGGACCGGGGGGGATGCCGCGACATGCACGACAAAGGGCGGGCAACATACCGTCGAGCTTCTTGAGGACGCGGTCGATGGCGCCGGAGCAGCCGCCGCAGCTCATGCTGACGTTGAACTCGTAGGTGTGGACTTCGGCCATGGTGGGGGTAGGATGCGTGCTTTGCTTCGAGCGGCGGGAAGAGTGGCAGGCTACGGGCGCAAATGCGAAGGGTTCTTGGAAGGGGGTTATTTATGAGTCTGTCGAGAGTAGAATAATGTCGAGGGAAGCGGTCGAGCAGGTCGAGGAGGCCGTTGGCGATATTAATAATGGTCAGAGTGCGCCGTGGAGGATGCAGGAACAACGGGGGACCCCGCCAAAAAGACGCACGCACCTACGGCCGCACAAGTCGCTCGCGCGCCGCCCCAAAGAGGCAAGCAAGCGGCGGCGGCGGCGGCACCAGCCAGCACGCAACCCGGAGCCGAGATGACCGTGTGAAACATGCTCAAGTCATGGCCACCACCACCCATTCACCCACGTCGTTACAGAGATAGTCACTCACCACTCTCGCGCTCCGCTTTGTCACCTCGCCAGACTAAAGGGTCAGCCCCTGGAATCCGCGCCCGACCTCGAGCAACAACGAGCGCAAAGGTGACACGTACGCCGCTCGTTTGTGAACCTGGCACTGCCGGTTGTAAAGGTACCGTAAATACGGAGTACATTATGTACAGTTAGTCCCTTCCCCGTGTTCGCCTCCTGCGTTGTACTCACAAAGGGTCTGGGTACATTTTACTCCGTACTCCAAGGCGCGCATGGCGTCATCGGCGCCCGCGACGTTGCAACTTGCTCACGCGGAGAACGGCCAGCCACGCCACGCCTCGCCCAGCCATCAAGGTTGCATATGCTCCCCGGACAACTCCAGTCGCGTGTTTTCCCCCCACGATCAACGTCAAGCCGCCCGCAACGTGCAGTCCACATCCCGTAACCGTACCTGCATGCGTGATGCCGATTGCGATCCGGACGCGGTTCTCTCGGCACGGGCCGCCTGGGGTCTCAAACGCTCCTGCAACCGCCGGATACGCGCGTTGTGTGACCCGCCCGGCGGCGAGGGCGTCGGCACCGCATCAGCTCGACGCCGGGGCCTTCTTCGGCACCCGCATGACACAGCATCAGCTTTTGGCACAAGCGTCATTAATTAGTAGTCAGCATAAGCCTATATCAGCACCAGCCGCGTCGACAATAGTAACAGCAGTCCCAGAAAGAAAGCCTCAATGGCCAACGCACAGCAGTCAGAACTCAGCACCGCACCGCCGTCACGGGTCGCACCGCCAACGTCAAGTCCCCCGTCTCCGGGTCCCACAGGTACTCTGGCAGCTCCACCGAGCCCAGCGCAGCCAGCACCTCGTCCATCATGTCCTCCACCGTCTCCGACTCTCTGACAATGCTGACCTTCCCGTCCATGGGATCAACGATGGCCATGCGTGCCCCCTGCTTCCATCCTGTGTCCGATACTGGCAGCAGCCGCCACCGGGGTTGCACTTCGGCCCAAAAGTCACCCCGATTGCGCCCATACGTGTCGTCGCCCGCGAAGGCCATTTCCTCGTCCTCGTCCTCGTCGGCCCAGTTCGCGTCGCCCGCCCGGAACCCCGGCGGTGCGGGTCCCTCGGCCGCCCGGAGTTGCGGCACCTTGTCCCAGATGACCGACAGCGATTCCAACCGCGGCAGGAAATCCAGCAACATCCCGATCTGCTCGTAGCTGTAGTAGGCCGTCCACGCCGGGAGCGCGAGGTGCCGGATTGACGCCGCCAGCGCCTCCCCGGCTTCCGTGTCCTCGAAGGGCAGCAAGCAAAAGTCCTCCCACTGGTCGCGCCCGACGTAGAGGTGGTCGCGGCTCGGGTCCCACGGCCGGACGAGCGTTGGCTTGCCCTTCTTTGCGCCGCCGCTGGACCGTATCTCCATGTGGTTCGACTTCATCCACGCCTTGGCCACGGCCCGCGCCTCGGTGTTCACGTAGGCGATGGGCGGCACGCTGCCTGCCTCGACAAGCCGTTCCCGCTGCTCAATGGCCGCGTAGCGCGTCGTCACCGCTTCCTCATCCATCGTCTCCGGCACCAAAGCTGGCAATGCCCACCGCCAGCTGTAAAGGTATATGGTCGGCTGGTCTGCAGCGCGAAGGCCTTCGGCCCATATTTCGCGCCGAAGCTCAGGTGGCAGCCGTTGAAAGAGGGCAAATCCCATCGCCGAGGTTGTTTTCGTCATGGTGAATCGCCCGTGTTGGTGACGATTGGCAGGGCGGCGTGTAACTGCGCTGCCAAGATGATCCGATGTCTCTGTCGCGTGAAGAACAGGTCTCTCACAGATCAAAGCACAGTATGCAGGGAGAGGAGAGAAAGAGTCTCAGGGGTTGTTGGCCGCGACGCGTGTCACGAAAGCCGTGAAAGCCTGGGGACTTTGTATTGAAATCCGGGGACATTCTAACGACCCCCCAGCATATACATGCGCCGTGTTAGTGGATGCCTCCAAACGACAAGGCCTGTGGCCCTGTGCAGGGGGCGCACTAACTGGGCTGCCACATTCACCTCGTACCTGACACAACCACAACCAACCATGATAGGCGAGCGCGTAAACCTTGGCCTCAGAAAAGCAAATCCCAACTTTTTCGCGTCATGTTCATCGCTACGTACACGTAAATACACAGAAGACGTGCCTCATGCACAGTGGTATAAGTACATCCTAAATCTCCCGTCCCCGACGCACAGAGCCAACTAGAACCGCGCCTCGACCTTCTCCAGCGTGTCCTGCAGCGCCCAGTCGCTCGTTGCGACCTGGCTGCGGGCGGCGGCGGCCTGCTTCGCCGTGAAGCCCTTGGCCTCAACGGCCGGGTTGTATCCCAGGCCGTTCTTCTTGCCGACGGTGGCGGAGTCGAGGCTGGGCGCCTCCTTACCGTCGGCGCGGCGGTAGACGGTCACGACGACGGCGCCGCCCAAGCCCAGGTTGTGCTGCAGGCAGTGCTTGGTGTTGGGGGTCGCGCGGTTGTTGGCCCAGCCGCGCAGGTGCCAGACGAGCTCGGCGCACTGGGCGATGCCGGTCGCGCCGAGTGGGTGGCCCTTGGATATGAGGCCGCCCGAAGGGTTAATGACGTACTTGCCGCCATAGGTGATGTCGCCGCGTCGGACGAGCTCGTGGGCCTTGCCCTTTTCGCTGAGGCCGAGGGCGTCGATGACGACCATCTCGTTGGCGCTGAAGCAGTCGTGCAGCTCGACGACCTGGACGTCGTTGGTGGTGATGCCGGCCTCGCCCAGGGCAGTCTTGACGGCGTGCTGGGTCATCTCATAGCCCATGAGGTCGATGGAGCTGCGGGAGAAGAGGCTGGGGGCGTCGGTGGCGAGGCACTGGCCGGCGATCTCGACGGCCTGCTCCTTCAGGTGCGGGCGCGCGTCGAGGAACTCCTGGGAGACGAGGATGGCAGCCGCGCCGCCGTCCGAGGTCGGGCAGCACTGCAACTTGGTGAGGGGCTCGAAGATCTTGGGGGCGGCCATGATCTCGTCGCGGGTGTAGACCTGCTGGAACTGCGAGTACGGGTTCTTGGGCGAGTGAGCGTGGTTGACGCGGGCGATCTCGGCAAAGTCCTCGGGCTTCGCGCCGTACTTCTCGATGTACTCGCGGCCGGCGTTGCCGAACATCTGGGCGGCGCCGGGGGCCTGCTCGATGCCGCGGGTCTCGATCATCATGGCGACGGTGGTGCCGGTGGGGTTCTCGCGGTCGTTGAAGAAGCTCTGCAGGCTGCCGGGCATCATCTTCTCGAAGCCGACGACCATGACGCAGTCAGCGGCGCCGCTGGCGATGAAGGTGCGGGCCATGGCCAGACCCGTGCTGCCGGTGGAGCAGTTGTTGTTGACGTTGTAGATGGGGATCTTGGTCATGCCGAACTGGTAGAAGACGCGCTGCCCGCAGGTGCTGTCGCCGTAGCAGTAGCACGCGACGCCCTGGTCGACATCGTCGTAGGTGATTTGCGCGTCGAGCAGCGCCTTGACGCCGGCCTCGAAGCCGAGCTCCGTGTAGTCGACCTTGCCGCGGGGCTTGATGAATTTGGTCATGCCCACGCCCAGGACGTAGACGGGCGACTTTTGCTTGCGAGCCATGGTTGCTGCTGGATGCGGGATGTGGGCGTGGTTGACGAGGTGAAAGAAGTTGGAGGGGGAGTCGCGATTGTGATGTGGGAGAACGGGGATCAAGGGGGCAGTCAACGACGCTGCGGTGGCACAATGGTCAATCTGATATCGAACGCTTGTGCGACGGGTCTGCTGTCAGAAAATGGAACATGGACCGAAGCCTGGCGGACCAGACGTCAGTCAACGCATTTATTTCCCCGACGGCGGCTATCCGGGGCATGCGGGGAACCAGCTGTCCAGCTGTCTAAAATGCCGAGGTCAGTCACAAGGAGAGACGGGCGTGACGGGCGGTCGGGGTTGGTGGCTGACTCTCGGCCCCGGCTCCGTCCCCGCTGTCTGGCGGTATCCGTCCGCTGGAGCTGCGGGGTGGTTGAGGTGTTGGAGGGAGCCCTGCAGCGGGTGGCGATTGGCACCGGCGCGGTGTGGGGGAGGCTGGTCGGAAGGGCGTCGTCTTGTTAGGCCGAGGCACCGCCTGTACATTCTGAGAGTTCGTGAGTTTAGTGATCGGTTCAGGGCTGGAGTGAGCAGGTAAGCTGATGCCGTGGAGTTTATCAAGTTTGACGAAAGGGCGCGTGCCAGTTTCTCAACTGCTCGTGCTACGAAGTAATGGACTACGAGCTTGATGGAACACGGGAGCTCTCCAAAAGTCGACAGCTCTGCCCGCAATTTCACGAATCGAACCCCGGCCGAGCATGACGGTACGGGCCGGGTGTCTTGTTGGCACATGCACGATCAAAAACGGGCAACTCTGCGAACAATTCCCGCCAAGCTTCGTTCGTATCCTTGAATCTTTCCCTCAGCCTACCTTCAACTCGTCCTGATTCTTGTTGACCTTCCGATGCCTCCGTCAACATCGCTGCATCGTCGCCCAGGGACGCAGCTCTGTAGGGTAAGCTGTTTTGCCCCCAACATCTGAGATCTGGTGAAAGGGCCCACTTATATTCCTTTTCCCAGCGGGTGGCTCAGGGGCAAACGCCGGAACTACCATTGGCCGCCATCCGACCCCTTTCCGTCCTTTGTTGCCTGGAAGCAGAGGAAGAACAGCGTCGCGAACGTGAAGCCAACGATAGAAAGTCATCGACAATGCCCGCGCCGGTGGCCGGTCAGCCATGCTGCTCGCTCTCATCCGTCTAGTGCGCACGCGATGGGCGTCGGTGGTTCTGTTTCTGTCCAAGCTGTGGGGAAGGCTGCTTCACTTCGGCGCCACATGGATCGCACCCACCGAGCCAGACGTTCTGGCGATCAGCGACCCAAAAACCAATGCACCGCCGGCTGTCACCCCAGGACTCGATAGCCAGGGTTTTCCAGTCCTCACTGAGGACCAGTACGAGGATGCCATCCTTGGATTTATTGCGTCTATTGATACGGACTCGGTCTGTGCCCTTGCCTCACAATACAACGACGGCAAACCCTGTCAACTGTTGAAGAAGAGTTGCGGTAGCTTCAACGTTTGTTTCTTCGTCGAATTTGGCCAAGGTGGATCGCAGTTTGTTGTCAGGATCCCCATCGAGCCCGCTTTTGACGATGCCTGGGACAAATTGATCAGTGAGGTCACCACAATACAGTAAGCATTCCTTGGATTCCCATGTCTTGGCTATCGCTCATTGAGGTCCAGATATCTCAAGCAAAACACCCGGATTCCTGTCCCTCACATTCGTGGTTATGGGCGCGATGCCAAGTTGACCAAGTCCGGCGCGGGGATGCAGATGTTCCTCGTCACGGATCTCATCCTAGGCGAGCCACTCGACAAGAAGCTCTTGATCGACGGCGAAGAGGAGCACCGCAAAAACTTCTACTCCCAACTAATCGACATTCAAGCAGAGCTTAGAAAGCTCGAGTTCCCGTCAATTGGATCCCTGATGCCAAATCCTGACGGCAGCACCCAGCCTGTTTTGGGCCCTGTCATCTCCATGTCGGTTGCCCAACTTCGACAGCCGCCTCTGCCACTGTTCACTTCCGCCAAAGATTATATGAAGCGCCAATTCAATCTAGTATCGGACTTTTTCGTGCCGCCAGTGTCCGATCACACCGTTCACGAGATTCAGAAGGAGCTGTGTGCTCTGCATGGGATGGAAGGCCCTTTCCGACAGGTCATCGATCCCCGGCTAGACAAAGGCCCTTTCGTTCTACATCACTTAGACCTAAGGGCGCCCAACATCATCGTGGATAAAGATCTGAATATCCATGGCGTTATAGACTGGGAATTCTCCGGCACGACCCCGCGACAACTGTTCACCCCTCCATCGTGGATTACGGGCCATGACTCGATCAAGACGAACAAGCAGATGCATGCCGAATTTCGCAACGTTCTGGACGAAAAGAGCAAAGTCAGCACAGCATGCGCCCACCTCAAAGAGGAATGGTATAGCCAAACTGATGTCGGCCAGCTGGGCATGAGCGGGGCGGACTTGGCCTTCTATGTTGCCCATGTCATACGCCGTCCCACCGACGTCACTGACGTGTTCTGGGATTCCTTTGCTCCAAAGCTCTCGAACAAGCCCTTTGATGAGGTGATATCGGAATTTTACAACGAGCATGATGCCCTTGCATTGGAGGTGCAACGCAGGGCCAGACACTCTGAGCGCTACACTCAGTACTTGAAGGACCACAATCTTTTCGGGTCCAGGTTGGACAGGCTGCTTGCCGAGTCAAAGGCGTTGAAGGAAAAATGGAATTGGAGCTAGAACCTCCGTTGACTGAAGTACAGCCAGGACCTTCTAGCCTTACTGTCTCCCATCCAACATCCGCTCCTGCTCCTGCAAATCATGAATCTTCTCCCACATGCGCCCAATGTTCTGTTCCATTGCCACCCGCTTCTGCTCATATTCCTCCTTCTGTTCTAGCACGGATTTTGGCTCTGCCAAGTGCCTTTTCTTCCTTGAACCAGAGGCGCTCTCAGCCAACTGACGAAGGCTCGCGCTCTCAAGCCTGGCGATGAATGCCAAGATGTCGTCAAGCTCTCGTTGCTTTTCTGCCAGGCTCGCCATGTTTTCGCTGATTCTCTTCTTGATGTTTGCCAACTCCTCAGCAGTGTAGTCCATTCTGATGATGTATTTTTGGCTGCTGCCGTTCACAGTGTAGTCGAGACCCGAATGGTCGCGTGAAGGCTTTTTGGTGCGGTGATATGACGACTGAATAGAGCTGAATGTAAGAGCGAAGATCGCTTTCGGCCAGAGCCTTTCCTTTAATGTTTTTTGAGCCTTGTATGTATGGAAGAAGAGTCAAAGGAGCGGAGAGGTGGGCGCCCGGACGTATTTGATTAATGCGCCTTGCGTCGAGGTAGGCAGCCGCGGCCCATTATGACGACCGGGTGTTGGAAGGAACCAACACCACCTAATGGCAGCGTTTGGCAACATAAGTTGACGTTGCGTTGCACCACCTCCCACCATATCAGTGTGCCTAGCCACGTCGCGGTCGGCAGCCTTGTGCCGAGCCACTCCGTTGCCATCGTCAATCCAATCGAGTCCACTCCCGGGTGTTTCTAATCATTCCTTGCATGTGCATGTCCTGGTAGCTGCTGTGTAACGATTTTCTCGAGCTCACCGGGATTGATGAACTGAGGCGGTTCAGCATGGCCATTCCATTAGCATATGGGGCTAGACTTGAAGCCTTTTCTGCCCATAATGTTCTACTTGAAGCGTCTTGCGACCTGAACTTCACTCAACCCTCCCCCAGCGTTCGCTCTTATTGTGCACCAGGCAGGGAAAATTGCTGCATTTAAAAGCACTTCAATTAATAGCTTTGGCTTCGGATGTACGTCCCTTTTTACCGGTACTCGTATCCCTCGGCTTTCGTGGCTCCGTATTAGTCGACTGTCAATAGTCAACTGGGCCAGGCTCGGCAGCGCAGAAACGGGCAGGGGGCCACAGGCAGCAGCACCATTAGCCTCAATCTAGTTATCGGTGCCTTTCCGCGACAAATGATATATAAGTCGCCCACTTTTGGGCTTGAAATTCTTCTCGGACTTGCTTCATGCAATACCGCGACGAAGTTCGTTTGCTCATTCACTTTATCATGGGGCAATTCATTGAGTTCACCGTCTCATCCGACGCCATCTGCTTTGGCCCGATGCAAGACATTGAGCGCGCGTCCGGCTTACCTGTCCAGCCGCCACCAAGTCCACGCCCTCATAAAAGCGGCACCGTTGCACACCATGCTCTTGAGCATAACGTGCAGGCTCAAAATGGCAAATGGCACGCGTATCGGCTACACAGCACGAAAACGCCCGAGAGGGTCGACGCCTGGTTTGCAGCCCATGAGCTTGTTGATCCGCTATTGGAACTGCGAAAGCTCGTGCGCGTAGCCGGCTCGCCATATGAATACGACTGCGGTCATAAGTTCAACTGTGATGCCTCACGGAGAGAGGGAGTCTTGCTCGTTAATCGCTATGACTGGGATCCTTACAAGGAGGATGAGTTTGCCACGCGAGGCATATCTGAGATTATCGAGCATGAAGGCGGCGACTTCATGCCCAACCGCAACACCGTCGGACTCGTGGACTACGCCTACTCCGCGGCCCAGGTCCGCAACTGGGCAGGCAGATCGTCGAGCCAGAGGCGTGCCTCAAAGCATGGAGTCTGGATGCATATTCCCGACTCGGAATACATGTGGGTGCGCTTGGGGTTCAACGACGGCTTTACACATGCGCGCTCCTTTCTCTCCTTCACTCAGCGCACGTCGTTCTTCGAGGCTAGATTCCCGACTGAGTTAGGGCCCCTGAGGATTTACGAAACGGAACTAGAGCGGGTTCGTCGAGGCCTGCGAGAGGGGAGAGACTACTCGGGTATCGCGGATTTGCGAGAAATGTACTCGCCGCCCCCGCCCTTCGAAGGATCTGCCTGCAATCACCCGCCCGGCGAGGCGGATCTTCTTGGGCCATACACTGGAGACGATCAAATTCTCACGCCTGGAGACATCGAAACCCTCCGAGACAGTATCCCACCGATCTCAGCACAGGTAGAAGAATTGCTCCGCGCGCGAGGCTTTGACGATGCGACGATAAACCGGCAGAGCAGAGAAAACGCAACGGGCGTCTTCGCGGCGAGTCTACGGGAGGAAATCTACGACCTCATGAATGAGCTCATGCTGAGCTTCCTAAAGCGCTTCGTTGTCCCACTACGCTCTCACAGCAGCTCATCCACTCTCGGGTCGGCTCTATTCCCCAACTCTTCTCAAGTCAGTAGCTTCCGCCGTCACCACCCTGATCATTATCTGCTCCAGAGCTTCATGGACACTCCGACACTCTCACCAGCCCTGAATATCGAAGACATCTCAGCCCGAGTCGAGGCATTCATCAGACGGCAAGCCGATGGAGACACTGTAGCGTTCAGCGGAGAGTGCCTGACGAGAATAGCGCGATTCGTGGCGTTCGTCGTGATGGACCTGATAAGACAAGCAGATCAGATGTCATTTGGGAGGGGGAGCTCCGAAGAGAGAAGGGGCGAGGCATGCATCATAGCTCCTCGGCATGTGCGCATGGTCATCTACACTTCTGGGTTCTCTGACATCTTGAGATACTCACGTGTGCTCTGGCAGGGCAGAGGTGCAGCATAGAGGTCATTCATTCACTACTTCTTTTTTTTTTTTTTTTTTTTTGGTTTGATCTGAAATACATGCTTTGGTCCGCTTCTGCCTTTCTTGCTGCTGTGGCTTTTGTTTGTTTAGGCTTGCACAGAGCACGCTCGTCCTTGACAAACGGCGACATCGCGCATCCCGAGCCCCACCTGGCACTATCGCCATGTACGCAAGTGAGAAAGATGAATGTTTGACTACGAACTCGTAGCCAAAAAAATTCAAGTAGGTACCACGTTACTATTACGGTCAATATGTGCTTGAAAATTATTGCCAAGTCCAATATTACCTAGACTGAGGTTTCCGTCTCCAGGCGTTTGTCTGTGGTCCAGTTGCATGTTGCGGGACGCAGCTTCAACAACAGAAACTACAAGCACGAACCAATATGAGCCAAATATCGTCGCTCGTCTAGCACATACGACCACAGGCAGTGTAGAATACTGGATCCCGTTTGCTCTCCGTGCGTCAAGCCACTGACCGGCAGATTAGTAGTTGGGTCGGTGACGACCAGCGAACACCGGCTGTTGTATGTTGATTCTTTTTTGCTCTTCCTTTTGAATCTTCTCTGGCCTGTCCCTTTTGCAAGAAAGAGCTGGCAATGGTTTCATTAGTGTGGCTTAAGAGTGGTGTATTTATCCTGACCCGCCTGGATGTCTTCAATGTTAGTTCCGGCCGTGGCTCGCAGTACATGTCTTCCCGAGCTCCCCATCACGGCCTTGCCTCAAGCACGCACTCAAGCCTCGTGACTTTAATTCCCTGAGCAGCAAGGCCTCTAGAACGCGAGCGCGTTCTGCAGCCCACCAGCCATGACTGTCAGTGAGCAGTCTCCGGGCTGCGCGGTAGAAGTGAAAAAGCAGCACCAAAGCCCGCGAGTCGCCGTCCACGGCCATCTGAGCAAAAGTGCCAGAGCAAAGAATGGGGAATGCAAAGAAGAACCTCTGTACGTCTGCCCGTGACGGCATGGCAGCTGGGTGGACATCGCTGTCGCTTACAGGTTCGAGTAGTATACATGAAAGCAGAGTAGAGAGTCGGCGCGAGACTAGCTCGTATGCTGTTCGCAGAGAGTCGTCTGGAGGCAAGATTGACGTCCGCGCATGACAGGTTACGTTGGCAACGACATCTTGGTCCTTGCCATCGAGTACTGGGTCATTCTTGGATCCGAAATTCTCGGCGGCCACTCTAAGACTTTTAGCGACCCGTTCTGCGTTAGTGTGCCGCGTTGATGGCGTCGAGTCGTTCGACGAGAGCTCTGTCTCCAGGCTCAACAGAAATCGCCATGAATGAAGCGACGGCTCATTTCCGGAGGCCTTGTCTGGTCGAGTCACTCCGCGAGTCTGGTACTGTGGATCGTCGTATATGGCCATGAACGGCTGCACGAAGCGAGCCGGGTCCACGCCTCTTTTCCGCAGAGCCTCTTCGATGTTGAGTCGTGGGTGTTGGTGGACTATCGCTAGGAAGTCGCTCTTCTCTGCCATGAAGATCGGCAGGGCCTGGAAAAAGACTTGCAGGACGCCCGGGCTGAGAAGGATGAGCTGGTCCCGCGACAGGTCGAGCGCGGCGTCGTTATCACGCTGTCCGTCTAGGAAGTCGAGATGGCACCACGAGATGTAGTTGACGAGTATCGCGGTTCCGACTATGGAGTCGCACGTGTCCTTGGTAAAGGGCCGTGACAGGTTCTGCCTGAGGAGGCGCAAGGACTTGGACAACAGCCGCGTCGAGGCATTTGCGTACTTGACATCCTGTGGTCGCAGGGCAGTCAGATGTGTTGCCGCCAGGCACAACACTGTCGACATGACGAATTCCTCCTGCGGGCAGTTAGTCCAATCCTGCAGAACTGATGCTTTGCTGGACTTACATCAAAGGCCCGCTGAAGCACCGCGGGCCACACCTCGGGAAACGCCAGCGTCGGCCGCGTTTCCTTCTGCCAGTGGTAGAACAACTCGAGATGAAGCAGGGTGATTTGCTCGTCATTAGAGGCCCCGAAATGGGCCCTGGGTTGAGAGAGGCTTGGGGCGATTTCTTCGCCTGGAGGCGATCGCAAGCACCTCTCCTTGCGCTTGACACATCGGGAACAGGGAACCCGCTCATCGCACTTATTGTTTCTGGTGTCAGCAACGGCCTTGTCGATGTGTTCTTACTCACGCCCATAGGCTGGAATGAACCTTTACCTTGACTCGGCGCCTCTTACAGGCCATACAGCCACGGCGGCTCTTGCGATGCGCCCGCTTCTTTCGCGGATGATCTGCCGCACTCAGCGTCTGCAGTGTGACGGCGCTGCCCTCCGCATCCCCGTGCACGACAAACGTGTTGGCAAAGGTTGCATCGACGTCCGAGTCGCTGGTCATTTTTGCCCCCTCTCGTTCAGGAACGAGGATGAGAAAGTCGTCATGCATGGGGGACGAGACAAGTCCGGGCTTTCGACTGATAAATCACACCGCGCGTGTCGGCTGAGAAGATGGTGTGGCTTGCGGCGATGTGCTCGATCATTGGGCCGTGGCTCAGCGGGCCTCGTCAGTCGTCATCACCCTCGTTCCCCAAATGCGGAATGCGAGCAGGCTTCCCAATTTACATAAGCCCGCTTGTCCGTCAGCAGCGCGTCTGGTCGGGCGGTTCTGGCCCCCGGACGCACCTCATAGGGCATTGAAACGTCTTTTGGGGTCTCGTTTAGAAACGACCTCCTGCGTGTAATGAGCCGAATTCCGGATGGATATAGATGCGAAGTGTCGCAGATGACCGCTCATGGCCACGTACACACGGGCATTGCCTACCCGTGGGGAGGCGGCGCAATTACTCCACGATTCTCTGCGTCAATGTATAAGTTGCAAGCACTCTCCATGTCTTTGGGCATGCTCTGCCTCTCTTCTCAGAGAGCGGACATGCGAACAAGGCCATCCCTGCCGTTACGATGAAACCAGCAACTGGTATGGAGAGTGAAAAGTCGGATGCGCCCAAGGCGAACCTCCTTGGTCTCGATGAGGACGAACTCGACTGCCTGTCACGGCAATTGGATATGCCAAAGAGCGACTCGGGGTACCTGCAAATCTTTCGCTATGCTAACACCGTCGATGGCCTTGTCATGGGCCTCAGTGCGGTTGCGGCAGTTGGTGCGGGCGCCACAATGCCTCTGATGACGGTAGGAACAATTGCAAAGGCACTTGAAAACCTTGCTTTGAGGAATTGACGAGAAGGCAACAGGTCATACTGGGCTCGCTCGTCGGAAACTTTTCCGATTTGACCAGCACGACAAACTCGGGTGCATTTGCCCACAACGTCAACCGCCTCGTCCTCTACTTTGTCTACATCGGTGAGCCTAGCCGCAGCCATACCACAAACTGACTTATATCGCTAAGCAACGAAACAGCCGTGGGCACGCTCGTGCTCACCAGCCTCTTCGTCTTTGGATTCACGTGGACCGGCGAACGCATCACGAAGCGCCTCCGGTCCGCGTACTTCGAGGCCCTCCTCAGGCAGAACATGGCCTTTCTCGACGCCCTCGGCGCCGGAGAAGCAGCGTCGAGAATCACGGCCGACCTAAACGTCATCCAGGATGGCGTCTCGCAAAAAGTCGGCCTGGCCGTTAGCGGGCTCGCTGCCTTTGCAGCAGGCATGGTCGTCGCCTACGTCCGCTCGTGGCGCCTCGCCCTCGTCATGACCAGTCTGCCCGTCGCCGTCACGGCCTGGATGATCGTCGTCGGCACGTCCATGAAGAAAGCCCAGCTGACGTCCACGGACCTTTACTCTTCAACGGCCACGTTCGCCGAGGAGGCGATATCGTCGCTGCGAAACGTCGCGGCGTACGGGCTGCAGAAGCGGTTCGTGGAAATGTACGAGGCGTCTCTGGCGCCGGCCGCGAGAGCGGATGCGCGAGCAAAGGCCATGATGGGCCTGTTCATCGGCGGCTTGATGGGCGCGATGCTCAGCGCCTTTGCACTCGCGTGCTGGGCAGGCTCCCGATTCATGGACGCGGGCGACGTTGATACGTCGCAAGTCGTCACCGTCCTGTTCGCGTCCATGATTGCAGGCGTCTCGTTTGGACAGGTCGCGCCTCATCTGCAAGCCTTTGGAGCTGCTGGAGCCGCGGCGAACCGCATTTTTGGTGCCATTGAGCGCCGTCCACCTGCTGGAGTAGCTTCAGACAAAGCGACAGGCTTGAGACCAGACAAGTTACTTGGCCATATCCAATTCTGCGATGTAAAGCTGGTATACCCCTCTCGGCCTGACCAGCTCGTCATGGATGGCTTCACGCTTGACGTACCGGCCGGCAAGACTACCGCCATCGTTGGCCCGTCGGGGACCGGAAAGTCCAGCCTGCTTTACCTCCTCCAGCGGTTCTATCTTCCCCTCCGCGGGCGAGTATGCATCGACGGCCACGACATCGAGGACATCGACGTGCAGTGGATCCGTTCCAACATGCGAGTTGTGAACCAAGAGCCATTCGTCTTCAACACTACGATACTCGAAAATATTGCGTTTGGCCTCGTTGGGACGAGACTCGAAAAGGTTTGCGCCCGGTCTGCTCCGTCTTTTCGCCGCATCTCATGTTAACGCTGACCACCAAGGCCGATTCGAACACGAAACAAACAATGGCTGAACAAGCAGCTAGGGCAGCCAACGCTCACGATTTCATCTCCCAGCTTCCTCACGGCTATCAGACAGTTGTCGGCGAGAATGGAGGCCGCTTGAGTGGCGGCCAGAGGCAACGAGTCGCGATCGCGCGGGCGCTCATCTCCGACCCGAGAATACTCCTCCTAGACGAAGCAACGGCCGCTCTCGATGCCAAATCAGAGTCATTGGTGCAGACATCTCTCAGCACTCGCGGACCAGGCCGAACAACCATCGTCATTTCGCACCGTCTGTCAACGGTACGCGGCGCCGACAACATTGTGGTGATGGACCATGGTCGTGTAATCGAGCAGGGAACCCACGAGCAGCTTCTGGTGAGCCAAGGAGCGTATTCGTCGTTGGTTGAAGCTCAAGCGCTACGAGAGGGTACCGATAGCCCTCGCGAGATGGGTTACGGCTCTGACGACGAACAACACAGTAGCTCTGGGAAAGCCCTGGAGAAGAGTCGCGTTGCTGCTTGGGGTCGAGAGCAACGGCAGGAGTCGACTCGGGCCACTACTCTCGCGCTCGTCAAGTTTCTCCTTCATCTGAACCATGCCGAAAGGATGCACCTCCTTGCCGGCATGATTGGAAGTGCCTTCGCCGGCCTTGGCTACCCGCTGACGGCAATCTTCTTCGGAAACATGGTGCTTGCTCTCCGGGATCCCCGCATGACCCTAGGCGGTCATGGTATCGGCTTCTGGGCCGGGATGCAGTGGCTCACGGCATGGGTCGTGCTCTTCGGCTATGTCGGCCAAGGCACGGCCTTTGCACACGCATCGTCTCGCCTGATAGCTCGAGCCCGCGCCGTCGCCTTCGCCGCCATCTTGAGGCAGGACGCCGCCTTCTTCACCAGGCCGGGCAACGACCCCGGCGCGCTGACCGCGTTCCTCAGTCAGCAGGCGAGCCAGCTCAACGGGCTCAGCGGGACAATTCTCGGGGCCTTGCTCAACAGCATCGTTGCCGTGGTGGGCGGCTTCATCGTTGCCACGTCTTTTGGGTGGAAACTCGGACTCGTTGCCACGGCCACCATGCCGCTGATCTTCACGACCGGTTATGCACGGTTTAGGGTGCTTGCGGACCTCGAAAAGAAGAGTCTGCGCGACTCAAAGGCCGCGGCCGTCGTCTCCGAGGCAGTTCGCGGTATCCGCACCATTGCCGCCCTGGGGCTCGAAGACACTATCGCGGAGCGTTACCGCCTCCAGCTGGGCGACGACATCCGCAGCAGCGCGGGACAGAATGCGTTGCTCTCGGTTCTTTACGGCACGAGCCAGTCGGTCATCATCTTTTGCACGGCCCTTATCTTCTGGTACGGCGGCTCCAAGCTGCTGCCGACCGGCGAGTACACTGTCCAGAGCTTTCTGATATGCTTCGTCGCCACGACGTACAGCGCCCAGTCTGCAGGTGGCATCTTCTCTCACGCGCCAGACGTGGCGGGCGCGCAGGACGCAGCCATCAGGCTGAAGACGCTGACCGAGACCGTCCCCCAAATCGACGTCGATAGCGAAGACGGCGACAATGCAGAGGCACTGGTCGGAGATGTTGCCGCTTGCAACGTCGACTTTGCGTATCCATCACCTGAAGGGCCAGGACATCTTGTATTGCGTGACGTTTCGCTAAAGGCAAAAACGGGGAGCTTCGTCGCGCTCGTCGGCGCAAGTGGCAGCGGGAAGAGCTCTGTCCTCAACCTCGTCGAGCGGCTTTACGACCCCTGCTCCGGCCAGATCGTCGCGGACGCGAAAGACATACGCCAATACCGCTTGCAGAGCTTCCGCAAGCAGATGGCCATCGTGGAGCAGGACTCTGTGCTTTACAGTGGAACTATTCGCGACAATATCATCAGCGATGGAGACTTTGACGACGGAGACATTGAGAAGGCCTGTCGCGATGCGAATATCTGGGACTTTGTGGTAAGTGCTCACCAGTACCTACGGCACGGCTCTTCATCCAGCTCACATGTCTTGCCACCCAGTCTTCCCTGCCAAATGGGCTCGACACCGCCATCGGCCCCCGAGGCACTCAAGCATCCGGAGGGCAAAAGCAACGCCTCGCTCTCGCCCGAGCGCTACTCCGCAAACCCAAGATACTGTGAGTGCACAGAGAGCCAAGCCGCCATCATCATCCAAAATCATCAGTACCCAACTCTAACTTGCACAGCCTGCTTGACGAAGCGACATCAGCGCTCGACGCCCACTCCGAGGCGGTCGTCCAGGAGGCGCTCGCGGCAGCGGCCATGGGCAGGACAACAATCGCCGTCGCTCACCGAATTAGCTCCATCGCCAACGCCGACTGCATCTACGTGTTTGACCAGGGCACCGTCGTTGAGCAAGGCACTCACGCTCAGCTCATCGCGAGGAAGGGGCGGTATTGGGATTACGTGGGGATGCAGACGCTTGATACGACGTAAGGGAATCGGCCACGGGTGTAATAGTCTTCACTCTTTGTATACTTGGCTCATATGCTTGATCAACGTTTACAACCCAAGTGCGGCGCGGCTATGGTAGACAAGACAGCACAGAATTCCGTCCTTAGCTCACCCAATCCGAGGCACAATTGGCCTGGCCAGCTCCGGGTAAGCGCGAAAGAACGCACGACAAATCTCGTCCGGGTCAACGACGCCTTCGCTACCAGTTCGCCCCTCCGCTCGATGGATCTCGATCCTCGCCAGGATGTGCTCACAATCGGCCCATACCCTCGCCCTGTTTCGAATACCCTTCAGCGAGTCACATCGCCTGGCCATCTCCACGTAAAGTCGAAGCCAGTCCGTTTCGTCCATCGGCAAAAGACAAGTACCCTTGCTGCGGTGGAACTCGGCCTTTTCTTCCTCGATGGCAGCAAGTCTCGTTCGCAGCGCCGCTATTGCCGCTTTGTTTCCTCCATTTTGATCTCCTTCTTCCTCTAGGACCGGGATTTGCCACTCTTCTATATCACGCTGCTGCCTGTCCCAACTCTCGTGTCTGGTCTCGAGCTCCGAGCGAGTCGTGGTGGCCCAAAAAGATAGTGGCAGCGGACACCAGGCTTCCCATAGCCACGGCATGTCCCGCAGCAACAGCTTGCGGAAGAAGGTCTGCGGCAGCCGCCGGAACGCTCTGCTAGCGAGGCAAGTGCTCGCGACGTCTCTGCCACTGAGATGTGACAGTATTCCCATTCGGAGTTCCGTAGGAAGTGGAGCGAAGCAATCGGCGACCCGAGGCTCATCATTCTCAACACTCTGCATGCCGAGTCTAGCGCTGCACCTGGTCTGAACGGAAGATAGAATGGGCTCCAGATCCGGGACAAAGCAAGGGTTCGCCGCGAGCCACTCGTCCCCAGCAATATGTCGCCATTGCTTCTGCCTACCCCGATGAACAGCCTCATGGCGCGGAAACTGCTCCATAAAGTGCAGGGGGTTGCCGTCGAGGCGAAACCACGCCATCAGCGCCTGGATGTCTACCGCACCCCAGCGCAGCAAGCTCGCTCGCTTGTACACCTCCAAGCAGTACGGGTGAAACGGCATCGCGGCGGCGCCCGCCTGACCGGGCCACCAGAGGCAGTTCTCCGCCTCTGGGGCTCGACACCCGTGCCGCGGTGGGAACACACTACCAAGACGGGCGTCTCTTCGCCGCAAGTGGTCCGTGAGCCCGCTTAGGTGGAAGTCGCCGCGGCGCTCAAAGCCCTCGTCGTCTGCTTCGGGTCGCCAAGAAGCGGTCTTAGGGACCAGGAACTGAACGGTTGTGCATCCTTTCATTTCTTCTGCAGAGATTCGGTGGCCATTGTACCCCCTGTTGGAACGGCAATCCTTACCGGCGATGTGCTCGTGTTCCCCGTGGCTTTGTTGTTCAGGACTCGTAAGCGGGCGCAAGGCTTCCGACCTGCGAGCGGTGGGACCAAGCAAAGACGACAGAACGCGATGATATGTGTCCTGGCTCCTCACAGGGTCATTGTCGGGCCTGTCCGTCGTGTACCTGGGTTCACCTGCTGGGATGTTCTGGCCGGAATCTTCATCCTCGCCATCTAGGCTATCGATCTCAGAGTCTGGTGGCTTCGCGTACTCAAACGGTTCAACTTCACAGCTGCCATCGTCGCTATAGTAAGACCCTGAGTCACTGTAGAAACCGTCTTCAACAGTCGCCGCCAAACAATTACGACACTCCTCTGCCTCATCCGCAATTGCTGGGGCATAGGTCGCGTGCAGGAGGTCATCGCTCCATTCCAGGTCGGCGGCACACCAGGACGCTTCGAATGGTTCGTCGGACTGACGGATGCGACTAATGTTGGTGCTCGTGCCGCATATTTGGCACCAAATGTCGGAGGGCAAATCCATGACACGCTGCGCAAGTGCCCGGCTAGGCTGCAACCTGTAAGTGGGTGCCGCGATTACGCGGAGTCCCAATGCAGGCGGTTATCGAGTTGAACGGCAGGCCGACAAGGGCAACATAGCACTTGGGTCTTCTTAATACGTGTTCCAATATTTGCGGCTGAGAGGTGTCGGTTGAGTGAATCCTTCTCGTTGGCGGGCACGTGTGTTGAAGAGTCGAATTGAGCGATGGTCATTGCGCGATGCCACACTTCACAACAGACTCAGACGCCAGCGCAAGGCTCCTCAATAACCTTACATACCTATATGCTCTGTATCTGGCTTGGGAAAAAAAGCCAGCTGAGTCCCAATCGGGGCAACTGATGACCCGGCATCGCCCGATCGCGCTCTCAGCAAAAACAAGCGTCTCATCCCTCTCGCCCGCGTCAGACGCCCTCCTCAACTCTGTTAAGCTGACGACACCCTCCCTCAACTATGTGATTGACGACCTCCCCAAAGTCGAAGAAAGAATTTGGCTTTGGTTTGTCAGCGCCCGACCCGCGCGTGCGTGAGACAGCACGACTCGGCCAACCCCGTCCCACGGATCCTCCCGCAGTCTTGGCGCATGTTTTGGAGTCTGAGTTGTGTGGTTCGGGAGGGTTCCCTTTTCCCGCCTAGACAAGGGGTTCCACAACCGCGCTGGGCCGCCGGGTCCGTCGCGTCGCCCGCCGGGCCACACACACACCGACTCCTCCGAGTCCGACCACCCGGCCGAGTGGTGCGGTGCGGGGTTGGCCGGGGCGCGGGCCCGATGGTCGTCTCGGCCGAGTGGAGCAATTGACGACTCCAGCTCCGCGACCGTGACAAATGCACAACTCGGTCGGCGAAAGGTATTAAAAGGACGAGTCTGCGCTTCGAAACTGATGGCGTGGCATAATTCTACAGACATTTCACGCATCATACCTTTCCTTGTTTGCCTCACGGAGCCAGTGGTCGTACCGCCTCAACCAGCGCTCAGCAGATCCGTCTCAGCGACTTCACTTACACACGCCGACTACCATCTCATCACCCCAGCACCACCACCAAAAGCATTCCGTTTTCGCCTTCAATTCCCTACCTACGCTTTACCAAAATGCACATCTACATCGCCGGCGCCACCGGCCGCAACGGCAGCCTCGTCCTCGCCGACGCCCTGGAGCGAGGCCACACCGTCACCGCCCTCGCCCGCAGCCCCTCATCCTCTTCGCTACCACTTTCGCACCCGCGCCTCACCGTCGTCGCCGGCACCCCCACGTCGCAATCCGACGTCGAGCGCGCCCTCGCCACCCCGCGCCGCCCCGACGCCGTCATCACCGCCCTCAACCCGCGCCGCACCTCCGACAGCCCCTTCTCGCCGCTGCGCCCCGGGGGCGATTCCCCGCCCGACCTCCTCCCCGAAACCGCGCGCATCCTCCTCGCCGCCATCGCCCGTGTCTTCCCCTCTTCCTCAGCACGTGCTGCTACCGCCTCGCCACCCCCGAAGCTCGTCGTCAACTCGTCCTTTGGCGTCGGGTCCTCCTGGCGGGCCATGACTTGGCCCATGAAGCTCATCTTTAGCCACGGCGCCATGAGCGTCACTCTGCGGGGACACAATGACATGGACGCGCTGGTTCGAGGTAGCGGCCTGCCTTTTGTGCTGGCTCGCCCAGCGAGGCTGATCGAAGGCGCGCCGTCGAGCGTCACGGCCCTTCCCGATGACGGCGCCGGCTGTGGCTGGAACCCCGTCATCACACGTCACAGTGCGGCAAGGTGGCTCGTCCAAGCAGCAGAATCCGACACATGGGATGGCACATCGCCTGTCATTGTCAATTAGGGCGGCCCGCCTTACCCCTTCCCTGGCCTGGAATTTCAAACTCTCAGCCCTGTCCGAACCATCCACTTAGTCGTGTTTGCCCGACGCGCTTGTAAGCCCACAGTCACACCATAGATGAATAGCATAGCCTTCAAAATCCAATACGTCTCGCTCCATCCTGGCGGGTATCGAGTCTTCTGCATCTGTGCCAGACCTGGTAACTTTTCCGCATAATCATTACCGTCACTTCCGCCTTCGCCATGCCACGTTGCGTCACAGTATATCGCCCCCCTCATCAAGCCCCAAGCGCCGTGCAAACCCATCACGCCGTGCTTCCATGCGCCTCCGCGTTCAAGCCGTCACCCTAAGCGCCGCATATTACCACCTTCCTAAACCGCGACATATCCACCATCAGTTGGGCAAAACGCGACAAAATAGATTGTCCAAGCACTCGCTGATTGCAACGCAAATTCCACTCTCCATCTCCAAACTATCAGTCCCATCCTTCCCACAGTATCCAGCCGCCAATGTCGCCCATGGGCCCCGAGACTGCCGGGTTTGCACTGCCGGAGCTCCCTGGGTACCCGTATGATGCTCGGCTGCGCATGTAGTCGTTGGGCTGGTGGAAATGGTCCAACGACATGCGGAGTTTCTCGCGCGTTAGGTTCGATGCCCTCAAACAGGTGTCGAGAACCCCATACAGCTCCCGCGCGATGTCGTGGGCCTTCGGATCCGCAGTCTTGACAGTCTCCAACACTATAGCCACGCAAAGGATATCCTTGGTGTCACTGCCGCTAATGTTGTTCATGAGCAGCGCGAGCGTCTTCTGAACAGTGTTGACGAGCCTTGCGGGCGACCACAAGACAAGGTTCTCGGCTGTGTACGACGGAAAGTCATCCGAAGAGTCCGGTGACATTCGTAGCGCCTGTTGACCTAGAACGAGGCCTTCGGAATTGGGTCGCACGGCAGACTGGATATAGAAGCACACGCTGAGGGCGGCCTGGATGATGTCCCTTTTCAAGATCTGATGGTACATCTCGGCAATGTCCTGGAAGTGTGCTAGGAGCGGGTCCAACTCGTCCAGGTACTTCAGAATAACCATAGACGACCTCAGATACGCCCTTGATATTTGCGGTGGCACTTCTGGTACGCCCATGGCCAGGGGCCGGTAGAGCGCTAGCAAGGGGCGCCTGACGTGCATGTCCAGGATGACGCGGCACCGCCACTGCTTACTCCTTTGCGTATCGTTCAGTATCCCGTGGCGCGGAAATATGTAGTTGATATCGTCCAAGAATCTCTCCAGCTTGGCTCCAACCTCCATGACTTCTTGATAGTCGCGCATGGAATCGATCCGGTTGATCAACGGCGCTACGCGCATGCGAACCCCAAGCGTCATTGCGGCATACACCTGCATTTGATTGTCCGTGACCTGGTCGATCGGTTTGGTCGGAGGGAGTTCTTTCATATCCAGAAACAACTCCGAGTCGTTGAGATTGCGGGGCGGGCGGCATGAAAAGTCCCCGTCGCGCACGAGGCAGGGCAGGTTGCACGCCAAGGACATGTGCAAGTCCATGTCGACAATGGTAAACCACAGCCTCCTTCTGAGCTCTCCCAGAAATACCGGCATGCGGGGTTCCCATTCTGACGGGTCTCGGTGCAGCCCCATCGTCATGGCGAGGCGGACCACGAAGCCCAGCTGCGTCCAAGAATCTTGTGCGCGCGGCGTTATCATTCTTTGAGCGTGCAAAAGCAGCACCTCCACTTGCAGGGTCGACAGATCGACCAGTTGTTTGCCTTTGAGGTTATCAAGCCACGTTCGTACAAGAGCACAGGCGGTGGGGATGTGCACGCCTTCCACGCGCTCATGGCCCATGCCTTTGGACTTTGTCTCGAACCGTGATGCCACTGACAGCACCGACAGCAGCTTAGGGAGAAACGATTCTGATTGTAGTTTGCCCTCCCAGTAGAGCTCGTATTGCTCCGAAAAGGTAGGTAGGTGGAGGATCCTGTAAATCGTCTCCGATGTATCAATATAAGAGGCGACGAGGCGGTCGCAGACCGTCTTCTTGGGTAGTATATCCGTCATTCGCTTTTGGACGGGCATCATGGAGTCGACAAAGACGGTGATTGGCATCATGGCCTTGTGGAAGTTATCTTGAAGCGTCTTGTGCAGCGCCCCGAAGCTGGTGAACAGCTCGGCATGGTTTGACGAGTGCTGTTGATTCGACATGTAGGATTTTGCGTCGGCGAACTGAGACACAATTAGCCATGCCTGGCGGACAGAGATCCCACCTGGGTGGCAGTAGCTTACCAGGTTCACCAAAACGCGAGGGCTATTCTGGCCAAAATAGCGTGTCCGTTGGGCCCCGCGCTTGACCGAAACCCCTCTGATGGTGTTTTGGGAGGCAGCAATGAGTCTCCCACCGCTAAACTCGGTCCCCGGGCTGCGCACCCGGACCTGCTTCTCTAGGCGCTCCATACGCAGGGATAGTTCCTCGAGAAGTGGCAGACTTGGTGAATCCGCGCCCTTGCCCGGGGTGTGAGCGACATCCGTGGAGGTCGCGCCAGGCGCTCCTGACGAGCCAGGCGGGCAGGTTCGCTTCATGGGGCGGATCATTTCTGTTGACTCCACGTCTGAACCGTCCGAGAGGTTTGCTGCGTCTTGGTCAGCAGCGTACCTGCAGATGCGACTCGATTTCTGGCATTGCGAGCAAGGCAGCAGCCGATCGCATCGCAGCTTGCGTTTCCGGCACTCTGTACAAGACTTGACCGGTCTGGGCCGCTTGACGCTGCGGGACTGCTGTGATTGCGGTTGATGCTGCACGATCTGGGCATGCGACGGGAGCGGCTCGTGCTGCAGCTGCTGCGGAAGTTGTGGTTGTTGCTGGTGGTTGTTGTGATGGTGATTATGCTGATGTTTCGCGCCCGAAAGTGTCGGTGGAGGTGGCGAGTGTTGTGACGTGGGCGTATTGTCAAAGGGGCCGCCGGGGCCATCCGTGTTGGACAGGGTCGCGGGAGCAGGCCCCGTCTCGTTGGTGGGCGTGAATGCGCTCATGGTAACCCGTACTGATTCAGTCGATGCTCCTCATGCGGCAGTGGGGGGGTTGGTGGGAAAGCTGAGCAGCGGAGGCGGCAGGAGAAGGTCGATTATCAGAGGCCCGTAGGTGGTTCGCATGTCATCGTCACACAGGCGTTCTCGGGGAGCAGACACGGCCGATGATGACGCCAGGACCGGGCACCGCCAGCAAGCACTGCGACGTGACCGACGAGCGTCACAACAGTTGGGTAAAGTTGTAGCCGTGGCAAAGCCGCGCGCAAGCGAGGTCCCGTGAAGCGTGAACCAGAGCGCGCGCGTGTGTCCTTGGGAGACACTACCTCTCGAGCCGTCCGCTGCCGATGAAGTCAGGCATGCTCGACAACTTCAAGGCCACGAGGCGTGGGGCAAGATGAAGAGGTCAGGCGCCGATGCTAGAGCGACAGGGCCAGGGGAGGCTCAGTTTGCGCTCTCGAGTCTGCCGTTGCGCTCGAGTCTTTGACTCTTCCTTACTGGGATGGTGATGGCCCGGTTGGAACTCGACGGCTGGGCGGAGCGAACCTGTGGAGCCGGGGCGGCGGAGTAGGAAGAAGGGTCGGTTCCGCGTTGGTTGAGGAGCGCAGCAGCACGAGGGCCCGATGGATGCTAGACGGCTGGCCAGTACTTGTATGTCTGCGTGGATACCGAGTCCTGTTCTCGAGGGGAGGGACGGGGCCAGTATGAGGTGCAGGAGAAGAGCGCAAGTGGTGTGCGGGTAAGAGGTCACGACTGGCAGCTGCTAGTCAAGACGGTGGATAAAATGACGGACAAGCCTTGCACCCCGGTCACTTGTGGGACTGGGCCTTGGGAGCCTCGAGAGTTGAGACGTCGACTGCGGACGGTGCAGGAGTGCCCTCTGGACGTGCGACAGGGGGCATAAGCTGGAGCGGAGAGTGATGGAGACGTTGTCGTGGTCGACGATCGGCGAGGGCGGCGCTCGAGGTGGGAAAATGGCGGCGGCGGCGGCAGCGGCGCTGGCGCTTGTGCTGGTGCTGGTGCTGGTGCGGGTGGTGGTGCTGGTGCTGGTCCTGTCTCTTATACACATCTAGATGTGTATAAGAGACAGGTGGTGGTGGTGCGGTGCCGGCTCTTGCTGGTGTTTGTGTTGGCGCCGGTGCTGGCGCCATCCAATCCATCCAGCCCACCTCGAGCGAGGTGAGCCCCGGGGTTGGTCTCGGACTGTTGGTGGCGGTGCCGCTGGGGCTGGCGTGTGCGCAACGCGACGGGCCAGCTCTGTGCTCGCAAAGTCAACTGCTTGCCGATGGCCCGGGCTCGATCGTCGCCAACAGCGGAGCGGAGGCAGGGAGGGGGAGGGGGGCGGCCGGAGAAGCGTCTCGAGTCGATGCAGGGCCACCCGTCGTCGTCTGGTGTCATCGGACCCGGGAGCTTGGACGCGGCTGGAACGAGTCCATGCCGGCCGCGAGCCTGACGAGCTTGAGGTAGCCAGGTGGTGGTGAGATTTCTATGGAAGGTATGGTGAAGAGCCTCTCGGGGTGCCGTGACCTGCACAGGGGGACTTGCAAAGGTACCCGGTCCCGCGCAAGGCAAGGTACTGCAACTACATAATACTTGTACTCGTACTTGGTAGGTACGTTCCTTAGCTGGCGGGACGCACCTCCCGCGCGCCCAGGAAGGTACCTAACCCACGTTGGCAGATGAAACGAGACGGCCGGGTGCCCTGCGTAAAGAGGACTAAGGTGCCTATGCCCGGGTGCTCAGTAAACTTTGGCGCGAGGCACCCACCCTGCTTGGATGCCACCAGCGCTTGAGGTGGTACCTGGGGCGGGACGAGAACCTCTACCCGGACGAGTACCTCGCAGGGCGGGCGACAGCCGGCAGTGGCAGCTGCCCGGGCAGTGGACAGGCGGGCAGCCTGGGCCGGGTTCGACTCATCAACGATGGCACCCACGCCCACGCCCACGCCCAGCGGCATGGGGGGCATGGGGGCATCAAAATGTCAACTTATGTCACAGCGGATGATGTGCATCAGGCGGGGTGAGTGCTCGGCCTCGTCCCAGCAGCACAGACACCGCACATGCCCGCAAGTCCGGTACAGCCCAGGTACACTTGCTGAGAGAATTTGCCAATCATCCCATCCCCCGAAACCTCGGCTCCCCGATTTAATATGCTAAATTCACAAGTTGCGAAGCTCCGCAGTTCTCGTACGAGTTCCGGCGAGTACGGAGCACATACACCGTGTCAAGTACGTACTTCGTACTAACCTTCCTTACCTTCGCTTTCATGTGCCAATTCGTCAGTCGTCGAAATGCAGTGGCCCGGGACGGGCGCACTTTCCCTCGCGAGCAGCGAGAAGGAGAAAGAGAAGGAGCAAATCCTCACGAAGTCCTCCGCCTTCCACACGCCGTGCCCTTACTTACCTAACTCATAATTTACTTTGAGCCGTCGTCGTAGCTGCCTGCTGCGTAGAGTAATTGCTCCGAGTCGTCTCGGGAAGGTCCTAAATTGTACATTTCAATGCGCTTCGCATGTGCCTGCCCTCGCAAGAAATGGACTCGGCTTGTCTCCGCAGTCGCCCGTCGCCCTCGCGTCGTCTTCGACGTCTTGTCAATCTGATCGCGACATGCCTCGTACACGCACGTATCGTGCCCGCCGACCTTTGCCACCTTCGATCCTGGGCTAGGCCCAAGCACGCTGCGAAGGGCAAGCCATGTGGGCTCCGTTGCTAGTCTTGCGCACGCCATGATGATCCTGGGCCCTGGCCCTGGCTTCTGGCTTGCCCAGCCCAGCAGCCCAGCGGCCCAGGAGCCGCAGCACACCAGAGGCGTCCCAGTCGGCATGCTTCCTTGTCTCGTCCATCTCCAGCCACGCATCCACTGCACCGGGCGGAGCAGGGTTGAAGAACGACACACGGGCAAGATGGGGACACACACGTCTCGACCTTGCCCTGAATGCCTGATTCAAGAGCAGCAGGTCCGGTGCCGCGAGTGCCTCTCCTCTCCACTCTCTCTGGTCGCGCCGCTAAGTTCGACCCCCGTCCGGAGTGCGCGACCCTCGAATCGACGGACCCGCAGGTCAAAGTTCGCACGAAGCGGACAGGAAACCGCCAATGGACCAGCCAGCGCTCCCCGTCATCTCGTCACACCCACACCTGTCGTTGTCCTCGTCGACTTGTTGCGTCGCATTGGGGTCGGGGTCCGCTTCGTGCAGTGCAAGCAGCTGTGAATTTCAGGTGTGCCCGCCCGCCGCCTGCTCAGCCGTTCAGCCTCTGTTGGCACCAACACCCGATACCCACGACTTTTCTGCGACTCCTGGGCATCGAGTCGCAGCGGATAGGCGCAGCGCGCATCTGGCCCGTCCAATCTGACGTAGCATTCGGTACCGACTGCTAGTAGGCGACGGCTTCGCCCGGTGGCCTCAGACTAGCAATGGTCAAGCCGCGCGTGTCGAGCAATCGACGGGTGGACGATGGCCGTCTCCACGAGTCAGGGCGGTTGGTTGGGTCCGGTCCCGGCGCAAAATGGGCAGATGGGGAACACGGGCCTATCCAAGCCTCTACGGTCCCACATGAGCAAAGTCCAAGGAGCACAGAGATGTTCCAGCTCCCTGGAAGATGGGCTGGCGGTTGGCCCGTTGCATCTTGTACAACTCGCCCGCAGTCGATCTGCGATTTCACCGTGCAGGTGGGCTCGGTTGCCGAGCAAAATGAGATGCCAACATTCCCTCGCAGACGGACATACGCGGAACCCCACTGTCTGTTGGATGCGCCCGACCAGGCAATTCGAGGACGGCTGAGTGACATAACTTCGACAGGAAGACGGAGGCACCAGCTTGCGCCTCTACACACGAGCCTAAGCGTTGCTATGGTGTCGAGGGGCGTTTGCTCTGCTTCTTCTCCCCCGGACTGAGCGCGAATGTTGAATTGCTATGCCCGACACAACCATGCATCATTGGACAGTGACCAAAGGACGGTCACTCACAACCCCAGACGTCTGCTTAGTACTGGCTTACTCGCCGCCGCCGCGGAAGCGCTGCCGGGTCTGAAACAGCCCCAGGCTCGCCCTCCCATGAGTCGTGGACAAGTTGCAAGCCGTCACTCCCTCGCAGATCCAATGGTCCCTGGATCTTTGGGGCCCATGCATCGGGGCCGAGGAGAACTCCAGAAAGGATCCGCACAGGGATGTGCCGCCGGATCCATGACACACAACGGCAGCGCAGCGACGCTTCGTCGCGGCTGTTGTTGGACGGGCAAGGCCAGACAGATGCGCATTGGGGGAGGTCAATCTGCACAGCTGGACCGGGGGTAGTTGATGCCGCCAAAGCGACGCCGGATCCGAAGTCGGTCGCAAAGCCACGTCCAGCCGCAAGCCATGCTGCACCACGCCAATCTGGATCCCCAGCTTGTACCGACTAGGTAGGTCAATGGCCCGCGGCAGCCTTGCAGGGCCAACGGCCTGCCTTGTCTAACCGTGCCGCTGCTGGCTAGCACCGACAGGGCATCGAATCGCGACGGAACCTGCGCCTCGCCGTCGGGCATTGGGTCGGATCAGCCGTGCAGGTTGACTTATACGCACGTATCGTACGTCACAGCCCTCGTGGGCCATCGGCCTAGTTGCGACGGACGTGCGTAATATCGATCGAAATCCACATGCGCACAGGTAGCATGCCGTGTGTCAACGGCGGGACGGGAGGCCAGACATTCCCCTGGGGCCAGAGGTTGCACCGGCCCGCCTGTGCGACATTCCACATCGGGGCATGCGGATCGCAGCAGAAGGCCTTGCTTTCCCTTCGCTGCTCCATCTGCCGCGCCAGTGGAGGCTCTGTGCCGGCGCCTCATCTCGTCAGTGTAGACATCCTTGTCCCGAGCTCCCGGCTGTTGTGGCCGACGAACCGTTTCGAGCCAAGGGGCGATGACCAAGGGAAGGCTGGAGGCAGGCAGGGCAAAAAGAACGAGAACGCCAAGCCTCTTGATCCTGACCGATGCCCCCTGCCTGGGGTCACCGCAGCATCTCATCAATATGCGAGGCCGACGTGGACGGACAGCTGGGCTGCCAGGTCGCCCGATGCACGTCAGGGTCTTGTTATACAGGGGCATCCATGCATTGAGTTTAACTACGCCGCACATGTCAGTCGGTCTCTGTGCGCTCAATGGATCATGGCCAGCCACGGCCACTGCATTTGATGATGCATTGATTAAGAACGGCGGCGTGGCGCGCACCTGCCTGAAGCCATTCACGGTCTTGGGCGCGAGCACTACGGGGCGTAATTTCGCACCAGAAGTGCCTTTGCACAGACGGATATCTCGACGGGTCACGAGAGTACAGTACAGTGTAAAATGCAGTACGGTCTTGTATTGCAGGTGAAGCGTTGGCCAGTCGAGTTTCCACACTGCCTCTCATCCTCGTCGGTCCTACATGCGTCTTGCGTCCCACGTGCCTGCAAGAGGTAACCTCCTCCGGCCCGCCCATCCGTGGCGTCAAGTCTGCGCAGGGAGAGGTTTTGACTCCAGAGGGACTTAAAGACCTGCCAAACTCGTTGAGCCCTTCGCTGAGCCATCACATTCGCACGCATGCTCCTCCGCCACTCGGACGACCCGGTACCCCTTCCATCCTTGCGCGCTGCGCTTGCTGCCTTTCGCCTCCCTGCGCCTGTACGCCGACGGCGCAGCGGGAGATCATGTCGACCCGTCGCGGGCCTGGCCCGTCGGGCCAGCGTCGCCGTCGTCGTCCGTTGGCCAGGCCCCGGGGAGGTCCTCAGTGCTTTCAGTGCTTTGTTGACTTCGCGGCGGCTGTCTCGGGGCAGATTCGCCATTGCCCCTGTCGTCGTCGTTGACGGCCGTCTCGTCGCCGCTGTGTCCCGCGCTCCGCCCTACACCGAGCATCTGCATCAGCGTGGCCAGGATCCCCGGCTCACCGCCACGGCCCATGTGAGCCTCAATGTCATGCCGTAGCTCTTCGTCGTCGGCTTCCCGCAGGGCTCGTATCTCGTCATCATCCTCGTCCTCATCTTGGCCGAGGAATGCATTTCCTGCCTGGTTGCCCCCGGCCCCGATCTGCACTTCGTGGGCCGCCAGCATGTCCTGCACCCGCGCGAGCAGCGCGGCGTCCCGGCCGTGGGTCTGCCGTCGCTGCTGGTCATCGCGCCACGGCAGCTGCGTGCCTTCGCTGGTGAAGATGTTGTCCTTCTCTGGCGGTGGCAGGGGGTCGAATTCGTAGTTTGGCTGGCTCTCCAGGAGCGCTCGCGGCGCGACGGCGAGCAGGGATGTCTGGCCTTCGAGGTATGCCAGCCTGGTCGGCCCGAGGCCCGGCGGAGCATCGTCTTGCGGTAGATTCGACGTGTCGACCTTGTTGAGGCTCTTTGCAACGTCCTGGAGCAGCGAGGTCGCCTGGGTGTTGTTCCACAGGTCCTTCGTCTGGTATATGTACAGCTTTGTCCAGAACGACCGCGCGTTCGAGTCTGCGCTGATGCCCCAGATGGAGGGCGGCGCGTCCAGGTTAAGGTCCTGGAACAGCGCGCAGTACAGCCACGGCAGCCGCTGAATCCCTTGTGCAAGATCCTGACGTGCGCCGTCCACATCACCCGCCTGAAGCTTGGCCAACACCAGCGTCTGGCGGAGATACTCGGCGCCTCCGTCGGCATCATTGCCGGATTGCGACTCGAGGAAGTCTATGAGCCAACGAGATTCGTACGCGCGTATGGCCAGAAAATGTATAAAGTGCTTCATGGCGTAGGGATCGCCCTGCGGATCTATGGCGTGGAGGAGCTTTGCCCATTCCAGCGCCGTTCGGTACGTGCCCTTGCGGATCAGGCTCTTGAGGAAGTGGTAGCCCGCGAGCCAGAACTGCCGGTTCTCGGGGCGGCGAAAGTCGAGACGAGCCCGGCCGTGCTCGACGTCCTGCCGGAACGTCGACGTCGTCACCCTCCCGAACGTGAAGAGGGCGCGCTCGCACAGCTCCCCTGCCAGGGCCATGTTCTGGTCCTGCTTGGCTACGCTGCTTACTTGCAGCAATGTCGACACATGGTAAGCTAGCTCGCGGAGAAGGCAAGTCAGCATGATGCTCATGAGAAATCTCGTGCCTTCTCAAGGGGAGGTTTGAGGAAGACATGGGGGGGCAGGGCCCGACTCACGCGCTTGCATGAGCAGCTGGATCATGCGATTCGGGTCGCCAATCTGGACGCAGGCGAAGAAGAGAGCCTGCATGTCGTCGTACTGCTTCTCGTGGACGTAGGCATACTCCGTGGACCCGTCGGCGTCACCGCTGCCGACCTGCTTCATGGTCAAACCGCCAGCGGTCTGGCGCGGCCAGTGCTCTCGCCCCTGGACGAAGATGTTGCGACGCAGGGAAACCTCGGGCAGTTTGGGAGCGCCCGGCGGCCCCCGCAGGTACGTTTCGAGGTCAACGTCCCGAATCACTGGCCCGCGCGTCCTGTTCCGTCGAAGGTTCTCCTGCTGCTGTCGCTGCTCCTCAGCGTTGGCTGACTCGATGACGTCGCGGCCAAAGAGGTTCCGCATCTCGTTCACGGGGCGCAGGTGGTAGAGATTGATGCCCAGCAGCTCATTGAGGCGCGTCGCGGGTCCACGGCCCCCGACAGCGTCTGACTGCGTTGCCGCCTGGGAAGGGTCGCCCGTGGCAAGCCCCAGGTCCTTCATGGCCTTGTCGATCTCGTCCTCGTCGTTTTCGGGGGTCTCCGCAGGGACTGTTTCGGCGGCCTTGCTCTTCTTCTTTTTCTTCTTCTTGCTCTTCTTCGAGCTTGCCTGAGGCTGCGTTTGAATCACCTCCTCCTGCTGCGCTTCGTGATTCTCATCCGCATCGTCGCCGCCATCGTCCTCTGCGGCTGCCTCATCATCCTGGTCCTCGTCCTCACCACCAAGCGCCGCGAACAAGTTTGGCCGGGGCTTCGCCGCGGTCCCTGGGGGTCCGATGTCCTCGCCCTCGTCTGAGCTCTCCTCCTGGATGTCGAGCGCCCTCGCCTTCTCGAGCTCGCGCTGCTGCTGGAGCTTGCGCAGCTGTCTGCTCGACATGGTGACCCAGTGCTGGATATGCCTCCCAAAATCTGGGTCGATGATTGATGGACGGTGCGCCTGCCTTCAGTGTGCGGGCCTTTGAGCGCCGCGAGATTGATGACAATGTGGTACACGTCGAAGATGTAAAGAGGGAATGCGCGCTCTAGAGCTGCACTGTGGTCGGGGATGAGATATGTATATGTGATGATATGAGATGAGAGTTTGTGGAGGTGGTAGTAAATCCGAGCTTCCAAGTTGCTGAGGCACTGAGGCTCTGCGTCACGCCGGGGGGCGATCCGGCCACTACGTATAGTGGGGCGCCGCTTCCAAAAAATATCCTTTCTCTCCGCTGTCGTCAACCATCAGCCACCTTTCATGGCCTCCAGCTATCATCGCCCTTTATTCGCAATCAAGCGTACAAATTTAGAAAGTAGGCTGTCACCGACGTAGCATCTTGGCACCGCGTCAATTCTCTTTCACGCCTCTTTTCAATCACCAGCGAACAAACGACGACCACAAGCGCTGGCGCTCCAGTGCGGAATCACGATTTACAAGTTCACATCAGGCGCAGCATCAGCCGAGATTAACCGCTTGATGAAACTTGTATTCTTGCCCGAGCAGTCATGTAGCCGCCGGCATCAAGCAAAACTTTAGGCCTTCCAAAACCGCAGGGCCTTTGGGTTTTCAGTCCTCGCTCGGCCTTTAAGGCCTCGTCCCGCGTTGCCCACGCTATTCGCCGGTAATCATGAGAACCTGCCCGCCACCGATGCGAGCCCGCCATCCGAGTAATCATATTTCACGTAAAGCCAGCTTCCACTTCCAGGTTGCTTCGTAATCCAAACTCCTGAGCCTTGGTTTCGTTCCATAACCGGTAAAACCTTCGCTCCGATGTTCCGCTGAGTCCGCTGAAATCGCAGGAGTATACGCAGCTCCGTTCCCTGCTCCCGCGAGCAGATTTTGAAGTAATCAAATCGTCCCGAAAGAAGGAGTGTTGGTACATTGTCGTAAAGGGATCAAAAAAATGCATGTCTGCCGCCGAGGGACAATGGTGAGTCTCGACTGCGGCTCGCGGCGGTAGTCGCCCAGCCTACCCCGCCCGAATCGCCTCCCACAACGCCGATAAGTCGATGAGATTTACTGATCGGGCGCCGCGGATTGGTACTGCGGTCGGCCTCCTCCACGACCGCCACGTCCAAATCCTCGGCCACGACCACGCCCGCGACCGCGTCCGCGATAGTTGCGATAGCCGCCGTCAACACTGCCTTGGCCGAAAGTCTCCATGTTCTTCCGCTGCTCCTCGCCGCGCCACTCCCGGCCGCCAGGTTTCTGGCCGCCATTCTCGGCTCTATCCTTGGCTTCGCTCGAGATGTTGTCGAAGAAAGACCTTGACTTGTTGTAAGCCACTGGGACGCTACCGTCGGCGAGCTCGGCTTCGGGGGCCTCAACCACGGGCTCAGAGGGGTGCTCCGTCAGAGGAGATCCAGCGATTGCTTCCTTGGCAACGTCTTGCTTGTTGAACTTTGCGTTGGCTTGCGCGAAGTCGAAATCCGAGTCAGGAACATCGACCTTTTGGGCGCCTTGACGGCCTCCACGGCCTCGGGGTCGCGGATGCGGGGCCGCTGCTCCTCGTCCAGCGTTCACCCTCATCTCGTTGACCTTGTTCGTCAAGTTGTCCATGGCGTTTCCGCCGGTGTTGCCAAGCTGCGCCATCGCCACAGCGACGGCGGCTCGGGCCGCGCTGGTAGCGTCCTCGACACTATTCTGTCCACCCGTCACGGTAGTCTTCACTGTGGTAGGTGCTGGTTTGCCAGCTGTGGGAAGCTGGAAAGGCTTCACAGCCGTACCCGAGAGGGGTAGAACCGGGTTCACGCGGTTGTTCCGTGGGCCAGCAGGAACAGGCTTGGTCACCTCTGCGCCGGCAGTGGATCCGTTCGCGTTCAACGAGTTGGCAGCAGCCTTGACTTCCGCAACCGACGGTTTCGACTCGACGGGTGGACTCGGCGCGTTGGCAGGCTGACGAGCTGCCTGAGCCAGCGACTTCGGCTCGGTCGCAGGCATGGCCGGGCCCTGCTGACCCGCTGGCTTAGATCGGTCCGCCCCAGGACCCTGAGGACCGCCCTTCTGTTCCTGAGCCGGGCCAGGAGGAGGTCCTTGGCGCTGGTTCAGGGCTTCGGGACCTGGAGGTCCTCCAGGGCCGGGCGGGAAGTGATGGTTGTTCCACGGTCCAGGGCCGCCCGGGGGGAAGGCTTGGCCAGGTGGGAACCAGCCTGGCGGTGGCGGATACGGCATGTTGCCGAACGCAGGGCCAGGCATTGGACCCGGCCCGCCTCCACGACCCCAGGAGCCCGGAGGGCCCGGGGGAGTTGGGCCTCCGTAGAAGTTGTTCGGCGGGTAAGGCTGCTGAAAGCCAGCGGGAGGCGCGTTTTGGTTTGGCGGACCGCCATCGCGAGTGCGTGCCTTTGGAGCATCCGTTAGCACAAGGCTCACAGGAGTCTCTTCAAACCAGGTTGTTTGACGATACGATGCCCTTCGGTATCAGAAGGAAGGCAACGGAAATCTCGACATGGTATGTTTGCGCATTCCGACAACATTATGTTTTACATCCGAAATAATTCATCATTGTGAAGGGCAGGGGCACGGGACCATACGGCAGGTAGACTTACTCCAACAATGGCAGGGTCGTCGGGCATGGCCGGAGGCGCCTTGTTCTCCTTGATGCCGGGGTGCTCCTCGATGCGAAGATCTTTCACGTCGCTGCCGCGGAACACGATGTACTCGTAGACCTGATCCGACGGAGAGATCTCTTCTTCGGGCCGGCCTCGACGACCCTCCGTTCCGAACGATCGGACATTTTCAAGAGAAACTGTGGATTCGTCCGAATTGATCTCGTGGAGTGTGCCTACGTAGCTGTGGAAAGTGTTAGAATAAGTATCGATCTCGGCGCCGGAGCAGATAGCGACAACGTACCGGATATCGCTCTTGGAGATGAGCGAGATGCGCGACCTGCGGCAAATCGTGTTAAATTGGCCCAACTATGCGTTGGGGGAATTGTTGTCCGTACCCAAGAAACTCTGACATCTGGGTCGTGATGCCACGTCAAGCACGTAGCAAGCTGTTGGGGAAGGATAGGAGAAGCCGCGAGGGGGAGTTGGGATGAATATGCCACAATCACACAGTGATGGGCTAGAAGTCGAATGTTGTCGACTGCGGCGGCAGAAGGGCGGGGGGTGGTGGCGGGTTGGGAGGGATAAGTGGTGGTGTGAGGGAAAGGTTTGCGAGACCTGGTGCGAAGAGGCTGGAGCTCATTTCTGAAGCCCTTCGCCCAGCCATCGTGTGCGGCGGCGGCTGTTTGTCGGACTAACCTCGGCTAGCCGGCCCGGGCTGAGGCGAGAAACTTGTCTACCCTATATCTCGGAGCAGTTTCGACCTCGATGCTGCTTGAGCGTACATGGTCAAAATGAGTGCTGCGGGTTGCATCGGCCTCTACAAAATTGATCCAGCCTTTCGTCAAACTGAAATTCAATGCAGCCATAACGATAATGTAAATATCGTGTGGTGAGGTTATCATGAATGCATCAAAGCCGCAGCGGCCGTTGAGATAAATGCCAGTTACTCGCCAATGCTTCTATGATACAGCTCATAATGCCACCGTCGTCTCGAAATTAATGACACCACCCAGCTTCCAGTTGCAGTAGCTGGAGCGGCGTACGTCTGTCTGCTGACCTTGCATCAGAGAAATAAGAGAACCCAATACACTGCCGGAACTCCGAACTTATAGATACGCTTCATCGAAACTTGCTGATAATGACCGCCACGATGAGCAGGACCAAAACTGTGATGATGGAAATGGTAATCACCCGATTTGTAGCCATCCTGCAGTCATGTCAGTCGCCCATGTCGGTCGGAGCACCGGTTGATCCAGGATCCGCATTACCTACGTGCCATCCCCCGCAGCGTCTTGACGCTCCTGTCCACGTATCCCTCGCTATTGAGAAGCGTGTCGTGCGTGTGCTGAATCATCTCCCGCTGTCCGTGTAGATTCGCCAGGGTGTCCGCCCCGATGGCCTCGGTCTCGTTAGCGAGAGCCTGACTGGCCTTAAGGCGTTGGGTGCTACGGTCCAGACGGTCCGTGCCGGAGAGGAGTTGCTGGCGCTGCTCAAGGTGGATGTCTGAAGCCCCAGCTGGTTCGTCCGTGTATCGCGACCCGAACAGTGCGGAACGATCGGAGGAGAGAGAGGTCAGTTTCCGACGGCTAGCGTCGACATCTGCCTCGTAATTACGGAATCGCTGGTTGACCTTGGCGCGGGAGGACGTCGGAATGTTTTGCTTCTCGAGCCGCATTTGTCCGAGCTACAGCAACGCAGAGGATCAGCAAGTGGTTTGTTGCCAACATGGCGGGGAATCGTACCAGCTCATCGGCCTCCTCGAGCGCGCGCTCAGCCTGGCTGATGGCACCCTTGCGAGGCTCGCCCGAGAGTTCGGGGATCTGATCCAGCTTCTGTGCCAGGTCTGCCTGGACGAGCTTGAGCTCGGCCTCGTAGGAGCCGAACAGCTCGGAGCCAGCATCGGTGTCGAGCGGGTTGGCCATGGCTGCGGTTATGGTGGTGATTGTGGTGGCGTGAGCGCGAAGCAAAGACGGTCGCAAGGAGAAAAGGCCGCTTTATCAACAGACAAAAGACCGGAAACAATCCACGATAGATGCACCGACCGGCAAACGGTTGCGCCTGTGCGTAATGAGAAGCCGTTGATTGTCTTGCTGCCTGCGAGATCCTCGTAAGCGCAGACTGGGTGATGCGGCACCGTTATGTCACAGGATGACTGCGGACACGCCGACCCCAGCCACAGCAGCCCGCACGTGACGAACTCTCGGCTGGTCCGTGCACGACCCACGGCCGCAAATATTATCGGCGCCGCGCCGTGACGAGCAAAGCTCTCTTCCTTTTTTTTCTCCTCAAAGTTGAAATTTGACCCCCGGATGGTGAAGAAAACCGGCTCGACGTCTCGACCTCGGTCCGTGGCGTATAGTTGAAATTGACCGGGTAGAGCAACGCGGGTTTATCCTGCACGGCGCTTCTAAGAATTGGCGACTCGTACTCACGTCGACCGATCCCGTTGAGTGCTCGACATGCCACCACGCGCAGATGCCATGCTGCAGACGCCTGGCACGTCTGGTTGGCAGTGTCCGTCGCGGTACTTGCAGGCATCTATGTGATGCGTCGGGTTCCGGCGCCGACCTTTGTAGACATACGAGAGAAGGCTCGTCTGGCGACATGCGGCAGTTTGAAATCGCTCCGTCTGGACCTTGAGACTCGATGACTCCCTCGAGTTTGTTGGGGGAACAGGCCGTTGGCGCCTCAGCCACAGGTGGCGCGGCAGCCTCCCGCTTCCGATCTTGGCGTCATCATAGTCTTACGAAGCGACACTACGTAGCCGCTTGAGCCGCTCCTTCTTCCCGCTGGTGGTGGTGGAGTGGTGGTGTTCCCAGGCACCGCGGGGACTCGGGACCGCTTGAAACCGGGCAACTCCTTCCTGACGGACGGCACCTCCCCCAACGCAAATCATCACCGTCCTCAACGGCGGAGACCGGTGTGCCTTCTTCAAGCCCACCGCGCCCGTACGTCCACCGAGGATCCAGTCGCTCGCTGCCTCGTGTCGAATTGCCCGACCCCAACCATGGCCGAGCGAAAGCATGTGTAAGTTGCGCCAGCCGTGTCCCGTTGTGCATGTCCCGTTCCGGTCGCCATCGAATCAGATCAGACAGCGGCCTTGCATTGCAGCGGCCGTCGATAACGCCACGCATCCGTCCCCTCCTGGCGGGATCCGTCGATTGACTTTGCCCGTGGCCGTGACGTCCTGTCTCAGTGTTCACTCTAATGAGTCTCTCCAACTATGCATCTGAGACGTTCCCCTCGTCAACACCCTCACCTTCCCTGCCGCCCTCGAGTCGGCGCCAGACTCGTGCTACATCGTTCCCCCAGCTCTCGTACCCTGGCCTCGTGCCGACTTCGCGTGCGCTCCAGCACCATTCACAATGAGCCGACCGGTTGACCGTTTTACCAGGAAGAAGGTCGCCATTGTCGGCAGCGGGTGCACTGGTATCGCAGCGCTTTGGGCTCTCAATAGGACGTACCATGATGTCTACCTCTACGAGGCTGCCGACCGCCTGGGCGGTCACACCAACACGGTCCAGTGGAAGTCGGGCAAGTACACGACTGCTGTCGACACGGGCTTCATAGTCTTGAACACGGCGACATATCGTGAGTCCATCCGCGGCACCGCGCCCTCATCGTGGCTCGGCCCGATTGCTAACCGTTGCAGCCAACTTCCTCAACTTCCTCAACAAGATCAATGTCCCCACAGAGAGGACGGAGATGACATTCGGTGTCTCCCGGGACCAGGGACTTTTCGAATGGGCGGGCACCAGCCTGGGCGCCGTCTTTTGCCAGAGGCGAAACTTCTTCTCCCCGCGCATGTGGAGGATGGTGTTTGACATCGTGCGCTTCAACCAATTCGCCCTAGACCTGCTCATGCACGATGACGAGGACCAACCCCGGCCCGACGACACCATGCTCAACTCTGTCTCTCCAACGGAGACGATTGGAGAGTACTTGGATCGGGAAGGCTACTCTGAAGCTTTCCGAGATGATTACCTGATTCCGATGACGGCTGCCGTCTGGAGCACAAGTCCCGACAAGTGCTCTCTGCAGTTTCCAGCTGTGACGCTGGTCCGGTTCTTGTATGCGCATAAACCGTATGTCGTTCTGATGGCCCGGAGCTGACCTAACTGGCAGATGGAACCATCACCTTCTGTCTACCGTTGCCGCTCGCCCCGACTGGCTCACCCTTAAGAACGGTTCTCAGTCCTACATTGACGCCGTGATGAAGGGCTTCCCACCGAACCACCTCTTCCTCAACACCCCTGTACGACACGTGTCCAACGATGCGAGTGGCCACGTCTTGCTTCATCTCGAGAGCGGCAAGACGGAAGTATTCGACCACGTCATCCTCGCTACTCACGGCGACCAGGCACTTTCCATAATCGCGCCCTCAGCAACGGAACAGGAGCGTTCAATTTTGTCGTGCTTCCAGACGTCCCAGAATGAAGTCTTTCTGCATTCTGACCTGACGCTTATGCCCCAGAGACGCAAGGCCTGGTCCAGCTGGAACTATCTGACCCTCTCTTCACCGTCACGCGCGAACATCGACCAAGTGTCCCTCACTTATAACATGAACATACTGCAACACATTCCGCAAGAGCCGTTCGGCGATGTCTTGGTGACACTCAATCCGTTGCATCGGCCACGACCAGCTCAGACACAGGGTCGATATTTCTACTCTCACCCTCTATATACTCCCACTGCGATTCGTGCCCAGAAGCTCTTGCGCAGCATTCAGAATAAGAGGGGCATAAGCTACGCCGGCGCGTGGACCAAGTATGGCTTTCACGAGGATGGATTCAGCAGTGGCCTATTGGTTGCGCAGGAGCACCTCGGGGCAAAGCTGCCGTTTGAGTTCAAAGACTCGACGTACAGCCGAGGCAAGAGACCGAAGTTGGGGCTCGCGGACCTATTTCTCAGGCTCGTTATCCTTATTATCCAAGTTTTCGTTGTCCAGGTTGTGGAGAGGCTATCGGGATCCCGGAGGTCAAGGACTACGCCGATCATCAACGGGGTCAAGCCGAAGCGGATGCAGGGTAAGCAAGCGTGAACGGGTTGTCTGTGTTTCGGGCGAGAGGCGTGAGGTTTTGGCATGTGGATTTGCATACGACATTGCATGATTATGGAATTTCTGTCATAGCTCGTCTTTGGCATTGAGCCCTGAGGGGTAAGCGTTGTGGAATAGAAGGTCTCATCCGTTGCACCAACGTTAGCGTTCTGCGTATCAATCCATATGCTGCTGTTTACCTGAGCTGTCGGTATGGTTTTTTTATCGCGTTGATAATATCTCGTTGATAATATCGAGGCACCCAGAAAGGTGTATAAGTAGCATGGAAGGCATAGGGAACATGAGGCAATCCATGTCATTACTTGCGCATATTGCTCAATCGCCTGACGCTGGCAACTTGGGACTCGTGACTCGTGACGACGCGGAGCGGCTGCGACTTATGAACTTCCGTGTCCTTGGGACGCGTTCGCGGCTATCCGCCAAGGGAAAGAAAGGGCAAAACAACTTCCCATATTTGAATCAGTATCTCAGAATCATCACAGGCACTATAATTTCAAAAATTACGTGTCTACGGAGTAGGTAGCTGTAGAGACTGACCGAGCGACCATGTCGCCAACACACATCTAACAGTGAGTGGGTGCGTTGCGCCCCACCATCGATCCCGGTCAGTCAGCTCACCTCGAATCCACATTTGCGTCGGACGACAGCCTCCATCTTCCTCCCCGAATGCAACGACCCCGTCGCCGCCCGAAACCACCGACGCCATGAACAGCGCAGAGCGAGCCGCGCGGCGCGCGACCCGCACAGGCGCGTCGCAATGGGCGTGCTTCCTCTGCCAGCACGTGCGGCCGCAGGCGCAGCCGTCGCGACCCCGGTTCCCGCTCGCAGCCAGCGTCCGCAGACACATCTCCGGCTCGACGCCGCGGAGGGCGGCGGCGCCTCCTCCGCGACCGCAGACGCAGGGGCAGGCCGCGCAGCCCCCATCGATGGAACAGATCCGGGCGCATTATAGCCGGAAGAACCGCACGGTGGCGTATGCACACGCCCCCAGATGCTGTCAGGGTCGAGCTCTGCTGATCCCGACATCTCTAGGTACTACACGATGAGCCTGATCCTCGGCACGGTGGCGCTGTCTTACGGCTCGGTTCCCTTGTACAAGATGGCACGTCCCCCTGCTCTGTGAAAGCTGCAAGACTTCCGTTGCTAACTTGGCTCTCAGATCTGCCAAACCACCGGCTGGGGCGGCCAGCCCGTCCGCGCCCACGGCGGCTCCTACGAGGGCGAAATCTCGAGCCGCCTCGTGCCCGTAACCTCCGCGAACCGAATCCGCGTCACTTTCAACGCCTCCGTCTCGGATGAGCTGCCGTGGAAGTTTGTCCCGCAGCAGCGCGAGGTGCGCGTCCTCCCCGGCGAGACGGCCCTCGCCTTCTACAAGGCCGAGAACCGCGGCGACAAGGACATCATCGGAGTCGCCACATACAGCGTCACGCCCGCGCAGTGCGCGCCATACTTTAGCAAGATCCAGTGTTTTTGCTTCGAAGAGCAACGCCTCAACGCCGGCGAGACGGTCGACATGCCCGTCTTCTTCTACCTTGACCCAGACCTGCTCAACGACTTGAACATGAAGGGCGTGGAGACGGTGACGTTGAATTACACATTTTTCAGTACGTTCCCCCATGCTTGCTGCCTCTGCAAGGCCGACGAACGACTGTGCTGACCCGAATTACAGAGGCGCGATACGACAACAACGGCAGATTCAAGGCCCCAGCCATGATATAAACCACACAACAGGCGTATTATGTATAACAATCCCACCTATACCTGATTACAGCATGGCGTGTAAGATCAAAAGAGAGCCATTAGACAAGACCCATGTACATTATCCAACTATGGGCATAATTCGTTTCGTCACGCTGCCGTTGTGCTCAGGTGCATGTACGACTATTCAAGATGCATACATCCCGGATGCCACCTGACGAAACTAGGGGACCTGCTCCTCTGCCACGCAACTCAAAAGGCTGTCCACCACCGTAGGCCTGCTTGAAGCTTTCATCGACGACACAGGGCATATTCTAATTAGAGCGTTTCCTAAATAGGAAATCGGTTGCTCCTGACGGATGCTTAGTCATTCCTTCAGCACTGGTCTGAGGACCACCCAGATCCAAGCAAGCCTGGAGAGGGAGGAACCACAGGTAGGGTAACGAGGTCACGTGCACCCCACCAATTCGCCTAAATTTCGCCCACAACGTCCAAGCACACCACCAAATTCCCTCTCCGCCGTGCCTGATCTCGACTTTTTTCTCTTCATCACCCAACGCCGACACCCCGACAACACCCTTTTTCGTCGTCAACCTCCCCCCCCCCACCGTCACAATGGTCAAGGTCAGCAACAGTGAGTACATGCCCGACGCCCTTGAAGCTCCATGCTTCTGAAATATGACCGAACAAACGGACTGACTTGTGGAATCGCAGCCGTCTCGGCTTCTCGCCGCAAGAGCCGCGCCGCCCACTTCAAGGCTCCCTCCAGCCAGCGCCGTGTCATCATGAGCGCTCCCCTCAGCAAGGAGCTGCGCGAGAAGTACAACGTACGTTTGCAACCCGCTCACAGTATATAATGGGCGCATCCTCTCAGTTCAGAACTCTTGACTAACTTGCGCCGCGAACAGGTCCGCAGCATCCCCATCCGCAAGGACGACGAGGTCACCATTGTCCGTGGCTCCAACAAGGGCCGTGAGGGCAAGGTCACCTCTGTCTACCGCCTCAAATACGTCATCCACGTTGAGCGCATCACCCGCGACAAGGCCTCCGGCCAGAGCGTCCCCCTGGGCCTCCACCCCTCCAACGTCGTCATCACCAAGCTCAAGCTCGACAAGGACCGCGAGGATATCCTGGCCCGCTCCAAGGTCGGCCGCGAGCTGCGCGCCAAGAACAAGGTCACCGCCTAAGCGTGCCCTCACGCCGAGGGCTTGAAGACCCTCTTCTTGAGTGCGGCGACGACACGGCAGACCAGACGGGAGACGAGATGACGACAACACAACCACACACATACACACACGCACTCCTCCAATCAATCCAATGGAGGCATTGATCAAGGGATTACGAAAAGAAAGGCATCCCTCTTTTTTTCGGACACAACGGAATGGGCATTTATACTCCGGCGTTTTTGCGACACCCGCGCCAACACCCCCGGGCGGGTCGGGACTCTACGGCAGGTAGATGAAATTGAGAATTTCCATGGTTCTCAATGGCCATTTCACTTCACTTGTGAAATGCTCCATGGGAGGCGTTTCCCGAAGTCATCTTCTCTGCTCTTTGCCGAGACACACAAAAAGGCTCGTCGTGACCCGATGTGCGCTCCCGACTGGTCTCGTCGGCAATGCGCTGTCTCGGCTTATCTCCTTGTCTCCCTCGTAAATGCTCAAGTCTCTGGCAACGAAGCCGATGTGGCAGCGCTGGTCCAGCGCGCCTCGTAGCCCTCCTCCCCCCCACGTAGTCTTCCAATCCGCTAGGATATCTCCTCGTCGATCACTTAGATCCATGGTTTTCGAGGTATACGACTGGCGAAGAGCGAACCAGCGGGGGACAAATAGTTATCACCAGTTCTCTGCTCTCGCCCGAAGATTTTCACCGAGGCCCCATGACGATGGAAATTTGATGGTGAGGTACATGCTCCTCGGCCTGCCTCGAGGATACTGTAATTGCCGCGCCAGCGCCGGCGCCCTTTCTACGTTGTGTACTTGGTGTGGTTCGCAGTCCGCCAGACACATCTGCACGTTGAAAGCGGCACTTTAATAATACACAATTGTATTCGCCCTACAACGTCTCGTGTCAAAATGACTAATTGCACATTGAAGTGAAAACAGGCTTGTCATGATGCCATGAGCCGACAGTCTCTGCTGGACTGAGCTGGTCCTCCTGAACAATCGAGTCCCTCGCCGGCCTGATGCTCCTCGAAATGCCAACGCCGACGATCTGAAAGCGAACAACCTCTCACCTTGTACTGGTAACACATTCCATACTTTAACAATGGTAGCTGTGAGAATGACGGCAAACAATCTCGCACGGCCAAGCCGAATCGAGACATGCACGAAATGATGGGCCTCGCGGGGCCGAGTCCGTAAATGCTCGTCGACACCGTCGAAACAAGGCCGACGTAAGCTCATACCGTTGCGAGACCGTCGTGATACTCATACAAGTCGTAAGTATGACAGCAATAATGCATGCTCTCGCTAGAGCTTTTGTATCATCCCCTTGTGCAAGCCGTAGGTCTTGGATGGCCGACACAGGAGGAGAGCGTGATGATCCGCGTTCAACCACTGCCGCGAGGGATTTGGCCCTTGTGGTGAGAGCTGCTGTTCGGAGGCAGATTCTCCACTTTGTTCAACTCTTCAGGCCCGCGATGGCCGAGGTCACCGGACTCTATGGCCTTGCGACCAGGTTCCTTGCGCCCAGTGGGAGTGTTGGCGATCGCCGGAGTCAGCGATGCCGTGGCGTGCCCGGCGTAGTGCGGAAGAACGCCGCGTGCCGTCGTCGAGGAAACCGTGCCTGGCACTGCGGTGCCGCTCGACTTGCCCTTCTTGAACATAGTCGTTAAGATCTCGTGGGAATTTTTGGCCCTGAAGGCAAGGTCAGTCTCCAAATTGAGATCGGAGCTCGAAGCGTTGGGGGACGCCAACCTGTTTGTCGGTGCGTTCCTGCGTCCCTTGAACAAGATGCTGGAGTCATCGCCAGAATCAGGAGACGACTTCTCCTTGAACTCATTCGCAGAACTTGGGAACGCGTCGCCCAGTGCTTTGCGGAAGTCATCGTAGCGGCCAGGCTGCATGTACCCCTTAACCGGGCTGACATTGCTCGAAGCAGGAGATGCGACCATAGGCGACTGGAAGCCCGTGAGTTGCTCAGACTGGGTGAGATTGCGGGAAGGCCGGAGGCTGTATCGACCAACTGATCCGAAAGGATCGCTGTCTGCCTTGGTCTTGGACAGATCGTGGCCATATTGAATATGGTCGATCGGAACCGGGCGTCTCAATTTGGGCTCCGGCATATTTGCTCTGACAGGAGATGGCGGGTAGAAATCTTTACCATCAAACTTGGGCAAACCTTTCTGCAGACTGCGGGGAGTGTTTCCCCAAAACAAATGACGCGCTCTCAGCTCGTCTTCAGTCAGCTCGCGCTCGTAGATATAGTCTGCGTCGCTGGCTAAAGTGGGATCGCAGCCAGCCCGAAGGGCCCCAACAAGATAGGGCTTGGACGTCATTCCTTGTGCATTAATTGACGGATATGCAGGATCCGCGAACATCAAGTTCTCTCCAGACGCCACCGAAGTGTCCGTTGCTGCGGCTGACGTCGTGCCATCTGTGCGAGGCTGGAAGGGGGGAGCCAGAGCCGCGTTTACAGGAAGAGACGAACCTTTTCTGACAGGCTCCGTGGAACGAGGCTTCCTAAGAGCGCTCTTGAGCGGGGCGGGCTGGACCGCACTTGAACTCAATGGAAGCGGCGACGACACGCGCTCCTTTCCTTTGTGGTTCTTGGTGCTGTGGGCATGAGGCACGTCATCGTGCGACACCGACTCACTGTGAGGCTCCATTCCCACTCGTGGACCGCCAGAAGTCGACCATTTCGATCCATGGTCATCACGAGAGGGCGCATTGGCAGCTGGTGCCGTCGGGCCGTCACTTTTTGGCTTGAGGCTTTCCTCCTTGGCCAATGCATTCTCAAGGTGGAGTTCAAACAGCTTGATCTGATGCCGGAGATTTTCGATCGACTGTTCCGTGGCTCTTTCGTCAATCTGGTGCTTGTTGTACAAAAGCTGGTCTTCGGCATTCTTGAGGTGCTGATGAAGGTGAGCAAGCTGCTTCTTCGTGATCTCGCTCTGGAGGATTGACGATGGTGGCATGTGCAGCGCACCGCCATAGCTAGGGGCGGCGGACAGAGGCGGGGCTTGGGAGCCCATGGAAGGATCCGCTCGCATGCCATGAAATTGCATCCAAGGATACACTGGCGGTTTGTGGCCCATGGCAGGCTGTCCAGGCACTGCAACGGGGAAGCCAGCGACATGTGGCATGGCACCGGGGGAGTAGACAGCGCCGGGGGGCATCATCCACTGGCCGTTGTAATAGAATGGGCGACTGCGGTCAAATTGCTCGGGGGGCGAGAGATGCACGGTGCTTGGGTTCTCTGTTTTGCCAGCATCGCTCTGCCTGTCGTTCTGAAGCGGAGTGGCAGCATTGTTAGCACCGGATAGCTGACCTGAAGCGGGGACCATGTGAGGATGAGCCATCATGCCGTAGCCATGGGCCATAGGCCACGGAATCATCGGATACGGCGGGTGCCCAGCCATCATTCCGGGAGCTAGGGCCGGTGCCATGGGGGCGGGAATCCCATGCATCATCGGCGGGAACGCACCGTACGGGAGCTGCGGAATGGCGTAGGGAGTGTTCTCCATGTTGCCGTGGCTTTCAGGCCGAGAGGAAGCCCGAGAATCGCCATTGAGCCTTTCTTTGGCCAGTTTGGCTGTGGGCGACGGCACGCCTCGAGTGTTCGGGACAATGCGGCCGCCGGCTGTAACGCGCACGTGAGTTGGCGAGACAACGGCCTTGTAGAATCGCTGAAAGCCTTCATCCTTCTGAGCAGAGAAGCCAACAGGGCTGCAAATTGGGCGCGGCACGGCCTCTTCGGACTCGCTTCGACCGCGATACTTCCACTCGTAATCGGTGCCGTCAAGCTGACGGGCAGCAATAGCCTTTGCTGGGTTGCGATTCGTGGAAGAACGAACCGAGATGCCAACAGTTTCCAAATCCTCTTCTCGGATCAGGGGAAGAGAGCGATCCGAAGACATTCTGAAGATGTCACCTGTGAGTCAAAATTAGTCTGCCGGCCATGAAAGGACTGCAAGGGGGTTGACGTATCGGGCGGGACTCACCGAAGCTTGGGTCTCTTTGAAGCTTGTCGTACAGACGATCGTAGAACTCCTTGCTGGCAGAGAAATTCTTCATGCGAACAAGTTCGCGAATCGAGTATGTTTTGGAGACCATCTTGATCTCGACAAAGGCAAAAAAGAAGTAGGAACGATGGTTCTCTCTCGAGTGCCAGACAAACAGGGTAGGATAGCCGCGAGATTTTCCCAGTCGTCGAATGTTTGACTGAATGAATGTCAAGATGGGAACGACCTGTGACCAAAGCCTGGTGCCGTCAGTGATTTTTTGCGCGTCCAGCTGCGATCTCAGAAAGTTGGGCAGAGCGTCATAGGGTGATGTGATTGTGAACCGATCCGACGGCCGGCCGAGGTCGACGGAGACCTGGATACAGCGATGGTAGTTGTGCAGCAAATTATATCTGATGAGAAGAGGAGTGAAGGCACTGAGAACGTGGTCCTCGTGCTGGGCCAGGGACAGAGAGCGGACGATTTGTTTCGCCCGCTTCGACCTAGTCATGACCATGCTGGTACGCAAGAATGACCGACAAGGGTAAGGGGGAAATCGGCAGAGACCCGGACGGAGTCCTCAGGACTCCAAATGGACGCGAGGAAAGATTCTGCTGGATGCGATAGAGCCAGATGTGCTTGTTTTGCCGAGTGATGGCTGCAAGAGGCACGCCTCTTGTCGACCACGGGGTGGTCTTAGCCGCCGACGCTGTGGCACAGCGGGCCGAGTGCAGAACCAGCCTTGAAGACAAACGGCGAAGAGAAGAATCAGATGCAGCAGACCAGGGTGCCCATGGCCTTGCGGGCGTGGCAGATCGAGATGGAGATGGCTTTCGGGTGGTGGAGGAAGCTGGGCTGCTGCGGGTGGGGGGCGATTGGGGGGAAGGGCAGGAGAATCGAGAGCAAATGGAGAAACATCAGATGAGCAACTTACCAAGCGGGCTCCCAGGGCAAGCAATCAGCGACCTGTATGCATAAACAGCCTTGAGAAGGCTTCCAATTTCGAAGTTCGGCGAGGAAAACGGCGGAGGACGAGGGAGAGACGGTAGGGCAGCTCTGGCGAGTCTTGTTTTTCTGGTCGAAGACGGCCGCGAGCTCTGAAGAGGTCAGGTAGCGTGAGCGACGATGAACCGAAGACGCGCGATGCCCAAGAGGAAGAGCGGCAAACCGTCGAGAAGAAAAGTAGCGCTCTGCAAGTCTTCGTCGGGAGCGCACTGCCTCTGGTCAGCAAGTGTCCCAGTCGCACTCGGCGGCCGAAGCTGTCTCGTGGGAAGAGGGCCTCGTCCGCGGCTGCTGCAGAGCAGGCCCAAGCGATCCCCTCGGCGAAGCAAGAGGTGCAACTCCCTGGCGAGAGATGTTGCGACGGCAGGGGTCAGCCTTGCGAAGAGAAGGCGCACTTTCTCGGAGATTGGCAGCGATGATGGCGAAAGCCTGACGCGAAGCAGGATCTCGAGTGTTGCCGAACGAAGGGGGAGGGAGCGCAGAGCAGAGGAGCGCGGCGCGGGAGGAAGGTGAGGAAGGATAAGGGACGAAGCGGCGCACCGACAACAAAGAGCTTCGTTTCGAGGAAGGTCCGGGGGCGGCGGCCACACGCCACAAGGTAAGCTACGCCACGAACGAGCATGGCCTGGGGCAACGTGAACACTGGGCTGACTGCACTGAACACTACCGTGACACACTGCCGGGCAGTTGCCAGGTACCTAAGTAGGTAGTGTTCAGGGCAGTTGTTAGGTGTGCGTGGCGGTCTGCCGGGCCGTCAGTCCCACCTGCCAGCTGGCAGCAGGCGGGCTATGGCACTCGCGGCAGGAGCCACAGGGTGCGCACCTCCTTCCAATTCTCTCATGCTCCAGTGGGCTATCAACGACGAGGATCGAATGAGTGGACCGGACTGCCTCAGGCACAAGCTTTGATGTGCTTTACATATTTGTGAAAGAGGGCTTCCAGTCAAGGATCACCATGGCCAAACACGATCTATCGATGTGGTTTGGTACTGGGTACCACACTACAAGACCTGGATGAGGGACAGCAATGACCACAACAACCCAGAAAGGCATGGGCCTCAACATCCATGAAGACTCGCTGGAGCCCTTTCGCCACATGACTTTCCCTCCACGACCCTCTGTCTCCGCCTCCATGGATGTACTTGGACCAATCTCATCAGCTGGCTGGGATGGTCCACCAGTGTGATGAACCATGCCCTGACAGAAGCATGAGAGGTTTACGTGGTAATTCGGAGTGATTCATTGCTCGAGTAGACGACGACTGGCGTGCAGTGGCCAGGCCATCTGGGAATCCTTCGGAAACTCCCGAGACGCATATTTGTCTGGCATCGGATCTGAGATGCTAGATGGAGCCCGGCCAGGCTTCCGGGGCCGATTTTGAACGGCGGGAAGATGTATTACCGATGGATAAGACCATTTAAATCTCGAAGCAGTACAGCCCTCGGCATGGTGTGCGCGGTGGCCGGACCGTTTGATGTTGGTGGGCACCACCTCGCGCGTGCTTCGCACGTGCGGGACTGCCACTGCGGCCGCGGGATCTAGCCCCCGGCCGGGCCGCACACCGCCACCGTGACACGACGCCAGAGCCATGCTGCTTTCAGGTCGCAGAGATTAGCGAGCCGCCATTGCCGCCGTGTCGGGTGCAGTATGTAACCAAATACCACGGACGTGCATTGGTGCGGTAGCTCATGTGCCTGTGCTGCGGGAGGGACGCGGCCTGCGGATACGGCTTCTTTTCTCGGAAGCCATGCGGAAATGACTTGCACATGTCGCTGATGCCGCGATGATGCCGACCTCGCCAGGCACCGGAGGCGGTCGTGCTTTGAGAACATACGAGTACGGGTCCCCTGTCTTGTTCTTGCAGCACGTGGAACCGATTACCGACAGGTGCCGAGACACGGCTCCCCCCCGCGATGCACCCATCATGTTATTTTCCCACCCCAGGCTGTCGTGCGTATCTGCCTGCCGCGGCTCGCACTACTCAAGGTCACATCACAGCAACCCATCATTGTCCGCCATCACTGCATAGATAGCTGTTTCAGGGATGGTGGGCCTTATTACCTAGGTACATGCTGTCGGGCGAGTGGAAGCTTACCACAGCACGCTTGGTGGTGCCGTCTCGCATGGCGCTTCGCAGGAGCCCGGGGTTCTGAAGTTGGTCGCAACGTTCCCAACCCCGTGCCGCACCTACAAAACTACGGGAGTCTATTGCAATTAGTGGGAGTGGACAGCCGGCCTGCCCCTGAACCGGACGAGTCTGGAATTCTGAATCCTTGCGCTTCGGTGATGGGGGGCACTGACAGCCTGTGAGTCGCGCATGGAGGGCTGCCCCGCATCCAGGCGGCGCCCGCCATCTCCAGCGGGGTGGCCTCTGGCGCTGAAGGTTCCGCGTTCCCGCCATACCCCGCCATGGCAGAGGGGTCGCTCGGCGGCGATGCGCGAGCGGCCGCGCCCTGGCGCGCGCCCACTACGTCACCTGGCTTGGGCTCCATGCGGCTGCGTCGGTGCCATGCCCCTCCACGCAGCCCTCCCTGCCAGTGCCAGTGCCAGCCAAAGCCGCCTTGCTGCTGGTGTTACCTGCCAGCCGTGGACGAGCCAGGCCTGCCTTGCCCTTGCCCCTGCCCTGGATTGGAACGCGTCGTCAGTGGACACGATTGCACCCGAACTTGCAAAGTAGCCGCTGTAGGGGCGTCGACGCCACTGCCCGCAACAGGCCCTGTCCATGGACGAACGGATGGATTGGATGGATCAATGGCCTGTCAGCAGTGAGCCGCGCGCAATCACAGGCCAGACGCGCGTGCCCCTCCCATCCCCTAGGTCCTTAGGGCAACGGCCGCCTGTCTCCAACAGGCAATTCGCGGGTCCCGCCAGCACGCGAAACCTCCAGATCCCAGGGTGGGCGCCGACGCCTGCTTCCTCGGCAGTCGGGACTTGCGGTTGTTTGTTAGGTTCCAGTGGCGCGCTGCTCGACAGACTCGCTTGGCAAGGGTTCGCTGCGGATGGTCTGGAGTCTGCGCTGGAGCGGGAATTAATTTCTGGGGCCCTTTAAACTCAAGTAAATCCTGTTTCTTTCTCTCCTGGTCTTTCTTCTAATTAGTTAACCAACTGCCTTACCCTACCTATCCAATTGCCCGCGGATACCTGCCACACGAGTGCTCCTATTCGCACCTCATCACGAAATCACGACGACCCCCCAATTGACCACGAGAAACCCAATTGACCTCTTCCTCGACTTTAACTACCGAAGCAACCTCACCCTCCGATATCCTACGTCGTCTCCCTCGACCTCTACTACGACCTCCATCTCTACCGCTTCTCACCTAGATACCATGGCGCCGCTCACCCCCACCTGGCAGCAGCCCTCCCACCCGGCCATCCAAGAGGTGCTCATCAACGAGGCCGAGTTCACCACCAAGAGCATCTCCCGCGTCTCGCTCCCGCCCTTTGCCGTCTTCGCCCGCCTCGCCTGGCCGCCCTGCACCGCCGCCCAGGAGCCCACCTACGCCACCGTCCAGACGGGTCGCGACACCCACCTCAACCTCAACAGCGACCTGCTGTACATCAATCACTCCTGCGAGCCCTCTCTCGTCAGTCTGACCTCTGCGAAGGCCTCCTTCTCCCTCCCTCCTTTGGCCGATGTTCTCCCTCTTCCCCCTTATCATCCTCTCCCCTCGGTGGTGGCAGTGGCAGTAGTGATGTGAAGAAGCAAGTCAGAGTTAGTGCAAGGTTGTGCGAGAAATGCGTGACGGATGCGCGTAGAAGTGCCCTGCCTTGATGTCATGAGATAACGACAGCTCTGCGAAACGGTTCATTTGTTGACACGCGCAACACCCGCTTAGATCTTTGACACGGGTAACATGAACGTCTTGGTCGGACCCAAGGGCCTCGCCCCCGGCGACGAGCTCACAGTCAGTCGTCCTCCGTCTCCCTCCCAGCTCCTCCCACTTCTTTAAAGACCCGTCGTGTAACCAAGTCTTCGTGCCCATAGTTCTTCTACCCCTCCACGGAATGGAGCATGGCCCAGCCCTTCGACTGCCTCTGCGGCACGCCCACCTGCCGCGGCACCATCAGCGGCGCCCGCGACATGTCTGCCAAGCAGCTTGAGGGCATCTGGCTCAACGGCCACATCCGCGAGCTCCTCGACGAGCAGCAGCAGCAGCAGAACGGCCGCGAGCACCAGAGCGTCGTCGTCGGCGGTGACGCCTCGGACCCCACGGCCCGCGCCCTGCGCGACGCCCTCACGCAGGCCGAGAAGGTGGTCGAGGCCGCGCGCCTCGCCCTGCGCACCTACGTCGAGGCCGGCGGTGCGGCTACCAACGGGGGTTCCAACGGCTATCACGGCGCCGCGCTCAACGGCGGCGTGTCCAAGGCTCCGGGGCTGAACCGCCGTGGCCCGACGTCGAGGGAGCTCAGCGGCGAGATGAGCGGCGATACCGTCGTCGCCTAAGGGAAATCATCAAATGGGGGTGCGGGTTCTGCGCGAGGGACTTCAACTGCTCTTGTGTGGGATGTCGGGGAACACCCCAATGGAGAAGTATTGTTCGTTGCGGTCGAGCATTCAACATTGCTCCATCCTGTCGAGGAGCCGCCTACATTTTATCATGAGGGAATAAGTGGCCGATCCACGGCCACGTTAGAAATAAATATACACATATCTAGCCAACATATGGCGATCGCTGCCTCCATCTATAAAGCGAAATCACAACGGGGGACGTCTCAGAAAGCCACGACCACCCGGAAAACTACTACTGCCTCCAACGCCGGTGCAAATGCAAGGAATTTTGGCACGAGTCCTCTTAAGCCTGCTTTCCATCGCCTTTGCGATCCTGCCACCGGTTCCACGCGCTGCGGCCCTTTTCCGTGCCAGAGCCACTGCTGTACTTTGCCTCTTCCTTCTCCCACGCCAACCTCACCATGAGCCTGCGTGACTGGAATGCTCGCACAAACTTCCACACTTCCGTGTCGCCCATATTCCAAGCCTCGAGCGAGGCACGCAGCCTCGTCTCGCTGCTCGACTTGGTCTGTGCCACGACATTCCTCGCCTTTTCCAGCAGGGGTGGTTCGAGAGCAAGGTCCTCTTCCGTGGCCACGGGCCCGTTGCTGCGGTCGGGCATCTTGTCGTCCTTCTTTGGCAATCGGTCTGCAGGGACCGGACTCTGCGCTTTGCCGTCGTCGAGGGCCTTTTCAGGAATGGCAAACCCAAAGTACCAGCTCATGTCGGTTGGCATGTCGTTCTCCGCGATGAGCCAGAGCGAGTGCGCAACTGCATGCTCGCTTGCAATAATCTCTTTCAGGGTCATGACGCGACGCGGCCCAGACACCCCAGTGCCTAGCAAGTTCCGAGTCACGTCAGTGATCCAAGGGTCGCGTGGAGACTCTCGTCGGATCCATGAAACGTCCAACGATTCGCGCAGGTTCGAGACAAGCGCCAATGTCCAAGGATGAGGCACTATGCCGATGCTGAAAATGTGGGATGAGTTGTGGAATCTCGCTGGAGTTCCGACACGCATCGGTGCTCTGGCCACGCAGGGTGTGCAGTCAGGCAGGTTCGGTGGGCAGGAAGCCGGCATTGGGCCGTCGGCGCAGAGCGCCAACTCACGGGCAAGCTTCAGGGCGGCATTTACCATGGTCGTGGTATGCTCCGGATGAGGTTTGAGGACGTCGATGCCGTCGGGAAACCTGTTCTGCCAGGCGACATGCAGGTGGGTGTTGATGAGGCTGTTTAGGCTGCGGAGACCGTGAGCCCGGTCCTGCTTAAACTTGTCAGCCACCTTGTTGTACTTTCTGTCGATGACTCCTTGGGTGTAGGCAGCCAGCGGCATGGGCGATTCGTCCAGCTGGAAGACACCGTCTGGTGCGCCGACCAGACCGCTCTTTAGGACCTTGAGCGCAGAGGGCTCCGTCATGCTCTGTATCGCCTTGCTGACGGCGTCCTTGTGGCCTACAAAGAGCGCGTCGTCCATGTCCTTCCAGCGAGTCAGCTGCGGGTACTCGCCACGGCGCAGGTACGAAAGCATCGGGTCCTCCCGGGCAAGCGTCGGCAGCAGGGTGTAGTGCGCGAGTATCCCACCGCCCATCGTCTCCCACGCCAGCCAGCGCATGAGATCCACCTTGACCTCGGCTTCAATCTCTAGCCTTTGTAGGCTGTCGTAGGCGGGGTTGATCATGGCCTCGGCGGCGCTCAGAATGACAGGCTGAAAGCCCTGCGCCCACCAGGCACGCCGCCAAGTCAGGAGCAGCTCGCTCTCGGCGTCCTTTTCGTCGCGCGTCTTCTTGACGGTGGCGTCGTAGTAACAGTAAATCGGCTGGCGCGGCTTAAGGTGAGGAAGCAGCGCACGATCCTCGTTCAGCGTGACGGAGCTGGAAAAGGGAACCGACAGCCACTTCCAGTCGGCCCACCACCACGATCCGGCGTACTTGTCATTTTGCTGGCTCGGCGGGGGATGGGCGGGCTGTCGGAACGGGTTCAGGGCGCTCTTGGACAGGGAATCGCCGATGCGGGGGACACTGAGGTCGCCAATTCGGGGAACGGAGATCTTGGTGTCGTAGGCGGACAGGCTTGGGGAGGATGGGACGGCCGAGATGAGCGTGGTGATGAGGGTGATGGCGAGGATGGAGAGGCCGAGGAGCAGCAGGGTCAGTCGGCGGGCGGTGAATCGGGGTATCGGCCGACCGAAAATCATGTGTTGCTTGGGCATCTCGGCAATGCCGCAATGGCGGGCGATGCTGGCGAATGCGTCGTCTACTCGTACTTGTCGAGACGTGCGATGGTGTGGGTGCACGGCAGCCGGTGCGGCAAGGAGCAGGGGCCGAGGCTACCTGTAGCTGCGTGGCCAACTGATGGGGGCGTCGCTTGGCGGGGGGGCGCAGCTTTCATATTATTAAGCGGCCCGAAGCAGGAAAGGGAGCGTCTGCGACGCCGCGGTGTCGACGAAAAATGGGTGAAGCGCGAGATACGGCTGTGCGCCCGAGAAGCAGAGATGCCATCGTCGAACCACGCACGACGTTGGAGACGCGTGGAGCTCGAGGTAAAAAGCGGCCCCATCCAATCCTGTTGGACGGCAGCAGGTGGCAGAGCCTCAGGGGCACCGGCGCACTGCACGGGGCTATGGCGCGCCCCGGACCTTGCCTGATACAGCCAAAGCCGTGATCGCCACAGGGGGGATGTCGGCCGGCACTCGGGTGGGGCGCAGGGACACGAGCACTTCCCGTCGCACAAGATACGTACGACCAACTTACAACTCAGGCACGGGTGCGCTGTGCACCAAGTTGTTCATGAAGCCAGTGACGACAATTGCGAGGTGGACGTCCGCCTTGGTGGCTTGCCGGCTTCAGTCGCCGCGTGACTTGGGATCTTGACGTTTGAAAAGGAACTGTGGAGGGTGTGCAGCCGCCCGGTGCACCCTCATGATGCATGATGTCAAGGGTAAACGGGCGCCCAACGCGTCGCCACACGCCGAGGCGCACAGTCGACGTTGACTCATCGCGAAACAGCCCAGCTGTGCAGGTGTCTGGGCAAGCCAGAAGTCTTCCACCATGCGTCTTGCACCTGTCGCGGTCACGCTTCCCTGCGTCTCAAGGCCTGGGCGCCAGACCCCAGTGACAGACACTCCCGCAGACAAGGACAATCGCCGTGATAGCATGCGTGCAGTACAATTGGCGATGAACTCACTGTGCCGTTTGGTCGGTCGGCGGTTTGTATCAGCCCAAGGGAGCTTCACCCCACCTCAGTAAGAACTGCTCGCGGCTCTTCTAGGTTTGGCCGTTGGGCGGCGACGAGGCGGCGGCTGCGACTCTCCCCAACTCGGCCCATATCTACCTGACTACTGGGTTGGTAGTAGCGCGCCTCTAACGCACTCTTCATGGAGATTTAACTTCGTTCCGGGGCTTTGCTGATCTCTATCTTGAAGCGCGCAAAGCCCTCGGAGCCGAGCGTGCTGCCTTTGCGCAGCGACATTTTTCGCAGTTGTCCGCTGCGCCTGTGTCATCATCGTCCTTCAGGTCAATAGCACGCCCAAATGACATTGAGATTCTGGGCTTGTGACCTGGCTAAGGCTGGCTGCATCCAATTGTGCGGACGAGGCCCCAACCGAGGAAAGCTGTCCCAGTAAATCGTCGCCGAACAAGGCAAAGCTCCAGCGCCCTGTTCACTCCCGGCGGTGCATTCACTGCCCGCCAGCTGCCTAGCAGTTATAAACAGCTGCAGGGGCGAGCGGGCTGTTTCCTTCTGCTTTCCGCGTCAACTGAACGGCACCTGACCTGGCTCCCGTGCCCCAACCTCACTTCTTGCAACCTGCAAACGCCCGTCTTCGATTCTTTGCTGCGATATTCGACCTCACCCACCGACAAGCAAGCCAACCACCACCCTTCCCATCGCCTGAACGAGGTGACCAAGCGCATTTCGTTCGGGGCCTCTCATATACCTACTCTCTCTGCCTGTCCACATTTCTGTTTGCCCGCCGCCTGGCCAGTCTCAACCGCCGCAGGCGTTGGCCAGCACTCGCTGGCGCCGAGCCACGCAAATGTCATCGAAGAAATTCTACAGCGACTTGGCCTTGGCCAAGGCTGCCTCCTTCGGCCATGTATCCAACATCCGTCGAGGCGAACTGGAAGATGGAATATCTTTCTTGTTTTCTGTTGAGGCTCTGGAACTTGCCGTCAACATGGAATTGGTTATTCGAGGTACGCCGCCGATCCACACTCTAGCATGCCGACTCGTCGAGCTAACTAGATGGCAGACATCACCGAGTACACGAAGAGCGCCTCATTTATGCTCATCACATCCTACGAAAATCCCGGCGAGGCCGACGTCTCCAAGAATCTTCAGGCGCTCTCGAACGATATTCCTGCCAATGGAACCGTTAGCGAAATTCTGGCTTTCCTGTCCGACTCTCTTTTGGCGGCACTGACGACACGACTTGACGAAATGGACGTCAGCCAAGCGTCCGACTTCGACGATTCCTCTGTCATGGATCAGGACTACCACGATGAGTGGGACGACCCGCACGCGGCCACGGACGGATTTGGCAAGCCCAATACTCATCTTGCTGAGATCCCTGACAACGCCAAGCTGGGAAGCATCAAGGCTGTGGGCGGGCAAGAGCTCAAACGTGCGCTTTCCAAGGCAAAAACAGCGAAGCTCATAGTCGGACTTCTGCCGGCCGAGCACCGGCAGTTTCCCCGGTTCATATCACTTGCTGTTCGAGTCTCGGCCCTCGGACTACCCTCAGATGTCCTTGAAGCCTGGGGCCTTAAGTCGACCGAGTACTTGGTCCTCTTGATTCACTTTGCCAACGGGTATCCCGAGCTTGCCAAATACGAGGCTCTCCCTGAAAAGCAACTGGATGTGCAGTTTCGGTTCGGCAAATGCGCCATCCCCAAGCCGTCCCAACAAGCTGCTACTCAGGCCTTTTTCGGAACCGCGGATGGGACGCAGCGTCGTTCCACTACGTCAAATGATCCTAAACCCAACGAAGATGAAAGCACGCAGGTGTCCGCTTTCCTCGTAAACCACATGTCAGCACCCATCAATAGGCAACTGAATCAGGACCTGCATGGGCTCCTGCGCCTAAGGAGACGACATCGCATGTCGTGGAGCGCGGTTCAAAAGTTGCTATCCCACTCGCAAAATGACTCCTGCGCTGAGTTTCAGCCTATGGACTTGGACGAAGAGGCCATTATTAGCAACCGGGTTCCTGAGGCGCTGCAGGTCGACTACGCGCTCGACGATGAGGATCAGGTGAGCCTCCCGTTGGTGGCAATGCAGTTTGCACTTCGGCAGCTTGTTCGTTGCACTGAGCTTTGCATGGCGTGCCACGAGGCCATGGGCGAGGGCCTTGGGTCGGGATCACTGAAACCATACGTTTGCGAGAAGCCTCTCTGCTTGTACCAGTACCTGTCCCTTGGCTTCGGTCCGAGCATTGAGCACGAAATCATCAACAACCCTCTTGTCGTTGACGTTTTGGTATCCCTAGCCTACTCGGCGGTCATATCTGGGAGAATCCGAGACTTTCCTCTCGCGCTTTCTGTAACAGTCCCGAACCTCAACAAGGTATCTCAAGGCGCTGTGGTGAGGGTTGATGAGGGGTTCACCTCCATGAAGGCACCTCCAGGAAACGAAGTCTGGAGTGCCAGTGTGAGACCAGGACAATGGTTCTTGGTCGCGAATTTTCAGAAGAGTGAGAGTCAGTTGTCCGCTCCCGCCTCGCTCCAGCAGCACCCTCGTGAGTTCGACACACACCGGAGCGTTTGGACTACGAGGGACGTTAACGCTGAAGCAGTTGTTGAGCTCGCCGTTTGTCGCGCCGATAGCGACACGGCGACGGGGGTCATCAGATTGACGCGCTTGTCCGGGACATTCACAGCAGCCCTTGCTGCCACAACGAACATCAAGAACCGAGTGAATGGGGCTGGCCTATCAAAAGAACCCGGCTGGAACTCAGGCCTGGCATTGCTTTTTGATGATGCCCTGCCGAGCCTTCCGAAGGAGGATCAAAGAGCGTCTCTCGCCCTGCTGATGACATGCATACCGTCTGTCTGGGGGATGAGAGACTGGTTGGTGGAACATCCCGGGCGAGCACTGTCGGAATGGCATTGTGTTGATCGGTCACTCATCATCATCCTGACCTGGATCATAGCCTCCAACAGATCGCATCTCGTCCCAGACCAACTGTCTCAATTCTCTGGGACGGAACTAAAAACATCAGCTACACCAACCGCTACGCAGGGCAACAAGGGAGTTCAACTTCCTAGCTACCTTCGATTTCGCTTCTTGCAAGGAGCGCCGGGCAAGGAGAGACAGTTTGCTCAAGAGGTAGAGAAGGTCGGTACTTCCGCCGACGTGAAATTTCCCACGATATTTGCATGGCATGGGAGCCCAATGGGTAACTGGCACAGCATAATCCGCACCGGGCTTGATTTCAAGACGGTAACGCACGGTCGAGCGCATGGTCACGGGATCTACCTGAGCCGCCACTTGGCCACAAGCAACGCCTATACTTGCGGAGTCGCTAACGCGGTCATGCCGCAACTATATACCGTGGTATGTCAACAATCTTTTCCCCAAAGCATGAGCAACCATTCGCTAACCTTGATTTTTCCCGATTTAGCCCCCGAATTGGTCGAACGCGGAGCTGCCGCTCACGTCAGCCATCAGCCTTTGCGAAGTCATCAACCGGCCACGCGACTTCGTTTCCTCGACGCCGCATTATGTTATCAATCGAATCGACTGGGTCCAATGCCGCTATCTGTTCTTTCCATTTACCCAGGCTGTATCCACGGCCGTCAGCGAGTGGATGGCAGCCCTGAAGAAGCAGGAGTTGGACGATTCCGTTCCACAAGCGCCCGAAGCACAATTGTTCGACATGCTTTCCAGGCCGGTCCTGGTGCCGTGGCAAGCGATACCGCCCGAGAGGCGTTCCCAGTTGCGCAGAAAATTCGGCGGCGCCGAGCACGCGGAAGAGGTCAGCTATGGAGATGACGGCCGCAATGAATGGGGCGGCGACGACCTGGAGCTACTGGTGGGCTGCGACTCTGCGACCGAGTGCCCGAGAAAAGGGGAGACGGAACCCCAAAGCCCGGTCCGAACTCCGTCGAGAGAAACAAAGGTAACGCCATACTTCCCTGGCACACTCGATCTAAGCTCGATCCCCAAACTGCCCGAGCCGTCGTGGGCTACTTCCTCCCGTCAAGCCCTCCAGGTCTTGAATCGAGAGGTCAAGGACATACATCGGATTCAGTCAAAGACCGCATTCGACGAGCTGGGCTGGAGTGTAAACACGGAGGCGATTGACAATATCTTCCACTGGATTGTTGAGCTGCACAGTTTCGACACTTCGCTGCCCCTGGGCCAAGACATGATGCGCATGGGCGTTTCCAGCATCGTCTTGGAGATTCGCTTCGGCGCCGGCTTCCCCATGTCGCCGCCTTTTGTGCGAGTTGTTCGGCCTCGGTTCTTGCCATTCTCCAAGGGCGGTGGCGGTCACGTCACAGTGGGCGGCGCCATCTGTTCAGAGCTGCTAACCAACTCTGGCTGGTCGCCAGCTTTGAGCATGGAGAAGGTCCTTTTGCAAGTCCGATTGGGACTATGTGAGTTGGACCCCGCGGCCAGGCTGGACACGACGATGCAGGGCAGGGACTATAACATCTTTGAGGCTGTCGAGGCGTACAAACGGGCTGCCGCCGCGCACGGGTGGCGGGTTCCGGCCGAGATCCAGGCGATGACACTGGCTTGGCTTGAGGCACCTGCTCACAACTGAAACGGCGATGGCTCGGGCGAGTTGTATGGAAGCGAGCATGCAAAAGGGATGAGGTAGCTGCTGTCGAGAAGAAGAAGTGACTGGCCGCATGCCCTCGAGTGGGCGACAGGCACTGTGGACATTGGCAAAGACTCATGCCTGCAGGCAATGACGCAGGCGAGATGCTTTCACGGCAATTCATCAATACCTGTAGAAACTAGAAGACGGAGGGCAGTGCCGAGGGGCAAGGCTTGCCGAGCGTCTGTGTACCGGGATATGTTGGCCGTTAACGATGAATATGCTTTGAACTCTCATGACCGTTGAGGGCTGAGTCAAGTGGTGTGACAGTGTGGGAGTATGACTGACTGACTGTGGGTGACTGACTGATTGACCCGCTGACTGACTGACATACACCCACGAGACAGACAGGCACGGAATGGAAATGTGTGTTCATGCATGTGTATGTCATTGATAACGTTAACAGAAGCCTCGCTCGCCACACGCGGCGTTGCCCTCGCACAAACGCCATCCACGTCCCCATCCGCCGTAGCCGGCACAACGACAAGAGTCTATGCAATTTCCCCGTCCCTCCCTTTCCCGGGTCCTCGTGAGGGACCAGAGGGACATGTGAGTCTAATATGATGATATAGTAAGTAATGATAGCGGTGGTGGTGGTGGTGGTGGTACACAAGCCAGCACGAGGGCGCGCGCTCGATCTAGTGTCCAAGTTTTCTACGGTCCATTGGTTTTTCTATAGATGGGGAGGACTATACGCCTCACTCGCTGTTCCCACGTGTGCCTTTGTTTTCGTCGCCGTCTCCAAGGAGCGAAGAGGCGCGTACGGGTTGGAAAGAGCAATGGGAAAATAAAAAGAGAAGAAACTCATCCACGACGGCACCAGCAGCCACCGCCAACACCACGACAAACTGCAGAGTGCTGGGCCTGCGTGCCACGCGCTCACCGGACCAGCAGCCACCTAGCCGTGCAGGTCTTCCCCCCTTTTTTTGTAAGTTTCGCCTGTGTCGGGCCGCTGTAGAGCGGAAGCCCCGACGGGGTAGTTGAAAAGCTTCAAACCCGGGAGCAAGCAGCAAAAAGTTGTGCGAGAAAGCTCCTTAATGTAACTCCAGAAAATGTCCCAGTGTGAAAAACGGTTGGTCGGCCTCTGGCCGTGATGGGTTGAACCGCTCGAGATGCGCGCGCAAAAGCAGTGAACGACGGAAAGGAAAACTAGTCGATCCAGAACCGAGTCATGCGGGGCGCTTGTCCGCGACAAGAGGCATCACGCCCTTGCGGTCCAATTCCTGGCGCGGGGCGCCTTGAGGTCAAGACTGCCGATTACCTCAGTCGTGCTCAAAGAGCCTGCTGATAGATTCACCATGGTGAACACGGCGAATGGCCTCGGCAAAGATGGGCGAGACGTCCAGCACCTCCAACTTGGGGCAGAGACGGCAATGCTCTTCTTGAGGGACCGAATTGGTGACGACGATCCTGTCAATAGCAGAGGCATTGAGGCGCGGAATGGCATCACCGCTGAAGACGCCGTGGGTGAGGAGAGCGTAGACCTTGAGAGCGCCTTCGCGCTTAAGCAACTTGGCGGCCCGGGTGATGGTGTTGGCCGTGTCGCCAAGGTCGTCGACAAGGATGCAGACGCGGTTGGAAATGTCGCCGACGAGCATCATGCTGGCGTTGCGCGATTCGGTGAACTTGATAGGACGGCGCTCCTGTGACCTTGTGAGAGACGTCAAGCCAGCTGAACAACGGGGGTTCTTACCTTGTGGATGAGAGCAAAGTCCATCTTGAGGCTGTCGGCAATAGCGGTAGCTCGCTTGGCGCCGCCGGCATCGGGCGAGACGATGACGGCCTCTTTGTAGTCGGGGATGTGCTTCTGGATGTAGTTCTGGATGAGGGGCTTGCCGTAGAGGTTGTCTACGGGGATGTCGAAAAAGCCCTGGTATTGCGGGTCGTGAAGGTCCATGGTGATGATGTGGTCGGCACCAGCGCAAGTGAGAAGATCGGCGACGAGGGTGCCGGCTTGGGCGACCCACTGCTTGTATCCAGGCTTGGGCTGGAAGTTGGTGATGGCGCTCTGGTTCTCATAATCGTGGGTGGTGAAGCTGCGCTGGGATGAGAAGGAGCCCTCGTGGTGATGACCGCGGCCGTTGGAGCCTTGGCTGGTGAGGGTGTCTGACCGCTTAGGAAAGTAGTCCCCGTTGCCATTGGCTTCGAGGGGAACTCTCTCGGCAATGGTGCTCTTGGTGAGCTTCTCGGCGAGGCTGTTCACGCCATTGGTGAGGCCGCTGCTGCGAGGGCCGCCGGGGCGAGGCGTGGCCGGCACGCTCTCAAAGGTATAATCGTGCTTGGCAGACGACTCGGCAGCGCGCGACAGGGGCGCGCCAGCCTTGTTGTAGGGCCAATCGGGTTGCCTGGAGTAGGGGAAGAGCGGGATGACGGCGGTAACTCGCTTCGCAGATCCCGTCTTGCAGGCCGAGATCATAATGCAGAGGTCGATGAGGTTGTCGTTGACGCTGCCGGAGCCGGACTGGATGATGTAGACATCCTTGCCGCGGACGGAGTCCTTGATCTCGCAGCGGCTCTCGCCGCCCGAGAATTTTGTGAGGATGCGGTCGCAGGGCGGGATGCAGAGGAAGTTGCAGACATTTTCCGTCAGCTGCGGGTGCGAGTTGCCGCCGAGGAGGACGATGTTGCGGACCATGGCGGAAGGTGAGGTGCGGTGCGTCTTCGGTCGTTGAGGCAGTCGGAGCGCCCGCGAGGTTGGCGGAGGAATCGGAGTCGGCCGCCGAGGGAGTGATGGGTGCCCGAGGCGAGTTCAGCGAAATCGCAACGCCCGTCCGACGCGAGGAAGGGAGTCGTGGTCTCGTGAGCAAGCCTTACGAATGAGGGTCACCTGTTTGGCTCCCTTTGGGTCCCTTGGGGGATGGGAGAGGATTGGGCGTGCGCAGGCGTTCGTCGCAGGTTTTTTTTCGTCCCCCGCCAGACCAGACCCGTCGAGCCGGAGAAGAGTGGGGAGTTTGGGGCCGACGTCAGAGGCTCTAGCCGAGAATTCTCGTCGGTTGGCCGATTGCGGCGAGCAAAAAAAGGCGGCGGCGGCGGTGCGAGACGAGGGGAGGGTGGTGAGCGACAGTGACGGGTGCGGGCGGCAACGACAACAGCGCGAGGCGGAAGCGAACGAAATGCCGGGGATTGATGTTAGAGCAGCATCGTGACGGACAGGCAAGAAAGAGGATACCGGAGGGAGGACGGAGCGAAAGCTGTGAGGAAAATGTGGGTGAGAGAGGAGAGCAGAGGTGGAGGGATGGATGGAGCCGAAGCTGGCGCAGGCCGGGGCGAGACTTTTTTTTTTCTCGCTCTGACTCAAGGAACCGCGTCGGCGAGGCGGACAAAATAAACCGGGACGAAAGCATGCAGGGCGCCGGCGCAGGCTGCATGGCGGGGTTGTTGCGCCTGGCACGGGAGGGTATCGATGGCGCCAGCCAGTATGCGCAGAACCATGTTCGTACTGTGTCTTATGGCGTCTCCCGTCGGCCAACACCAGCTGGGAGCGCCCGAAGCTTGCCGCCGTGTGGGCGCCTTTAGCCAGAGGCCCGGGGGCAAGCAGAGGGCACGGGCGGGCCTCGGTATGTGCCATCAATGGCCCGTGAGCCTGTGCGGCGAGACCTGGCCAAACGGATGGCGCAAGCGCGAAGCCAATTGACGTGTGTAGGCGTCCACGATATACCCCATGTTTGCGCATGTCGAGACAGACAAAAAAGCGAACTGGCTTGTCATGCAGGCGTTCACTCTCAGAATGTAGAAGTACCTGCTCTGGCAGCGAGCTGCAGTCGTCGACTGCCAGCCTGGAGGTCGTGTGCCCTCGGCCCGTGGCCGCAACACAGTGCGAGAACACGATTCGGCCCCACCACGCCGGTACTCGCCCACACTGGAACCTTGGAAGTCCAGGGCCCGGGCATGGAGCCAGCACCTACAGACGCACCTCACATGCCGACCGGGGAGCTCATCGATCAGGTTGCGCAGGCGGTGTTGGCGCCGAAAATACATAATACCGGGCAGCCTGCAGCACGGTGGCGCACGGGAGACGGCTGCGACGAGAGACATGAACCGCCTGGGAAGGCAGCCCGACATCCAGCGTCAAGCGCCGCCTGTACTGTAATTAAGTGCCTCTACCAACCCACGAACACCCTGCGACCCGACGCTGTCTCACGCCCCGACACGACGACCCGCAGGTGACGCCGCTCCAGCGGTTTGACCAGCCCTGCAGCATCAGCTGCAGTTGCAGCTGGGGCCCGCCCACCTCACCTGGGCTGGCGGGGCTGCCCTGGCTTGCCAGCACCTCATGCCTGGGTCGGATTCCATCCGTTCCATTGCACTGCAGGCAGGTCGTGTCCGTCCCCAACCCAGGCGTCCCACCGCTAGGTTGTAAGCGTGCTGGCCCAGCGGCACCCGCCACAAACTTACGGGCAAGCACTCCAGGCGTCGTACAGGGTCCAACCTGGAATTGACGGCACCCATTGAACCCAATCCACAGTGCCGTCCCATGGAGCCCATTGGCCCCTCCCGCTCCAACCCAGCTGCGACAACGAAAAATCGGCCGCCATCATCATTGGCGCATCGATCGAGCACCCCGTGGCCGTCTGACTGCAGCCCGTTGCAGACGCACGTCCGCTGTCACAAACTCGCCCTCCCGTTTGTGATCCCGCACCAGCTGCAGAGCCTCCGATCCCGCGTCAGCTTTGCTTTTCCCCGGTTCTCCCGTCCAACCGCCGCGAGCACGCCGCCGCACGGCAGGCGGTGGACCGACTCTTTTTTTTTTTCTGGCTCCGCCGTCACCCACCCGCCAAACGCGTCGCAGCCCGAGACACACGCCTCATCCATACTCTTGCTGCTGCTGCACCTCGAGCCTTCTCATATCATACATATACACATACAGGGAGACAGGGGACACGGTCAGCAGCCATGAAGGTCATCGAGTCCCAGACCGCCGTCCTGTCCAATTACGAGGTCTACCAGCACCTCGTGGACCAGCGCCAGCGCTACAAGAGCAAGAAGCGACGCGGCCCGCCGAACCTGGAAAACGTCGTCCAGGAGGTGGGTGGCTTCTCATTACTTACTGTTCATTTGGTAGACTTTGCTGACCGCAGCTTCTACCCATCCGTGCAGCTGCTGCAATACCTGCAGGCCGCGCCGGGACCCCTGAGCCAGGAGCCCACCACATACACCCCCGAGTCCATCGCGCAGCTCCTTGAGCGCCTGCGCCCTTTCGACCTCTCCAAGGGCGAAGTCGTCATGATCCTCAACGTGCGTCCGGCATCGGTTATTGGCCTCAACACCGTCGTGGAGGAGATGAGCGAGCGCTTCACCGACGAACAGCAGCTGGAGATGGTCTACATCATTGCCGATGTCCTTGGCAAGTTTGAGACCGCCGAGCCCGACGAGGGACACGATGAAGCCGCCGAGGGCGGAGATGTGAACATGGACGACGCCGCCGCATGAGACTTGTTCGCTTGCTTTTCTACCATGCAGAGCTCGACTCCTTACAGTACCGTGCAACCAGCCTCGCTCTTACCACTCGCCTCCGACGATGCACTGGTCGCCGTTTTACAAATATCCTCGAACGCCGGCTTAAGCAGCTCACCAGTCACGGCAGAACACTCGACGTACCGATCCGCCCGCATCGTCTGCGCGACTTGGTACGCCTCTTGGGGATAGATGATGCCGTTGGGATCCGTCTCCGACCTCAGGTCTCGTTTCAGCCCGAGTATCACCACAGGCAAGCTGTCTATCCGCTTGAAGGATCTCTTGACCTCGTCGAGCCACTGCGCGCCTCAATCAGCGCTGAGGACAAACCATGTCGCGGATAAGGGGTTTGCCGGAGACTCACGTATCGCCTCATGTTGATGAGGCTCAGCCGCTGGCTAATGTCATAGCAGATGACAATGACGTCCGGGTCCAGGAGTCGCCAGTTGTCGGGACATGATGTGTCGTAAAACTCTAGGCAGTATTTCTTACTGCCGAGGTTGATGTTGAAGATGTACGGCTGGTCGATGTCGCGAAGCAGCGGGATCGGATTCGTCTGCTCGCCGGCGCTGAGCCGCCTGCCGCATGAACGTCAGCGTGGGTGGATGAGATGGGTCCGTGGCTCGATTAAACAGATACATACGATAGAAAAGTCGTCTTGCCGCACTTCTCGTCCCCTACAAGCAGCAGCTTGACCACCTCGGCGTCCATGATGCGAAACGCCTCGTGGTGAGGCTTATCAGTGAGGCTTGTGAATGAGGTTGAGTAGTGACTGAGTGAGCGTGATAGCATGAGCGATTCTATGCTGTAAATCGCACTCGGCCCGTGGCGCAAGACCGACCCGCCACACTCCTTTAGAGCACCAGCCACACCTCTCTGTAACCCGCTTTTCACTCACAACTACAAGCCCGTGGTCGCAAGCACTGACGGCCAGTGATGCAGTAAAATCTGCACCAACTTACATGCGTCCCTTTTGCGGACACCTTGGCCGCGGCGTTTCTGCAGGCACACTTCACAGAGCCGGCAGCAGGTTGTCGTACGCTCAGGCTCGCCAGGCGTCATCTTCTCCCGCCGACGCCAAAGGCTTGAGGCTCCCGCGCAGCGCGGGCCCCCACGCGAAGATGGCCGGCGAGAGCAACTACAACGCCTGGACCAAGACGGGCCTCATCCAGAGAGTCAAGGAGCTCGAGGCTGAGCTCAAGGCCCGGCCGGCAGCTCCAGTACCAGCGGAGCCGGCGTCAACAGAATTGCAGGCTACGAGCACCGCCGGCGCCGAAAATGGCACGCCTACGGACAAACGGAAAGCCAAGCCGCCCAAGGGGAAGCGCAAGATGGACCCGTCGCGGTATTCCACGCGGTTCATCGCCCTGAAGCTCGCGTACCTGGGAAAGAACTACGGCGGATTCGAGTTCCAGGCCATGGGCAACCAGCCGTCCATCGAGGAGGAGCTGTGGAACGCCCTCACCAAGGCTTGTCTCATCTTCCCGGAGGATGAGAGGGTCGTCCAGTTCGACTGCTGCGAGTACTCCAAGTGCGGGCGGACGGACCGCGGCGTGAGCGCCTTTGGCCAAGTCATCGGGCTGCGGGTGAGGAGCAACAGACCGCTGCCGAAGAAGAGGGCAAGGTTAGAAGGGGATGGCGCGGCGGACGCTACGGCGGCGGTTGAGCAGAGGCCAGACGAGATGGAGGTCGAGGTTGATGAGGCCGAGGAAGCACAGGAGAAGCCGTTTGACGACGCCAAGGACGAGCTCTGCTATCCGCGGATACTTAACCGGCTGCTGCCCAAGGACATTCGCATCCTCGCCTGGTGTCCCTCCCCGCCGGCCGACTTCTCGGCCCGCTTCTCGTGCCGCGAGCGGCAGTACCGCTACTTCTTCACCCAACCCGCCTTCACCCCGGAGCCGTCATCACCTGGCGCCGCCAGCACCACCACCGGCGGCGTAAAGACCGGGTGGCTGGACATCGAGGCGATGCGCGACGCGGCCAAGCGCTACGAGGGCGAGCACGACTTCCGCAACGTCTGCAAGGTCGACCCGGCCAAGCAAATCACCAACTTCCGGCGGCGCATCTTCGAGTCGGACGTGGTCGAGGTCAAGGACGTGGCCTCGGCGCTGCCGTACCTCCGGCAGGCGGGCTTCGCGGCGCCGGGCATGGCCACCGGCGAGCCGTACCCCAAGGTCTACTACTTCCACGTCCGCGGGTCGGCCTTCTTGTGGCACCAGATCCGGCACATGGTGGCGCTGCTCTTCCTCGTCGGCCAGGGCCTCGAGAAGCCGTCGCTCATCTCGGAGCTGCTCGACGTGGCGGCCAACCCGCGCAAGCCGAGCTACGTCATGGCTGACGAGGTGCCGCTCGTGCTGTGGGACTGCCTCTTCCCGGACCTCGACGACGAGGCGAGTCGGGTGGCCGCCGCGCCCGACGGGGTGCTGACGGAGCGGACCGACGCGCTGCAGTGGATCTTCGTTGGCGACGAGTACGCGCCCAACAAGCACGGGCAGTTTGGCGTCGTCGACGGCCTGTGGGAGCTGTGGCGCGAGCGCAAGATGGACGAGCTCCTCGCCGGCCAGCTGCTGCAGCTCCTCTCCCAGCAGGGCGTGCCGGCCGGCTCGGCGCCCGGAGGCCACGGCGGAAAGGCCGCCGCCAGCGCGAGGGTCTACGAGGGGGCCAACGCGGGCCGGCTGGCGGGCAAGTACGTGCCCGTCATGAAGAAGGAGCTGATGCAGTCGCCTGAAGAGCAAAACGACAAGTATGCCAAGCGCAAGGGCTACGCCAGCGCCGAGGACATGCGGGAGCAAAAGGCCTTGGGCAGGGCACGAGACGAGGCGGCATCTGACGAGTAGCCAGCCGTGCAGAGACCAATACAACGAACGCAAAGAATCAAACTTGATACCACTCCGTGCTACTTGAGAGCCAAAATGGTGCCGTCTTTTGTATTCGTCATTGAATATCTATTTGTAAATAGGATGGCTTCACGAACCGAAGCAGAGCCCATGATCGCTCATAAAAAGGGGGTATCACATGTGTATCCGTCCTCCATCCGCAACGTCTACCCGCGCAAAAGCGCACCACGCCCTAATACTAATCCCCTCATATCGACGGCCCCTTGCTGCTATCTTCAGCGCGCCCCTCGTACAAGCACTCCCTCGCGCCCCTCCACACGGCCTCGACGATGCTCCGCTTCGGCAGCAGGCCCGGAAACACGACAACGACGTCCTCCTCGCCCTCGACGACCACAATAAGGTAATATCGGACCTCGAAGCGGCGAAACGCCTCGTTGACGAGAATGTCCTGGATCTTCTCCGTGGGGATGAAGCGCGTCGCCGCGCCCGAGAACCACGTCCCCGCCGACTCGGTCGTCTGCACGCCCAGCCCCCGCAGCACCAGCAGCGACTCGTGCCGGTGCGCGCGCAGCCCGACCAGGTACAGCGCGGCCGCCGCGCCCGCCAGCAGCAACGGGAGGGGGGCCCGGGAGGCGAGCCGCGCGAGGGCCACGCCGCCCGCAGGCGCGCGGTCCCACGCGTCGAGCGCGTACCAGAGCCCCTCGGCGGAGAGGAGGGACGCGGGGCGGGAGGGCGGCGTTTCGGCCCGTGGCGCGGCGATGGGGCACGTCGTCCAGCGGGCGCGCAGGAGGAGCAGCGTCGCGAGGGCGAGGGCGAGGCGCAGCGCGAGGAGGAGCGCGCCGAGGAGCCGCAGGGGGAGCGTCGGCGGGGGTAGGGTCGTGACGGTGAATTCGGCGGCCGTGGGGGAGGGCCGGCGGATGCGCAGGCGCGGCGCCGTGGTGATCATGGCGGGCGACGTGCGGTGTTGGGTTCGGTCGGCTTCGCTCGCTGATCGTGGACTGGAAGTTGAGGCGAGGCGAGTGATGGGATGCTTAGCGACAAGCCATTGCCTGGTCCCGCTGGGGGAGGGATGAATGTCGCAACGGCAATGCTCTTGCGGATGACGCAGGCTCAGGAGTAGAGTCTTGGATGCTCGCGTGGAGTAGTGTGTCGTACCGAATTGTACGAGGCTCAAGAAGACGAGTGGTGGGTTGGTCAATGATGTTGGCCCTGGACGGGATGATAGACGAAGGTCTGTGAGCTCGATCCATTGCAGTGGATGGCGGAGGCTGCCAGGCACAGGCACCGTCCCCTGTGGCAAGCTTCCAGAGCTCCCGTCCCGTCCAGCTACAGGCGGGCTACCCACTGCCGGAACACCCACCGGGGCGCTGTGGCCGCCCCGACAGAGGAGCATGTGGGGCCTTCTCGCCGAGTAGGGTATATAGGTCAAAAAAGCGCGGAAATTTATCGGCTGTAATGGCTCAACGGCGAAGCACCTCGCACTTATTTCGCAATTCATTTGCCCTCCACCACCCGACCCCGTAAGATCCCCCCCGTCGGCGCCCAGCCCGAACGCCGCGGTGGCCGCCCGCTCGCGCAGGCAACTCGCGACGTCGGTGCGTGCCCTAAGCACTTGGAGATGACCCTTGAGGGAGGATTCACTCTGCAGAGACCTCTCCCCCGTCGCGTGGCGGGCTGGATCACGACCGCGGGGGGTTTGGGTTGGAGGGGCGAGATGGAGAATGCAACGCCTTCTTTTTTTTGGACCTCTTCATTTTTTTTTTCCAAACATCGGATGTCTCGATCAATTGGCCTGTTCCATCATTTGCGTCTTGTTGCTTTTGCTACCGACTCTTGAATACGTATTCCTGGTCGTGTGTTCCTCGTCCGCTCCCGGATTCGAACCCCCCTCCTGTCCCGTCTCGCTGTAGACTCCCACTCGCGAGCCGACCCATGACAGTAGACACTTGCACCGTACACACGCATCACGACACGCAAAACACAACACACGCCAAACGTGCCGCGCACCATCTCGTTGCTACCCAAAAAATAATCGCTTCTTGCGTCGCATTGTGAATGCCACACAGAACTGGCGCATCAACCGCCACCTTTCCATTCATCTGCTCGACACACCCCTCTCCTTCCCGCAACATGGTGCCGCGAGGCAGCATTGTATAAGCAAGCCTCCTCGCCCGCTCCTCGGCCGTCTGTGTAGACGAATACACCTCCACCTCTGCTGCCGTCCCGCGTGGCCTTTTTTCCCGCCCGTGAGCCCAAGCGTCATCAATCGTGAGATATAGAGAAGAGAAAAACTGGTACATATGCAGCAGGGCCCCCATTACAAATGTGCTTCGCCTGCAGAACCACACCCGTCGTAATGCAGCCAACGCGTGTGGCAAAGTACCCAAAAACCCAAAGATGCAACATGAAGGCTTGTTCAAAAGGAGCAGTAGAGAAATCAATCCAAGAATCGTGCTGTAGCGTCTAGGTGCTGTGTCTGCTTTTCTGGGCCTGGAGTGTCTTCTCGCCGGCTGACAACAGTTCGCGACGGCGAGGGGCCTGGCCAACTATGCTCTGGCCGAACGAATTGAAGTTTAAACAAAAATATCGAAAGAGTGTAGAGCTGAGCAATGGCGGGACGACGAAAGTGTGCGTGCTTTAGATCATCTCGCTCCGGTGCAGACCGGTGGAGAGGTGCTTGCTCTTGCCGTCAATGGGGGATCGGACCACATCCGTGTCATACATGACTGGAGGCGGTACTCCGGCCACCGGCGATCTCACCTGGCTGGCGTGGATCAGACCTGCATCCTTGGGGAGGTCGACCGACGGCGACCTCACATGCCTCGCCGCGTCTTTGCGCCCGCGGCTCGCCGACCTGAGTCGCTCCGTGGCCTTGGACAGTCGTCCCGAGATGCTTCCTCCATCACCGATGCTGCGGCCCCGGTTGTGGCCCCGCGATGGAGGCGCAGGTGGTGGAATGACGGGCACCATGCCATCGTTCGGCGCCGCCGCCACCGGTGCGTTATCGTCTTCGTCCATGACGATCTCGATCATCCCAGAACCGATGGCTCCCTGGCTCGGAGTACGCCGAGAATGCGGCAGCGGCGCCGGAGGAGGAGGTGGAGGAACAGCCAGATGCTGGAGCTCCTTCAGCATGGGGGGCGCCACTGGCAGAGGCGGAGGTGGTGGCGGAACCGAGTCATCCCCTGACCGGCGTCTGCTGTTCCCGACCACTTCGTCAATGCCTCGAACTTCTCCAACGCTGGCCTTTCGGGAATACCGTCCCTGGTCGGGCTCGTCGGGGATCGGGGCCGACATGCTTCGAGGAATCATCGGGCGCTGGGGCGGCTGGTACACTGTCGACGGCAGGAGCGTCAACGGCTCCAGCGTGGCCTCCTTCTTGGGCGAGGTGTTTGGAGAAAGGCTCTGAGCAAACGTGACGGGCACTGGAGGCATCTTGGGGGCGTCATTGGCCACTTTCTTGCTGTTTTCGGCCTCGATTATGAGCCTCATTGCCTTGGGCGTTGCTGGCAGGCCAATGGCAGGCCCGCTTCGCGCGTACATGCTCTTGGGCGGCTCCGTCGCGCTTCGCGGCGGCAAATCTTGAGCTGCATCGTTCGGCTCCGACATCTCGACCCCGATCCTCGCCATCGGCGGATTGAAGTCATTCGGGTGCGGAATCTGTGGTGCCTGCGGTCTCTTGGCGAGCGACTTTCGACGCTCCTCGAGCTCCCGCGCCGCCTGCTCCTTCTTGCGCTGGCGCTCATCCTTCATCTGCCGTAGGTCGCCCGCGTGCTCTGTGGAGGTTGCTCGGCCGTGGGAGACGAGGGCCGGGAGCGTGTCGACGGCTTCAGCGGCTTCTTTGCGCCGGCTCTCTGACCTCTCCCTCTTGGACACCAGCGGGGAGCTAACGGTACGACTTCCGCTGCGGCTGTGCTTGGCGCGAAACGTCTCCCGAGCCAGCATGGCTTTGGTCAAGTCTTCCTCATCCTCGGACCCTTGGTAGTGCAAGGCGTTCGCAGACAGCGGCAGAGGCGAAGAAGGCGAGCGTTGATGGGCTCCTTCTCGATCGTTCGTCCTGCCTCGGATGTCCAGGGCTGCAGGACGAGGTCGCCCATCGGGGCTTCGGCGGCCACTGCCACGGCTAGAAGTCCGGCTGCCGGTCTTGAACTTTGTCCCGCTCGCTTTCCTGACTGTGCTTGGTTCCGCTGCATCGTCGAGGTGCTTGCTTGTCGTCAAGTTGGCTAGATCCTCCGGCGACATGGGGACGGGCGACGTGGGAGATCTCTTGGGCTTCGTCCAGCTTCGAGCAGAGGCGCGACCTCGCTCCTCGGATGCTTCCCTCGACTTGCCACGTCTTTCCCTGCTGCCATGGCGTCCACGCGATGAGTCACGCGTCCGTTCCTTGCTTCCATGCTGGCTCCGGTTCCTCTTTGAGTAATGCTGAGCGGTCTCCAGGCTGTGGATATAGTCGTCACGGTGACGCGGGTTGGTTCGTAGGCTACGGCCGGCGCTTGAGTTGGAAGTAATGGAGCTCGCAACCGAGCCAGGTCCGCGGCGCCTCGTGGGCCAGTGGAACCGGGTCGAGGATGAGACGGATTGCTCCGGCGATGTCACCTCCGCGGTGCTGGGCTGCTCGGTATGTACCTGGAGGTTGACACCCTGCGGGATTCTATCCCGGGAACCGTTGCGGCGAGTTGAAGTTGCCTCCCGCATCTTAGCGAAGACGTCCTGGCTGGGGGACGGTGGCCTTTCACCAGTGATGGCCGCGTTGCCCACCACGACGCGCTTGAACCGATCACGCATCATCATGGGGCTGGCAGTCGCAGCTCGCTGCAATGCAATCCCGGCAGCAAGGTTCTCTTGTTCCGACGAGGACATGCGGCTGTGTCCAGGGCGTACCTCTTTCTTCTCTGCAGGAGAAGCTGCAGCTGCTGAGAGCATGCCACGGTTGAGGTCGGCAGGAACTTCGCCGATTGACGGAAGCCTGCCCCGACTCAAGGTAGAGCTTGCAGCGCGTGCTGAGGTAGGTGTGTTGAACCTGCTATTGTTGGAGGGCCGGAGAAAGGCCGTTGCAGCTTCGTAGGAGCCACCTGGAGAGATTGCCGACTCTGCGATGGGCGTCACGCCAGCGGCAATTGGTGTCTGGCCCCCATCGCCTTGGGAGTAGAATTTTGACTTCTGGCTTTGGTCTCCAAACGAGGTAATGAGTTTCAGTGCCGAAGTCTTGGCGATGCTCCGTTGCGGCCCGCGCTGGAGGCCTGGAGGCGAGAGAGGAGGGCTCAACACCTCTGGGATACTGGGGGTGATGCTCTGAAAGTTGAGTTGCGCTGCCGAGGGCGAGGTCCAGGGTTCTGTGGATTCTTGGTCGGTGCAAGCGAAGCACCGGATGGCAAGCTGCTGCTGCCCGTGCTGTACAGCCCACTCACCCCATTTCCTGATGATGGCAGCTTGACGCTCCCAGACGCTGGGGTAGGTGAGACTGGCTAAGATCAGTGCTTCCATGTAGCGCTTGTGCGAGATGTAGACTTCGATGGCGTCGTTGTCGTCGCCCATGCCCAGCATAATGGTCACGGCGACATGGACGTCACCACTCTCGAGCAACCTCTGAACAAAGGCTCGACCAAGCTTGTGCTGGGACTGCTGACCACCGATACCACTCAGCGCCAACAACATCCAATCCGATGAAGACATGTTGGCAGAGCTGCCAGCCATGATGTCAGAGTCCATGTCACCGAGCCACTTGGCCAGCAAGATGCGGCTGGCAGATCCAGGCTGGTGGCGGCTCATCTCATCAAAGACGAGATCCTCGACGTCCTTGTTCCATCCGAAAATAGTGCTAAGCATTTGGCGCCGAAGATCGTCGTTGGTGAGCCGTGAGTTGTCAGCGCCTCTAGGGTGCTTATAAGGGATGTCGCTAAGCCGCGTGCGCGTAAACTTGAACAGATCGTGCACCTTGTTGTCATCAGGGCTCCGCGGAACCTCGTGCCTTAACCTGGACGGCCGGTGCCTGGATCGTGAAGACGCCATAGACGGCACACTTGTCGTCGGTAGAGAGTAGCCCATGGAATATGTGTCCGCCTCTCGTCTGCCACTTGTAGACGACTTCAGAGATGACCCCGCCGAGATGTAAGTGTTCTCGGTCATGCCCCGCGACCTCAGAGAGCCATTGTTACGACCGGGCGTGCGTGAGCCGGCCGACGACTTGGAAAGTGATGACAAGCCACTACGGCTCGATACCGGGCTTGCTGAGTCGTAAGACCGGTCATTGCCAGAGTCAGCGCCCCTGGCCGCGAGCCGCGCAAAGGGCGATGAGTGGTCCTCGTCGCTCTCCGAGATGTTCATCTCCACGGGTGCAGAAGTGGCATCAGAGTCGGAAGTGTGGATGGTGGTGGCTGAGTGAGCAGACTTGCTCCCCGGTCCCTCGATCGAGTTGGGTGGTGAGGGCGGCAGGAGGTTTGCAGGGTGTTGGACGTTGGCCACCATGATGGAAGGCGAGTTGAGGTCAAACTGCTGGACGGTACAGTTGGGCCCAATCGTGAACAAGGTGGCGCCTGGACCGTAGACCGCCAGGCCTTTGACATGCTCCAGCGTCGGTATCGAATCAAAGGTGACGTGCTTTGTCCTTACGTCCCATGAGAGTGTCTCGCTGTGCATGTGCGTTAGCGGTTGGCCACACCTCGCCCTAAGCGCGCGCGTAGGGTTGGGGGATAAGGGGTGGCAAATATGTGACGTACGAGTCCGAGAATTGAATGATGCGCCCGTTCTTTGACCAGCCCATCCAATTTGGCCCCGCGAGGAAGCTCTCCCTCCGTCGGAGTATCCGGACTACCTTGGCTGGGTCGTCGGCGCTGTACGACTTGGCCACACTCCAGACCCGCAAGTCGCCGTCATGTGTCTGAACCGCCAGCATGTCAGACTTTTGCTTCGACGAAGACGCATGCCATGCCAGCGTGACTATTGGCGAGGGGCCCCTCGAGGTTGTCAAGTTGTGCAGAATAGTGAAACGAGGTTGAAGGGTGGCAATCAGAAGTGATCCATTTTGATATCTGAAATGACACACGTTAGCCAGGTCCCAAGTGCCGAGTTGCTCCCAGGCTTACCCGATCGCAAAGGTGCGACAATCAGATGACGGCGCCAATGCGGTGACGGCGATCTGATCGATTGTGCGAGACGAAATGTGCTCTGAAGTCGTTGGCTCAAACAAAATGATGCTTCCTTGCGCATTACCTACTCACCGTTAGCCCGTAACCATGCAGTAGAGAAAGGAGAGAGGACCTACCAAAAGCGACATTTCCATTTCGCATCCATGCTGCCACCGTCAGGTTCTCATACGAGGCGAATCGCGCAACCTCATCCCCCGTCATCAAGTCCCATACAATGGCAGTCTGGCCAGCGTCGTAGCTCACAACCAGTCTGCCCCCGCCAACATCGCTCTGGTTGTCTACCGCGAGCAGCTGGACTTCTTCGGCGTGCCTCGAGAATCTCCTCTCAATGGTGAGTGAGTCGTGGTGGCAGCATACAATCGAGGGACCCTGTGCGTATAGAAGCATGGACGCCGTGGCGGCACACGGATCCAACAGCCTCAAATCTTTGACTGACGGCATGGTCGTCACGTCTTGAGGATGAGCGCCCCTCGCCGTTGACGACCGTCCGGAACTCATGGCCGTGCGGTTCCACGACGAAGCGGACATGGCCGGCTTAATAGTAGATCGGATGGCGGATGCGCTCCCAGCCTCCACGTTGCTACCTGAACAATGCGTCGGGTAGACCCCCGCAGGAGTTGGTCTCCTGAAAGGCTAGGGATGACAGTCCCCGTGGAACGGCAGTCGCACCGTGCCACGGCGGCGTCGATGAAGCCGAGCCTCTCCGTCCGGGTTGCGTGTTATCGCGCAGAGGCACCGGGAAAACGAGCGGCAAGTGGCGGTTTTGTCGTCAGCTCTATACCATCACATGAAGGCCAGGTACTGTCCGCGCGCGGACTGGGCTACCCTCGCACAGGCTGGGGACCCCTCGGACACCGCAAGAACGGCTCGTATCGGAGCGGACACTGGGCGGTGGGGGAGGGAAGCCGGGCGTACGCTGGTCGGGCTGTATGGAGGCTCGGGTGTGACAGACGCGGGCAGGACGAGGGCTGGCGGACGCCGGCGAGGTATGTCTCGGTTGCGATGCGTATTGCGGTGAGGAGACGGGTCGATGGAATACGGCTCACGGGTGGGAGCCCTGGCGCTTTTTGCAGGAATATTCCAAGGGGCGCAGAAAGAGGAGTACGAGCCCTGACTGTGATGGCCCGACGAGGAGGAGCAGTGGGCCGGGGTCGGCGCTTGTTTCGTGCCGCTTGGGGGCTTTCTCGTGGTTGGGGGTTGCACGGACGAGATGCAGATGCAGGCGGAAAGGGAATATGCGAGGCCCGTCGACTGGAGCCAGGTATATGCCACAGGACGTCCTGGGAGCCGCGGGCGACGTCGGGTGGCACAAAAAGGTGAGGGAGAGGTGAGGATGGGTACGAAGTACAACGGAGGAAGGGGATGAGAATGAGGATGAGAATGAGGACGGCAGGAGAGGAGGTAGTCGAGGCGCGCCGAGGCGGGTGAGAAGGACCAAGACGGACACGAGGCAACGGGGTCACAGACTCACAGGCGGAGAGACACAACAACGGGCAGCGATTTGGGGACCAGACAGGGGAGCAAGAGCGTGGGCGGCCAGGGTTGGGTGGACGGCGGGCACCATGGATGGACAGATGGGGAACCAGGACCTCGCAGAAAAGGTGGTGTGACGGGCGGACGGCCCATGCCAACCCTTGAATGCGAGACCAGAGATGGTCGCAGCATGGCGCGTAGATGGCTGCAGGCCAGCCTGTCAGTGGCCGAGGGCTGTCGAGCGCATAAAATTAGAGCCCTGATTCCTGCTGCCAACGGCGACTTGCAAGATGCGGACCGGATGCGGACCGGGCCAGCCAAGCCCAAGCAGTCGAGGACGAGGGTCCTCGTGCATGGCACGAACCAGGGTCCATGACGGTGTCGCCGCTCCGGGGGGGCCAGCCACAGGCCGTGAATGGGCCGCACTCGCGCTCGTCTTTTTGAACGTTGATCCGACTTAATTCACCACACTCGGTCGCGCGACGAATTGGCAGCCTAAGCACGCACGGGGTTGGCGCCAGGAGTGGATATCGTAGCGCCTCTGGCCCAGCCCCCCTCTCGGTCAGCATAAGAGCTCTTGCGTGCCGCTTATCAAGACTCTCATCTTGCGTGAATCATATAGCGCCTCGGATATGATGCTCGGCGTCAAGTCGCCGCCGATCATGCCTTGTCAACATCGCCTGTGTGGGTGTCTGAGCTGGAGCCCACGTTGGTTCTGCGACGCCCGCTTGGCAGAAACGACTTGTCCATCGAAGCATGGCATTGTACAGTACTGTGCCGTACAAGACATGCCGTGGAGTATGCGCCCACAGACGTGCTGTAGATGGAGACGGGCAACGACTCGGCTTATTGCGGGGTTGCATCTGCGGGTTGCACCACAGCCGATCGCTGGCCGCTGGGGGAGGCTGGACCACCGGCCACCCTTCTTTTTCCTGGCCCTTTTTCGTGTTATCCGTACCTTACAGGGCCCCTTTGAGGGTGGATGGCCCCTTTGGTCGATGGCTGCGAGCACTGCAGTCGTTGTTAACGGCGGCGGCGGCGGCGGTAGCAGCGGCATGGAGCGGATTCGCGACGTCGGCCCCCTTCCATGGGCTGGCTTGCCTGGCTCCCTCACGCTCGCGCTCCGGCGTCTCCGCTCATCGACAGAGCTAGGGCCGTGGAATCGGCCGCTCATCAACCCAAAGCAGCGGTGGTCGAGCGCAGCGGCGAGACGAGGCGAGGCGAGGCCTTTGCGGCATCAAGGCATGAGGGGGACGAAGACATGTGGTTGGGCTCGAGGCGCCTTGGGGCTGCGGTCGAAAGCGGGGCCCCCTCGAGCGACGTTCAATGGAAGGCGGCGTCGTAGCGCCGACATCTGCGCTTGCCCGAGTTGGGCCCTCGCTGTGCCTGTGGGCGCAAGGAACGGCCCAATCAGATACGCGATCACGCTCTTCCTGATCTCCCTCTCCCGGGCGGCGGGGCCACGAGGCAGGGGTGTCAAGGGTGGCAAGGGTGTGCCGCCCCGCCCCTTCCCCGATTCGCGGCCCGCTTTGGAGCCTTGGAGGTGGCAGACTGGCAGTCGCGCCTCACGCCAGCACGGTTCCTTCTGCTTGAGAGCTTTGCCAGCTTCTGCCAGCTCCTGCTGCAGTTTCCAGGTTTGCCTGCTTTCGCCTGCTCTTCCCCCTCATCAGAGTCACCAGAGCGATGAGCAGTCGAGGGCTTCCGCTGGTTCTTATGCACACGCTTCCCTCGGCCGGCCACGCGCTACGATTCTCGATCCTCGATCCTCCAATCGTCCCTTAACCCTGATTACAGCGGGTTCTTCTCCTCATCGGGGCCAGCAACAGTCGGCACATGTCGCCACCACACATCGGGCGGCCCGTCCCATCAGAAAAGGGTCCCCCCCGTTGGCCCCTTGTCCAAGACGATTCCTGAAGGCTGTATCACGTTGTGAGCCAGACAATCAATCAAGCTCTCGACGCCGCCTCACTCATCAGCTACAGGCTGCCGGTGTATGGGTATGGGCAGCTGTCCATCGTCGGGCCGCTCTACGGCCCATGCGTTTGGACCCCGCGGTCGACAAGATGAGCCAATTCGAATGCATACCATCCATCGACGGAGACAATGCGAGGCCTCGGGAACTGCGAGCGTCTGCTCCGCCTCCGTTCCCATTCGCCTCTGTACGAGTGGTGCACGGGTTTGTCTCCCGCGGACATGATGAGGTCGCTTCCGCCGCCCCCGGCCCGGTACCTATTCCGAGCCGAAAATGCAGTCCCTGTTCTTCCCGGGCAGCATCACCCATCCAGCCCAGTTTGGGCTCGGGGCCCTTCGACTCCAGGATTTATCTGTCAGACGTGGCGTGAATGATGGATGCGGCCACTCTATCTCTTACGGGCACCAGCAACATTCGCGGCCCCCAATGCCACTTGGCTGCCACAAAGCTCCATGCACTGTAACACAAGATGCAAACACTCAAATCCACATACGTAGCCTGGTCTCCCCTGCATGACCTTTTTTTTTGTTCCAAAGCAGGTTCACCGCATAAAGCCTTTGGGGTCGACATGGGGCAGGTCGGACGTTGTGATATATTTTAGGAATCTCGCAGCAACGCTGACTTGGCCACATATAAGCCTCGCCCCTTTCCTCTCGAGACGGCTCCAATTCATGCTTAGAAACCTCAATCGCGCATAGTGCTCTCTCAAGAAATGCTCGAGGGACACACGACGAGAAACCGCACAGCATCAATGTGGGTTGCACTGCCGATCTTTGCCTGGCACACCATAGAGTTGCCCGATCGCCAGGCACAGCACACAGGACCGTCTCGTCGTACCGGGAAAAGGTGGTGCGTCTGGATTCTCATGCCCAAGACCCGACTTCAGACGCAATCAAGAGCATATCCTGCTGTTGTGGCCCCGCGTCGAGGTCGCTCTCCCCCGCGACCCCCTGTCGTGCAACCTTGCGGCTGTTTCAAGACGGTTCCTGGCAGCTTGCATGCCTGTGCCAGCCGGCGCAGCATGCCTGAAGCATACTGTACGCGAGACGGCATGAAGCTGTGTGTAGCTGCGTGCGGTTTGGAACTCTCGTATCAATGGCTGGCCCGGCCGATGGCTTATGAGCGTCACCTCGGGCCGTGGCAACACAGAGGCGCCGAGAGCACGTCTAGTGAGGCCGCGGTGAAAGCTGTGCTCCAGTGCGGTGAGCCTCTCGACGCCGAAACTGGGCCCCATCAGTGACACTGGGGATCCTGGTCCAAGATGGGCGGCGATGGAGCTGATTCTTGTCCACACCGGGTGAAGGGAGTTCGTTCCGGTCGCATCAAGCGCGGTGCATACACAGAGCGTGGGGCCTCCCTCCCCTGTACCTCAATACTCGAGCTTGCTGGTGAAACTCGCTGTCTGTAGAGTCCGCAGATTTGAAATGTTCCGGCAGTTGAACTGTCGAAGCTGGGGACTTGCCGGTGATCGAGTGAGGTCATTATGGACTTCGCAGCCGATGTGAACACTGCCTTTCTGCCAATACCTGACAAGCAAGGCGATCCTGCAGCCACCAACAGCTCCTCAGGCTCCTGCTTAGGTTAGCCGTCAGAACGTTCAGAATCGTAGGGCTTAGACGAAGTTCCTATCCCGCGCAAATGTCGAAAGACCGTCCAACAAGGCGTCGACGAGATGTCTCGCATTAGCTCGAGTGAACGAACACCCCTTGTTCCCCCCTCCCAAGCCCCCACGCTAGATAGCTGCTAGTCATGGACGCTGAGGGAAGCCAAGAGGCTGCCCGGTGATGGGGACCCACGCGGTCGCATATCGGGCCTGGAGGATTTTCTTCGCTGTCCTGCCCACGCGGCATCGCCGTTGGACGACATGGCAATGGGAGCGGCCAGCACGAAATGCCCCTGCCGGAGCGATGCCAGGTGTGCACAGCTTTTTGCCGTGGGTGGTGCTTTTCTGCCCGATCATGCGGGGGCTTTGCGCTCGTCACACCGTGTCGGCGTGCTCGTCACATCCATGGATGGCGGTCACCTGGGTATGGAGAGGCGGGGCTTCCTTGATACATGAGGGCTCGGGATTATTGCGGTGCCAATGGAGTAATGATGGATGGCTTGCGCCGTGTGCGAGGATATTGTTGTTGTTTGATGCTCGTGTAAGCTGGGGCCCTTGGCGACTGCAACTGGCTCCGCAAGGACGCTTCGCCGGGCTCCGGTTCTGAGGGCTCGGTGTGTGGACGTCCGCTGCTTTCTCCCGAACTTGTAAGTGTTTGTGCACCAGCGCTCATGTTAAGCATACGTACCTCGTAGACGGTGACGATGGACCGTGAGCACGGCCCGACTAGACCATGCCTGACCTTGCGCGCTCAGGTATCCCACCACCACCACGCCTACGGCCCACGACGGAACATGGCTGGCCCTTGTACATTCTGCCCTCGCGGTTGCGCCTGGAGGTGTCGCCAGACACGGAAGGTGAGCGTCTCCAACGACATGTATTGGATGGGCGCGTCGGCAGAGCGTGGGCCGGCAGCCCTCTTCCGATCGACCTTTGCCACTCAGACGCTTTTGTCAGTCGTCAGGCATTCCCAAGACGGCTCTATCAAGTCCATTGACTTTGAGCAGCCCTCGCCAGAGAGGATGCGACGGGGGTCCAAAGCATGAGCCATGAAGTCGTCACATCAGGCCTCGTTCCAACCCCAAGGCCAAAAACACAACCATAACCTCCATGGCCACCACCACCATCGCCTTGACCCCAGTCTTTGCCGTCGCTTTGTCAACGTCCCGGCCATTGATACCCATCCAGAACCAAGGGTATCGCGTTCAGCTCGCCAGGAGCGGTGACGAACTAGGTCCAAAAAGGGAATACAGCTCGACCGTGGCGGGAAGGGGGGGGCATGCTAGATTGCCAGCTAGCTCTGAGGTTCGGAGCTCGCAGCTCGATCAGGGACGGCCGGATGGCTGGTCCGCGCGGGCCGGGGATGCGGACTTGATGGGAACGGGGGCATGATGAGGGGAAGCACAGGTAGCGTGCTGGAGGGGTTCAAGGGTAGTTAGGTTGCTGCCCGCAGAAACCCGTCGACGGCCCGCTCGATCCGCGCACCTCCATCACCAAGAAAACGGACCTGTCGTGTGTTGTTTTTCTTGGTGATCGCCCTCCAATCCTTGTTATCCCTGTTGGTGCTGGCTCGCCGCGTCCTTCTTCGGGCTTCACAGCGAGGGATCTGCCAGATGAGCACAAAAGCCAGCGATCAAGGATCTTTCTTCGCGGCAATCCCTTGGACGGCACATTGGAGGCGACGCTTGCCAAAGCCATACGAGGCAGCGGTAGTTCGTCTCTCAAGGCCCAACACGCGGGGACGAGATCGCACCAGGAGAAGGGCACAGCCGTATACGTATCTGAGGTTCGCGTGAGGCATCTTCAGCTCACCGCCGCCCTTTCCTTCACCTCATCACACCTTGAAGGATGGCTGGGCAGCTTTTACATGCCATAGGTCGGGGAAGAACACTCACCCGCTCTGCCTCCCCCCATCCACAGTTGGGAGATTGCGGGGAATCAACATCTTTGAGCCGGGGGGGTTCGGTCGCGATGCAAGCCATCTTCCTCCCCGTCACACCTGCATAGACAGCGGGGGATGGCATGGGTGGCCCATCGCTCCCTTCCTTCACCGGCGCCCACTGCCGCCTTTCGCGCGAATCCCCATCTTCACCGGCCCCCAGCTGGCAGAACGCTCTCTTGTTTTCCTTGCAGACAAACACAGGCTTGCTTTTTTTGCGTCTTGTTTTCCTTTTTCACTCTTTATTCAACAACAAGTTGTTTTTCCTCACCCTGCCTGCTGGGTGTGCCCGTCTTTCCCGTGTACCGGCAAGCCGGATATTGCGACTGGCTCATCTGTCCATTGTCTCGCCGCGTGTCTCGATGTGCCCGCTCTGCCGGCGGGGTGTGTGTGCGAGTGAGTGAGTGGCTTGAGTGAGTCAAGTGAGTGTGTGTAATGAGACTTTCATGATCGCGCTTGGCTGGGCTGAGCGCCACAAGCAAGCAAGGGAGGGGGAGAAAACATGACATTCTACGAACGGGCGATGGGAAAACTGATTTGCATGTACGTGTACAAGTCCGCACGTATCTTGTCATGCCATCTAATCTTATCCCCCACTCACCCCCGCGACGCCGAATCGAGCTCAGCCGGCGCGTCCGCGCAATGTCTCGCCACGCGCGACACGGCACTTGCGGGGTGGACGATCAGATATCTCCAACGATCAGTGTGTTTGTGTGCGGGGAGTGTATCAGGGGGGGAAGGCCCGATACACGCGATCTCATTTGAGAATCTATCTCGTCGCGTGTGCTTGTCCTTGGTCGTGATGAGCGATGGTGATACCCTTAGCGGCGGTGACAGCGGACGGTCGGTCTAGGGTGATGGCTGTGGTGGTGGTGAGTTGTGACCAAGGCGAGCAGCAACGTTGCTCCCACGCTCCGCGCCCATCTCGTCACATCATCTCGCACGTCTCGAACCACGCGCTCACCACATCGGTCGCGTCTTACCCGTCCCCAGTCCCCTGCACCTTGGCCTCGTTCGTAGCATCCTGCCCAGATCCCTTGCTCGGCCATGTGGCTCGCTGCTCTCATTCACAGCAATGCTCCCACCACCCCGACATCATCGTCACAGCGCGAGCGCCAATTCCTCCGATCTGCAGAATCCTCCCTGGCACCCAAAGGCCGTCCTCCGGCACAGAGGACCCGCTTCGGAGGCCGGTTACTGTTGTGCCCACCCTCTCCAGAACGGGCCCGGAGAGCGGATCCGGCTGCCGTTCCGTCTTGCCCGGTGGCGGATCGCGGCGGTGGGCGTGGTCCGAGACCCGCCGTCGACGGGTGACTAGAAATGCGCCAAGGCGGGAGACTTGGAGCTTGGGCCGGTCAGTCCGCATCTTTGTCACTGCCACTGCGACTGTTACTGTCACTGCCAGTCTCTCAACGCCCCCTGTCCGTTGCCTGCACCCGTCAGAAAGGCTCATCACTGTATAGACGCAGTTCCCTGGTTGGACCGGATATCCCAGCTGGCAATATTTGGTTCCGCTCGTGCACAACGTGATGGAAGACAGTTGTGAAGCCAGCGTTCAACCACGGGAGCCGTAGCATGCGCCAAGACGTCGCAAAGCTAAGTTCACTAGGCGTTGCTAGCTGGCGCAGACATGGATCACTCCATCTCTTTAGCTTAGAGAGATGCGGCATCACCAGTGGACTTGTTCAACATACACAAAGGCACCGGGAGAGAAGGCATTCAAGACAGTTGTAAAAAGACAAAGCCGAGGCTGTCATTGATGAAAAGCTACCTATGATGTAGGGGGGTATCTCGAAGAAGTGAAGAAATGCTAGAGACTAAACTATCTAAAATTACGCTCATGTCGAGTCGTAATGATGCTGCCGGTTGACTTGAATCAACCACGTCGCTGATGCCTGCGGCCCGGGTGCGGAACAAGTCCGTGTACGCCGGCCCGTCTAATCCCATGCTTTTTGTGTCCCGCTAATGATGACCCTGATGATGACAATGACGCTTCGCTCAAACCAAAAAGCACGTGAGAGGAAAAGAAGACAAAACACACAGTGGCTCAGAGTGAGCAGAGACCTTGAGGGGCTTGCGTTGACATGTGAAGATGACGGACAGGAGGGGTGGGGATTAAAGGAAGGAAGGAAAGAAGAAATTAAGGTTTGGAGGGCGTGAGGGCCCAAGAGCACAATGAGTCCCGAGATGCTGGGGTCGCCGGCAGAAGGGACGGGATCGGAGAGTTGAAGATGGCGTTAGGGTCCGTCCGTGAGCGTCCCCGTGCGCGACGTCGACTGACACGTGCGATCGGGCGAAGGGGAGCGGCAGCGGCTCGTGAGAGGAGATCCGATCCCGTGACGCGCCAATCGTATCCGTCGGCCACCTCCACTCCAGCGACCCGTGCCTCTGGGCCGGACATGTGCGCTGTGGGGCCGGACCACCGCCTCGGCAGGGTCCCCCTCCGGTAGGACCCGGTCCGAGTGCGGAGAGCGGAGACGGCCTTTTCAGCAGCTGCCCAGCAGGTGCTTGGCGGTTCCGGCTTCTTCCACCCTTGCAGGCGTCCGCGGTGCGGATACGTCATTCCGCTTTGGTCATCCAGGCCGATTTCGCCGCGGCTGCGAAGCCGCAGACGCCAGGGTTGCGATGCCTGCGGTGGCTGTCGGGAGCCTGCTGTGCTGGAATGGGTGCATCCGGGGCGCGTTCAAACGCCGTCGGGTGTTTGGCTCCAAAGTGTGGGGTAGGTAGCAGTAGCGAGATCTGGTGGGCGGTGATCGGAGTGGTGGGTATTGGGCGTATCGCGAAATGTCTGAGTCGTGTAAGTGACTGTCTCACAGGCCAGACAATGGCGCGTTGGCGGCAAAACATACCAGGTGAAGATGGTAGTTGAAGGGGGGAAGAGGCGACGACGCCGCCTTACTCGGTCGCTTCGCTGATGGTCGTGAGGCAGACCGGCTTGTTCTTGGGGCTCTTCTTGGGGCTGCTGCGACGCGCGCGCAGGGCAGCCTGTCGCCGCCGCTCCTTCTCCTGCTTGACTTGACGGATGAACTCGCGCTGCATGGCGGCCTTCTCGCGCTCTATCCGCATCAACTCCTCCTCTGAGATCCGCGGGGGCGACTCGACGGCCGTCGCAAACGGTGAGGATACTGTGCTGGAGCTGGAGATGCTGTGCGAGTCGTCGTCGAAGGGGTCGGAGAGGAAGAGGTCGTCGTCGGACAGGAAGGAGGTGGCACGGGGTTCCTCGTGCCCAGAGTCGGATAACGATGATCTCCGCGGCCACGAGGGAAAGGCGCAGGAGGCATCGTGAGACCGCAGGTTGATGGGAGTTATGTCCATGGGCGCGGACATGGCGCTCATGGAGCTGTACGACCCGTATAAGCCGTACATCTTTGCTGATGCTGTGTCGGTGATGGAGGTAGGTGGATGGCGAGCTGGTCGAGACTTGGATGGGCGGCAAGTCGTGTCACCAGAGAGGTGGAGGATCTGAGGTTGCTGTGCTCCAGAAAATAGGGTCGGGACGGGATGCCTGGGGCGTCTGGGGTAATATACTGAGCAGCCAGGTGGCGATGACTCGGCGGTAGTGTTTCGATGACGACCCTCGGCTGGTGTCCGTCCGTCAGTTGTGTGCCGGAGCTTGTGCGGCGCGGTGCTCCCCAGCGGTAGAGTGTGCGCTTGGTCGCGAAGATTATTCGGGCAAGCGGGTCCCGGGCGGGTTGGTGCTAGTCAGGGCTCGAGCGTGCGTGGTCGCGCGAAGCTTGTGATGGCGAAACTCTACTGCTGCGTGACAGGCTTGTGAAAGACCAGGCAAGGTAGAGTGTGTCCAAAGGCTATGATGCGATGGAGGTGACGGCTAGAGGGAAATGTGACGGTGTGAAGCTCGAGGGCGGCGGCGACGAGGATAATAAGCGAACGGGCCGAAGGTTACGTGCGTGCACCAGGCTGCCATGCCAAAGGGAGGGAGACGCTGATATGGCACCAAGCATCGCGGCACATGTGTGAATCATCTGGCTGGGGCGGGAGGGAGTCTCGGGACTGACTTGAACAGGGGGGAGGGGGCGTGGCTCCTGGGCCGGGGATGGAGGACGGGGCCTGTCTCTTATACACATCTAGATGTGTATAAGAGACAGACCCTCCACCGGCCGCCGCCTAAAGGCACAGTGGCTGTTGGGCAGGTTCCATTCGCCTGTGGTTGTTCCGTCCACTCGCCGCGGGGAGGCGGGGGGGAGGACAGGAGGAGGAGACGGGACGCCCAAAACGCCCTGCGCTCGGCCGCAGCAGCGCACCGGACACTGTACCACGCCCTGCGCGGCGACTGGGCAGCAGCCCGAGGAGGCCTGGAGGGTCGCCCAGTGAACGCCCACAGTGACCACCCGGTGACCGCCCAGTGAGGTGTCGGGACCTCGGGATGGGCCCGAGACGAGGGCCGAGGGTCGCCCCGGCTGGAAAGGCGGTGTTCTGACCGCCAAACCCGCCAGCGCGACAGGCCCCAAGCGATTGGCCGTGGGAACGCACCTCGCCTGCCTGCCTGCCAGGCGAGTCAATGACCTGTCCAGTTGCCCTGCTGGACCTGCCCAGAACAAGGCGGTGCTGTGCTTTGCAACTTACGGCAGCAAGTACAGTACCTCAGGTACTTTGCCAGCCGCTGGGGGGTTCGTAGGTACTTGCCTTACTTTTGACGCCGATGCCCTGCACCTTCCCCCAGAGTCGTTGGCCTTTCCTTGCTCCTGCGCTTTGTGTCTCTGGCGGGCTTTGTCACGTCGTCACTTTGTCACCCGTGTCA